CCAGTGGTGGAATTTCTTTGAGAAATCAATTGAAGTGCGAACAAAATGTTTGCTCAATTTAGCTTTTTTGCTGCTGACAGTGGATTGGGGAAAACGATACATTCTCTGAATAAAGACATTGTAATGGCAGTCTGTCAAGAAAACAAATTCATCTTCCCAAACTGAAACTGACCTTTTGAGGGCAATAGAAAGTGATCACTGTAGTGAAGGGCTGGTTCTGCAACACTGACTGGTGGAAGAGAAAATTGAGTGGTGTAGGTTATATTTCACCTAATCCACAGTTTTTCACATGTGAAAGACTTGTAATAAAGTGAGAACAGCAAGCGCTCCTTGGACCATGATAGAGCTGTTGTGCTCCAATGAAGTATCATTATTCTTGCCTGACAACTGATTTGACTTATTTGTAAAGTTTAAAAGTTTCTCTTGTTATTTGTAGACATTGCTATGCGCTGCCTCCGCTCGACTGGCTCCGGCCTCCTCCTTGTCCCTTGGAACTTCCACCCCACTATCGATGGCCGTGCTTTCAGCCACTACGCCCTGAAGCTGTGGAACTCTCCCTCAATCCATTCGCCTTGCCCCCTCTTCTCCCATTTTCAGATCGCACTTGAAGACCTTCCTCTTTGTCCTTGCCTTTGGTTACCTTCCCCCTCCCACTGCATCGGGCTGCGCCACTGTTAAGTGCTCCGAGGCGTCGTCTGGCGTGAAGGCCCCTATGTAAATGCTTGCCATATCCTATGGCTTGTATACTTGTAGGGTTCTAAACAGATGAGTAGGGGGAATGTGAGCGCATGTTTAGTAGAAGCAAAGCTTTTGGAAATGTTCAATGTTGATCTTAGGGCAATGTCAATTTTTTAAATTTTGATCACCTTCCAATCATAAAATTTCCAAGACCAGCCATTGGAGGTTTTCACCTCAATAAACCTGCGCAAACTAAATATGTGGAAGTGGTAGAGAAAACTGACTTGACGATACCTGCTGAGACCACAGAAGCTCCAAAGTCAGTCTTGAGCTGTCATTTGGGACTCCCAATACTTGGAAGTACTGTATTTGTGCAGATGCCTTGAAGATAACTGAGAAAAACCCTTTCCACAGTTCCTGAATAATTAGTTGTAGGAGAAACAAAATGGATACTTTGTTTCCTAAAAATTATTGCAGTAACATTTTTGCTCTATGTAGTTATGGTTTTATTTTGTTACTAAAATGTAGGTTGACCATTATAACTCATTTTGTGGAAAGTGAACATGTAAGATGAGTTCAGAATTGACATTTGATTTTTTTTATAGGCAATATTGAATTTTAGGCTTGATCAGGCATAAATTTGGATAGGAAGTTATAGGTGGATCCCAGTGAGAGGACAATGAACACCGTCTTCAAGTAGAAATGAATCCTAATGAAGCAATAACTTTAGTAGTAAGGAATTTAAAACCCAACAGCCATAGGTTTAAATTGATTAGATATGGGCTTAAATTTAATGTATGCTTAGATATTTTTATACATTCCCAGTACTTTTCATGAATCTAGACATTGAATTAGTTTAGAAATGAGTGAATACTTAACCTTGAGAGCAGTGATGCAAGTGAGCTGGTCTAGACAGTGTTTCAATGAAGGGATTACATTTTTTTTCTCTTGGTATTGAAACATTTTCCTCTTAGTATTAACTTTTTGAGGTATGAAATTTCTGTTGTGCTACCAAAGTGTTTTAAAATTGAATGATTAGTTGCCTAGTTCAGCTGATAATTTTCATTTGAGGTTCTGAGGAGAAGTTGTATCAGAAATGGATACACTCAAAAGTAGGTGCTCACCAGGGCCAGTGTTACAACCAAGCGAGTTTCTGGCTGCGCACATTGAACCATTGGCTGTTGGCAAAAAAATTGACCAATCTTGGATTTAGGTCACATTTGGATAAAAATGTTTCTTCATTGTTGACTATTATTGTTTTTTTAAAAAAAAGCTTATCCTTTGAAGTGCTTTAACAAGCCACAAGGATTATTATTTTAATAATTGGCTTGTAACCAACAGTATGGGTAAAGACAATCTGATCTGAACATTGTAAAATATTAGCCAGGATAAATTGGGCAGTTCATTGTAGGATATGGAGGCATATTGCATTATCCAACAAATTGCATTTACATAGCTGTTATCACGTTTGGATGATGTCCCAAGGCAATGGACAGTCGAGTTTTTTTTAAAAAAAAATATTCGCTCCCTACTTTCCCTCCAGTCTCCTTAAAATTTTTTCTCATCTATCGCCCACCCCAAAAAAAGTCTATTCTGAATGCCTCATTGTCTTGGGTGACTTTAACCTCCACTTTACCTCTTCGTACTCCACATCTGCTGACTTCTCTTCCCTTGTCTCCTCTCACAACTTCTCCCTCCACATCAACCCCGCCACTCACATCCATGGCCACCCGCTAGACCTGGTGATCACCCGAGGCCTTACCGTCTCTGATGTCACCATCACTGACAGACATCTCAGATCACTATCTCATCTCCCTTAACTCCTCTATCTCCCTTCCCTGCCACCTACCCCATGTGCATCTCCTGTTGCCCCTGGAGAAAAATCCCCCTCCATGCCCTATCCACTGCCCTGGAGGCATCTGAACTAGCCTTCTGGCCCTCCTCCTGCAATGACATACCCTCCTTGGTTACCCTTCTCAACAACTCCCTCTCTGCCATCTTTGACATGTTTACTCAAATCCAAAGTTGAGGGATCTGCTCTGGCACCTCTAGCCCCTCTATTGACACCCCGTCCCCACCTCTCACTCCCCTTCCAGCCCCCCCCTCCTCTCTTGACCCAGTCCCTACCCATCTCCTCACCTCCCAGCATCACCTCTTTGGGCCCTGCTAACAGACCTTGTTAACCTCTCACTCTTGGTTGTTAACAGAAACTTTCCTTTGCACTACTGGCAAAAAAGGGTGCATGCACAAGAATTGAAAAATGCATACAGTCTTACTAGGCCCATCATATGCAGGGAAATTAGTAAACTGGTGCAATTTTGCAATTATTATGCATGTATGCATAAATGCTCCAGTGACGTTGGTCAAGTTTAATCTCACCTGGAGGATGATCATTACTGATGGGCATTTAGATTCTTGGATTATTTAACGATAGGTGGCCATTTTGTACACTGCAGCTCAGATAGAGCCCTATCTGGGCACTGAAATACGTTAAGTGTAATATGAAGTCATTAAGCATGGTATAAGGATGGAATGAATTACACCTGAAAAAACAGGTTTCTCAAAACTTCTTAAGTCACCTTAGTAGCACAAATAAGAATGGCTCTAATGTGCTGTAGTGGTGACTGATTACAGATGCAGACATTGAGACTATTGGTTGTGCCAGTTCTTCATATGTGTTTCTGTAAGAACAGATATCTGTTCAGCAATTTCCCACATAATGAAGCCCAATCTGCCCCAAGGCTTGACTTGCAGTTTTTATAGGATAATTAACCAATGATCTTGCACCCCTATAGGAAACTTTACAATGGAGACATAGAATTGGATTGTCTCCCTGACCCAATGGAGGTTAAAGTGAAGGCAAGATAAGTTTGCCAAAGTATTTGGCTACTTAGATTAGCATGTATTCTACAGTATACCGATAACTTGTGCTTGCATTTACGTACATGACAGGTTTAATCGGTCAGGAAAAGAGAATGTTGATCATATATAACAACAAATTACATTTATATTATACAGGGATTGTTTTTAGGAATAAGAAGAAATTAATCAAATAGTTCAAGGACTTGGAGATGGAGACTTAGCACTGTCAATGATAGATGAGATTGTTTTGTCTTTTCGTTTTGGGGAAAGAATGAGCAATATACCAGATGCAGAAGAGTGAGGGTGGAATCAAGAAAATAGGGCTAGAAGAGATTGCTTACATAGAGAGAGGAGAGCCTGGTGATTTGAAGGTCAGGGCAAGGATCTTGTCTACTGAAGTTCTGGCATTCGATGTTGCTTGTTGGGGATAGTATTGAGCCTAGTGCGGGAGAGAACATGGGCTGTCAAGTTTAGATGAGTTGGAGCTAGCAAAGCTAGACAGGAGAGCATTTTAAAGAGATTATTCTTGGTGACCAGCGCCTGAATGAGGCTTTCAGCAGCGATGCACATCACTTGAGGGGGGGAATGGGTAATATTTCAGAGGTAGAAAAAATAATAGTAAGGAACAATGGCTGCTACCTTGCATTGCTGGCTGAATGGATAACTGTATAGATTGAACCTGGGACCATCTGTAAAAACATTTAGGGATATGGGGAAGAGCTGGTAAATGGGATTATTAAAAGGGCAAACAAATAGACATTAAGGGCCTTCTGTGCTAAAGACTTCTGTTTGTTTGTTCACTGCTCCATACTCCCCAGCAGATCAAATCCAAGGTCTTTGTTCTCTCCTTCAGATCCTTCCTTCAACTCAACTGATTTGGCTACTCCTTTTGTTCAGCAAATACTGGCCTGATTCATATTCCTATCCTATCTGGGATTTCAGGCATTTCTGACCCTGCTCTCTGGAATTCCGCTCTTAATCTCTCACTCACTCTCCCCTTTTTCAAAGCTCATCTTGACCATTCTGTTTGATAGAGCTTTGGGTCATCTTTACCCTCCCCATCCTCTTTGCCTCTCGCCTTCAGTTCGGATGCCCAACTAGCAGTGTCGAGCACTTTGAGACATCCTACCAACGTGAACCGTATTAAATAAATGTAAACAGTATTGTATTTATGACTCAGCTACTTGCTGAATAAATATGCTGCTTAACTTGTTTTGGAATAATTTACCTAATGATTAAAAAAATTAAATAAACTTGTATACAGTACTATGTGGAGTAAATGCCCATTTATCTATAAAAATACAGCTAATTGTGTAAGTGATTTTTGAGATTGCCGTATCATAACTTGCCATTGAACTCTTCTAATTAGATTGAAAAAACATTTCAGAACTGGGAGAAACTGATTTATAGAAGCATTTGTTTACCTGTAGGCCTGACTTTGTACTTATCAACTTTAATAGGTATAACAGGCTAGCAAGGGAGTGGACAGAGAAGTATGCAATGCTCTAGGCCCTGGGTAAGGTGCTTGCACCTTGAGGTTTAATGCACAAAAAGCAATACTTTGTACTAAACCCTGTGCTGCATGATGTACAGAATAATTGGGTCTGAGCTAACCAGTGGGCGCATGTCTCGGGGAAGGAGTGAGAATAAGTGTTCACAAGCTTTTTCTTGGACTTCGAGTGATGCTTTGGGGTGAAAATGTTCGATCTGTGCATGTTAAAATATTAACTACTACCATACTAGAATACTAAGCTATCTTGATTCTTTTGAACTCTATTCGATTGAACAATTTATCCCGCACTGGGCTCTGTGACCCTATCACCCTCAACTGGCTCCCCATATCCGAGAGGATAGAGTTCAAAATCCTCATCCTCTCCTTCAAAGCCCTCCACTGCCTTGCTCCTTCCTACCTCTATGACCTGCTAACTCCATATCAACCTGTCCGCTCCCTCCATTCAGCGGGCTCTGGCCTGCTCCACGTCCTCTGCCTGGCCTGCCCCACCATCGGCGGTCGGACCTTCAGCCTCTCAAGACCCTCCTCTTTGCCACCCTACAGCTCCTGCCCTGCAGCCCTCCTGATCCCAAGCCTCTGCTCTGGTCCAAATCCCTGACTGTCCAGAGCCTTGGGATATCCTCCCAACATGAAAGGCGCCATACAAATGTAATTTGTTGTTGAAATAAATTCTAAAAGTATGCTACTCTAGGAAATGAAGTATAGAATCCTAAGGAGCTAAATATGTGGTGCCATGCTCATTCTGCCAAGGGCAGTTTAATTTCTTAGCTGTGAAGATCTTTTACGTGTGCATGTAATTGTCAAAATAAAGTTGAATGTTTGAGCTTATGATGAATTCTGCAATGCTGTTTAGTTTCTGCCATGTTTTCCCCTTGCTGACAGTAAGGCATGCCTTACTGGTTGTTAAAATACTTGTTTATAAATTGCTTTGCATTTATTTTCTTACCTTCTCCCCCTTGTTCCTAATTAAGGAAGATATGTCACAAGACTTCCAACAAAAAAGGAACGGATACAGTTTTAACTCCTTGTGAAGAGTGTTGAATATAAAGATAGTTGCAAGATAAAATGACAACTCCAGGAGCAACATGAATTATGTTGGGGTGGGGTAGTGGGTAATGTTGCCACGGTTGAATATTGGGCATTGGACAATATTCTGGAGGTTTTAAATTTCATTACCTTTGAGATTTGGGGAGTATATTTTCCTCACTTATTGGGGTGGAGTGAAATCAAGATGGAGTAGAGTTTGTAGGTCTGAAAGAGGCAGGCTTGATGTACAGAATATATTTTTCTTAATGCATTCTTTTTAAAAAGTCCTCTCCTGCCTTTAATTTTGTTTCCCTCTTTTTTTCGGTCTCAATAATTATTTGTATAATGCAGAGTAGAAACACAGAAATTGTGCAAAACTAAAGCTTTTGTTTCAGTCAGTTTATTTCAAGTTTGCAATGAGATGTAAAATCTGCAAAGTGATGTAGGATACTATGAACTCCAGTGTGATGCTTATACATTTAGAACTGATGGTATAGCATAAGTAATAGTTGGGGATTATTTATTTTGCATATTTGCTATTTTGTTTACATAGTTCAATTTAACATTGAATTGAACAAACTTAGTAACTTATGAATGGAGTGACATGAATTGCCAATTGTACTAGTAGTTGTAGCAATTTCCATGTTGTGTTGCTATGGTTGTTTTTAACTTGGCATTTTGTTTTTGCGATCTGAATGCTTGATCTGTGGAATATAATGTTAAATCAATTTAAACTACCCCTGTAGTTTAAACTGATTTAACATTGCATTATACAAGCACCCTCCGGTAGGATGTTTAATAATTAAGAATATTCCCTCCCTTTTTTCCCCCCACCACCACCCTGCAGAGATGGTGAAGCCAATTGTAATAGCAGAGCTGGATGCTAACTCAGCACAGACTGGTTGTTACACTGACCACCTAATTTATAAGACTCAGTGCTGTCATGTAGGTGTCTTTACTCATATTGCAATGGGGTATTGTAGAATGGGTTTTAAAGCCAAATCACTTTTTTGAACTGTGTACCATTTCATGTACTTTTTGATCTTTAGAACCCATGGCATCTGGAACAATAGAATTTGATTACACTACAGCAATTACCTTCCAGTAATGTTGCTTGTCCCTGCTCTATTAAATAAGTAGAAGATGAAGTGTTTACTAAAATTGACTGTGTAGACAGCTGGATATTGTTTTTTAAAAAACATTGCCTGTCCCCTTTTCTGAAATTGATATGAGAACGTGACACAAGGGACCTTCTGTGCTGTAAAATTTTTATGACATTGGGAAGATTTGTGAACAAGGTGATCCACTCTATTGTGTGTAATGTAGGCAAGTTCAAAGATTTGTTTTCTCTAATTTTGTGGTGAAAGCTACAGGTGGTTTCATGATTGACTTCACAAAACATTTTTGCATCTTGTAATTGAGTGTGACTGATTGTTAAGCTTTAATTGATTTTAAATTGCTTTGAACCTACTCTCTGGTTGGGGTTTTTCACTTCCACTTGTCCCCAGTGAGGTTTTATTTTAGGTGTAGTTATGCCTGGTGATCTTTCCCTACTCCCCATCTGCTTTGTCTAGGGAAATATGATGCACTCCAGTTAGTTGATGCTTATGTACACTATCTCACCATTGCTATTGCAATACAGCTAAGATGGATAATTGTGATTGCAAAGTCAACTCTGGTACCATTTAGTGACACTTGAATGTGCTATTGCGTTTGCTATCATTCCTGTGTTCATTTTGAGTTTTGTTCATCTCAGATATTTAAAAGGTTGAATTGAAGTGACCAAATTTTAATGACTCCTTTTATCTTCTGTTGCAGGTACAACAGAATAGCCCGGGAATGGACTCAGAAGTATGCAATGTGATACCTTGGAATTTGAAATACATTATAGCTGGAATAAAGTTTAAATTACTGATTTTCTCTGGTTTTCCTATTTGGCTGCCCCCTTGTAAGACATATTTGCCCCCTTCCCCCTCCACTCCCAATCCACATGTTCTCATGAGAAGGCAATGTACTTCTGCTTGGACAAGACCAGCTTTCTGAATTTCTAATGTAGTTTCATCAATCATCTGAAATTCTGACCTTTTATAAATGGAGCATGTGTTAAGTAGCCAGTACCCTCATAATAACTTGGTTATGATGCATTCCTCATTGCTGTAACAACGTGCTGATTTTTACATGAAATTGGATGCGTCAGCAGTTAAGCTCCATCCTTAAAAGATTGGTGTGGTGTTGGTACAGCTTCTTTCATTTTCCCTTGATAAATAAAATTTTAGTTTCCATGATTTACTTTATGCTCATAACTTTGTTATTGGTTGTGATTGGCTGAATGTTATAGTATCGGCATTAATTAAAATATATGCTGTATTTTATGCATGTTAATAAAAGGAGTGACTGAAGGTTTTTGTTGGTTCTACACAAAACAGAAGTGGAACTTACTGTCTCAATCTTCCTTCCTCTCCCAGAAAACTAGGTCAGATAATTTTGTAAATTTCACTTAAAGTAATGCTTTTTTTAAAAAATAGAACTATTAGTTAATCTGTTTTCCACGGCACTGTTTTACATGGCACTGAATTATGATTCAAATCTGTTGGTGGTAGACTGATCAACTAATAGCTCATCGTCATTGTGTTTTTCCTTAATAAAGTTGCATAAACCAGTTTTGAGCAGCCTGAATGAATACAGTACAACTTGATTTCTTTGAAAGAACAATTATATTGAAATAACTATCTCGATGTCTAGTCTGAAGCATTGTAAAAATTAGAATGGAGCCATTCAGAACGGTTTAATGGTACAAATTGAAATTATTTGCCTAACTTATAGCTGGTAGTTTTAAAATGCCTTAATGATGTATTTTGGTTCTTAAAATATATTGTTCTGGATCAAGTAATCACTATGTGTAGTAACATTTGATTTCAAATGGAAACTAAAAATGCAGTTCCGGAAACAGATCAGTGGAAGATTTAAATTTACAGATATTTTGGTTGGAAGAAGGAGTGGAGCTTGTAGTATTTAAATTTATTTGTGGGATGTAAACTGCTGTTGCTGCTTTAAGCTACTGTTGGTGGGATTGTCACTGGATTCCACAATAGCTTGTTTTTTCCACTGCTTCTTTTAAATGTTAATTCAGTTATTGGAAGTCTGAAAATGTACTTGAGCTGAATTTTCTTAACTGAAGAAGTAGCTTATTTTTAAATGGATAGAAAAAGAACATGAATATTTGATTCAATTTGTATTAACCATTTCAAAGTGTGGTATGCTGTTTGCATGTAGACCTTTTGGTATATTAAAATTTACAATTCGTATGTAGAATTTGCAAACCATCACTTCTAAACCTTATATAATTCTCAGAAGTTTTATCGAGAGGTTGAAAAACTGAGTTGTATTTTGGATATAGAGATTAGAATATATTATGTAAACTTGGGCAATACCACAATTCAGCCCAAGGCTTATAGATCAACTGAATTTATAGCTTAGAGTAGTTTAATACCTTTATGATCTTTTAGTGAGGGGAACATCATTTGATTATCTTCAAAGCATTTGAGAATGTGGCATTTGAGAATTATGACATTCCAAACCAAATGATTCCTTGTTACTATGCCACAGTATTCACTTAATGTTTTGGCAGAGGTGTCTTTGATGTAGTGGAAAGTAGTAATAATAATAATAATCCTTGCATTTGATATAGCGCTTTTTACGTCGGGAGGACGTCCCAAAGCGCTTCACAGAACACATTGTAAAGTGAATTGACTGTATATTTGTGGGCAAACGCGGCAGCCAATTGCGCACAGCAATGTCCCACAAACAGTCGTAGATTGAAAATGACCAATTTATTATTGTTTTGGAGGGATTATTATTAGGCTCTGTGTGGAGTAAGGAAACTTGCCCAAGGTTTCGCCCTGCCTGGAATTGAACTCAGGTCTCTCACTTGCAAAGCGAGTGCTCTAACCACTGAGCTACAGGACTCCACGAAAGTGTCTTGGATCCTGAACTTGTGCACCACACAACTTTCTCCTTTTATAGTTTCCTTCTGCTTGTATCAGTTAAAGTTGGTTGCTATAGATAATGAAAGGTTTGCCTTTATTGATAAATCCTTGAATTGGTGAAAGGCTGGTATTATTTTACCAATGGAAGGGAAGATGACCACAGGCCAGTTTATAAGTTGTCTTATGTAAAGTTTATGGCCTTTCTAAGGTAGTCCTGATCCGTGATGAGTTGGAAGGTTGAGGGGTGTTGCTATTTGACTCAACTCACCATTCAAATGGTAAAGCAATAATTAAACAGGCAAGTAATTTGATGGCCACATTATTAAATCCAAAGTCCTGAAATATTGTTTACATGAGGTTTACAGTAGAATTTAGGGACTGCCTCGATCCTGAGGGATGAGCTATGAGAAATGATTGTATAAACCTATTCTGCATAAAGTACAAGTGCCTACGGACACCTCTCCCATGCTTGTTGAGTGCAGCCACTGTTGAGCGCTGCAAGTCGCTATCCTGTCTGATGTAAATGCGGGTGGTAGTTATTTAAGTAGTGGCCATGTTTAATGCATAGGTAGGATAGAACTTTTCAAAGAGAGAATTGAAACTTTTACAAGTGTTACTTTCTCACCAAGTCTACATGAGGTGGAAAAGGCGGTGATTGGGGTTTTCGACTACATTTACTGCAGTTTTGTATTCTGAATTCCTACCCCCATCCTGAAATCTTGGAGGTCCTTATCAAATTGATCAGGATACATCTGGAGTACTGCATAAAATTGAGGGAACTCAGGCCCTCAACAGCTGGAACAGATTACCAGGATGCATGGTAGAGACCTGGATGATTTGGAGGACAAAAAAGTTGGTTTGCTGGAAATGGAAGTCTAATAATAATGGTTTGTCTTCAAAGCTCTATGATCTTAGCAGCAGTACATAGGGAAGGAAGTAGACTAATCTCCCACAGTTAGAGGAATGAGTCATTAGATAAGCTGTGCCTCTTCAAAAACAATCAAAAGATGTTTAATGAGAAATCTGACACCTAATGGTGCTTTCAAATATACCAAAGCAGCAAGACGACAAAGTCAGACCATTAAGAGGTACTTCATTAATTACAGGATACGAGTCACCTGAAAGGGTGGTTGAGTTTTGTAAACTAGAGTTATAAGAAATTGATGAATGATGTGCTGAAAGCCATCTCTTGTGATAAGAAATAGCAATTTTTACCTGGATTTGAAGTTTTCTCTTAAATCCCCTGCAGGGTATGATATAACTGTGTTGAAGCTTAGAGGAATATATTTGTAGTAAAGCAGACCTTAGATAGATTGCTCTTTTTATGATGTTGTAAAATTTGAATGGCTGTGCTAGGTATAATGCAGACTAGCAGCCTAATTGAAACGAGACTGGATTGGTCAATTATATCTGAATATAAGTGCTTTGAAGGAAACCTCTTTGGTTAATTTAGCACAGAATTATTGGCTAAGCTGTAGAATTAGATAATCATTTCTAATTGGTGTGCATAAAGCAGCAATATCAATGCAATTGGGCATTACAGATATTTTCTTTGCAAATTGCACTTCATATACCTGATTTAGGAACTGCAATTGTAATAGTTTTACTATCAACCACACAATTATGCATTTGATTCTTGACTTTCCTTCCTCAGTTTAAATTATTTCCTGAAAAAAGTGAGAAAAGTTTAATAAAAAAAAAGTCCTAAATTCTGGTTCTAGAAATGATGAGCGAAATTGTTCTTTAATTTTCATTACATTCAAGCTTCCTGTTTTTAGAAAAGCATGATGACTGGTTTCGATGTAGGTTTACACCAGGATTCCCTAAATAGTGAAGTGATTTGTTTGAAGTGGAATAATTTGAGTTATGCATGCTGCTCACCTTATACAACATTACATCAATAGTGGGCCTTTGCAGCTGAAAAATGACATGTAGAGCATTCTAAAAATACTTGTTAAGACAGTGGAATCCGTACTCTGGCTCACTGTGTTTCTTCACTATTTGAAAAGAGGATTTTTTTTCTCTCTGCTATTCGGAGCCAATGATCCCATTAACCTTTATCACTCTTATAATTATAATCCTTGCATTTGATATAGCGCCTTATCATGTCTTCACGATGTCTCAAAGCACTTCACAAAATATACTGTCAAGTGAATTGACTATTTTGAACAAAGGCAAAGGCAAAGGCAAAGTTCCTCAAATGGTGGAAATCTGGTATAAACACAGAAGTCGCTGGGAACACTCAGCAGGTCAGGAGGCATCCATAGAGAGAGGAAAATGTGTTAACGTTTCAGGTCTATGATCTACTTGTTAGGGTTTGGCTTGCAGGGTTAACAGGAACTGAGTGGTATGATTCCCTGCCTCCAGTGACTAGTCTGCCCTTTCAGGTCCTACCATTGAGCCAGGCTAACTGTGTTGTCATCAGTAGTACACTGAAATACTGTGGACTCAACGGGTTTAGGAACTGGACTTGTGAGACCGCTTCAGAGGGCTGACTCGATTTTGACATTCTGTTGCCAGGCGTGTCACCTTGGAGCCAGTTCAGCTCCAAGGAGACCCCGCTTATTTAAAATGGATGAGGGTGGGGAAATTGCAGTTCTAAATGTATTTTTTTAAAGTATTGCATGCTAACTTGCAAGTACATTTTAAATGTGATGCATCACCTTTAAATCGTTCTATAAAACTTTGCCATAGGACTACTTTTTTGTAAAGAGGTTAAGTGAGGTGCCAGTGATGAGACTTCATTAAACAGAAATATATGCTAGTTATGTAGTATATATCATGAAATATAGTAAGTGTAACCGCGTTCAACAATAATAATCCTTGCATTTGATATAGCGCCTTATGACGTCTTCGAGACAGCTCAAAGCGCTTCACAGAATATACTGTAAAATGAATTGACTATATTTTGTGGTCAAAACGCGGCAGCCTATTGCACACAGCAGTGTCCCACAAACGGTGAGTGACCAATTTATTATTATTTTAAAAAAATCTTTTGAAGGAATTATTACCCTCAAAAAAGCAATCCACCAGGTCCTACTTACTGCTAGGTAAACAGGCATGTGGAGTAAGGAAACCTGCCCAAGGTTTTGCCCTGCCGGGAATCAAACCCAGGTCTCTTGTTTGCGAGGCGAGTGCTCTCTAACACCTGAGCTACAGGACTCTGTGACTTTTAATCTGTTATTGAACCTATACGATGAGACAATTTAAATCGAAATATCGTCCTAGCGTTCCTATACATCACTTAGAGCTCATTTTGTTTTAATACTCAATTTGGCAAATTTACCAAGGGGAAGCTGAAAGATCTCGGAGTGTTAATGAACTCATCGCTCACTATGTCAAAACAGTGAGGCAGCAAAAAATGAGGTCAACAAAATCCTCGGTTGTACTGCTAAATAGTTGAGATCAGATCCCCTGAGGTCATAATGAGACTGTATAGTGCTCTGGTCAGACTGCACTTTGAATACTGTGTACAGTTCCAGTCATCATGACAAGGAGACTAGACTGGCCAACCCCTGGAGCCAGGGCAGAGGAGAGCAATGAGGATTATCCTCAGTATTACAGAAATCAATTGAGCGACGCTTAGGCAAGCTAGGGCCATGCAGTCTTGAGAGAGGATGACTGACTGAGGGGCACCTCATAGTGGTGTGAAGGACAACACAAACCATGATATTGCTGAGAATCCGTGTTGATTGCTGGAGTGTAACCTGGGGCCTGGAGATCATTCACCGCGGTGAGTTTCAGTTGCTATGCTGCATTCCTAGAGTTGCAGTCCCTTTGATGAGACATTAAAGACATTGTTCAAGGTTTCATTTGTTTTATAGAAACAATCACAGGATGTAAGGAAGAATAGATCAAGACTAAGGGTTGCACTCCCAGTGCTCTTTCTAAATCCTAGCATATCAGAATTTGAATGCCCCAAATGCTAAAACTTGCTCCAAAATGAGGAAAGACATACAAAGGGCAACTAGTATTTCAGGAGCAGTCAAACCAGGTGGAATACATCATTTATTCACTTAACTATATTGTATATTATACATGTATAATATGAATGAATTCTTAATAAGGAAAATCATTTTGCAAATGATTTCAATTTGCATTCTGTCCAGTAATTATGCCCAACTTCCTTACCTCATTTTATCTTTTAAAACAGATTCTGTTTTTTCCAAAGACCAACATACACTTATAAAGCACCTTTATGTTATTAGTGTCTCAGAGCGCTTAACAGTGGTGGAGCTCTTAAGCTTGATGCTGAGAGTGGGGAGCTGACCGTAGGCACAATCAAAGGTCTTCAGATCAGCCGATCTGAAGATGGGTAAGGAATGGCCAAGGTGAAGGGATGAAGGCAGAATTCCATATATTTGGGAGTAATGGCTAAAGGCATAGCTGCCAATGGAGGAGTGGCGGGGATGAGTCATATGCAGGAGGCTGATCCAGCTGAATGAAGCGGGCTGGGGGGGAAGGATGTAAGCAGATCAGACAGGTAAGGAGGTGTCAGACCATGAAGTGATTTGTACATGACATTACAGCATAGTAAGTGTTTTTGATCCTAGATTCAGGACAGTCAGATTCTAGAGTTGGCTTGGTTACTCCACTTTGTTATATTAAAAATAGCTTTATATAGAGATGTCCATAAGAGTGGTCTCAGATATTACTGCTTCATTGGCATGAGTCCAACAATGCCAGCAAATGCAAGAGATGCGAGTCCAAAACTCCTTTCTACCCCACATTGTCCCTTGATCCGCTCGCCTTCCCCCACCTTCGCAACATCGCCGACACTGCCTATCACCTATCACCTCAGACCACCAAGAACCCTTTCCACGCATTCATCACATCTAAGCTCGACTGCGTCAACTCCCTGTTTTGTCGGCCTTTCCAACTCTTCCCTCCACAAGCTGCAGATCATCCAGAACTCTGCAGCTCGTGTCCTCTCCCACACCAGCCTCCGTGACCCTATCGACCCCACCCAGCTCCATTGGCTCCCCATCCCGTAGAGGATAGAGTTCAAAATCCTCATCTTCCAAGACCAATCACAGCCTTAATCCTTCCTACCTTTGTGACCTGCTAACGCCATATCAACCAGTCCGCTCCCTCCACTCAGCAGGCTTTGGCCTGCTCCATGTCCCCCGCCTGACCTGCCCAACCATTGGCGGTCGGGCCTTCAGCTTCTCTGCCCCACTCTTTGGAACTCCATTGCCACATTTCCTTTGCCTTGCTCCCTTCCTTGCATCTTCAAGGCATGTCTCAAGACCTTCCTCTGACTGCGCCTTCAGCTATACTCCCTGCCCTCATCCTCCTTGAACCCAAACCCCACTGCTCAGGTCCAAATCCCTGCCTGTCCAGTGACTTGGGACTTCCTCCCAACATGAAAGGTGGTATACAAATGTAATTTTGTATGCAGTAGAACATGGATTATCTGCTTTTGGCTCTGATGTGGAAATGCAATGCTACCAAACATAAATGCACACAAAATTCCCTGATCTGTAGTTTACCTAAACTAAATCAGCAATGTGAGATAAGTATATGCTGTGCAGTGTTAGAGATGCGGGGGGTGGATGAGACCGGATGTAATTGGCATCATAGCCAGTTTGTGAATGCTGATTTTTTTTTAACCAAGCAGTTTTTCCATTTCAGTATCCACAACAGGATTGGTTCCAATTAGTGAGGATCACTGATTCTTTATTGTACTCCTGTTATTTTTCCCCAAATGCATGGCTAATTTACTCTGCATTAAAGCACAGAATGTGGACTAATAATAGTTTGATACATAAATATCCCTCAAGGGAAGGAAATGCTTCCTGGCCTTTATGGATCTGTTCCAAATCTGATGTTGCTGATTGATCAATGGACCAGTCAACTACTAGCAATGTGGAACAAGACATTTAATTCATCTGGAGGCAGAGAAAAGAAAACTTTGTTATTTCTTTAATGTTCATTCTTTCTCTACTAGAACCATAATAGCATAGAATCTTTGGAGACATATTTTGCTCTTCATAACTATCTGAGGTATAGATTTAGAATTTTTCATGAATTGAAAAATGTGCTTGTACAAACATAATATGTAACACAAATTGCACTTAAGTTCTAACCTGTACAAACTGCTGATACCGTTGCAAATTGTGGAACAAAAGTCATTCAACGCTGCTCTTTGGAAGTAATTCTCAGTGGGCATGGCAGGATATTCAAACTGATTTATGTATTCTTATCACCATTTTGTTGCAAGAAATTATATTCCAACAACCATCCCCAAAGTGAAACTGCCACTCAGAAAACAACTCATTGATCCACTACTGAGAGTGAATGAAATCTGGAACCATTTTTCTGGAAATGGTCAAAACAGACTAGGAATTCTTCTGATGTATGAAAATAACTCAAACGTGAGATGGATACCTTGAACATGTGGTACCTTGAATCTTGGCTCCAGGTTGACACCTGCAAAAGCGCCAAACCTCCCAAACCTGTGTCTTTAGTCTCTAATAATAATAATCCTTACACTTGATATAGTACTTTATCACGTCTCAAAATGCTTCACAGGATATATTGTACCCATTACTCCTATTCTCAGTTAACTTTGGCGCTTTGTCCCCCAGTGATTCGCTTTAAGACCCATGTACTTGTCTTGAACGCATTTCCTGGTTTTGCCCTTCTTGTTGTGATGTGTTCTGACGGTTTTTCTCCTGCTTGTGCTCTCCATGTCTCTGATGTTCCCTGTTTGCTCGCTCACTCCTTCTGTACCTCTCAGTGGTGTCTCCAGGCGCGGAGGCAACTGGAAGCACAAAGCCTGATGCCCATAGCCATTTACTCCACGCCTTCCTCCCCCAGAAGAGAGAGAGAGAGAGAGAGGCGCCTTGAAGTTGTGCAATGGAGACGGGGGTGACATTGCTCATCGCCCCGGGACCGGCCATCTCCTTCCCTCTCGGGATGGCCAGACGTGCCCGAAGGCCACCAAACACCAGCCCAAAAGTAGCCCAATATAACACGTGGGGCAGCAGAGTGGCTGCTGGAGCTCGGGGGGGTGGGGGGTGTTGAAACTGTAAGAAAAGTTCCTCAAAGGGGAAAATAAACAAACTTTTTGTGGGGTTGACATTAAAATGTAAATATCGGACCCCCGCCCGAAGCCGCTTCCACCCACATTTACAACAGGGACCGCCGCCTGGGCGTCAACCCTGTGTGGGCGGGGTGGCAGTGCGCAGGCGCGGTGTGGCCGAGATCACGCGCGGTGGCCGTTGCGGGCTGGAGGCTGTGCGCAGGCGCGGTGTGGCCGAGATCACGCGCGGTGGCAGTTGCGGGCTGGAGGCTGTGCGCAGGCGCGCTGGGGAGCTGAGCATGGCCGCCCGGTTGCTGTGGCTGCTCGAGCTGCTCGGCCTCGGCCTCGGGCTGCGCGGTTACAGCCTGCGGGGGCAGGGCTGGCACATCCGCAACGGCAACGGCAGCGTGGGAGTGAGCGGCGCCGCGGTGCCCGGCAATGTGCACAGCGCCCTGCTCCGACAGCGGCTCATCCAGGTGTGTGAGCGCGGCGCTGGGCAGGCAAGACACCAGCACCAGGCAGGGCAGGCAAGACACCAGGCAGAGCAGGCAAGACACCAGGCAGGGCAGGCAGGGCAGGCAAGACACCAGGCAGAGCAGGCAAGACACCAGGCAGGGCAGGCAAGACACCAGGCAGGGCAGGCAAGACACCAGGCAGGGCAGGCAAGACACCAGGCAGGGCAGGCAAGACACCAGGCAGGGCAGGCAAGACACCAGGCAGGGCAGGCAAGACACCAGGCAGGGCAGGCAAGACACCAGGCAGGGCAGGCAAGACACCAGGCAGGGCAGGCAAGACACCAGGCAGGGCAGGCAAGACACCAGGCAGGGCAGGCAAGACACCAGGCAGGGCAGGCAAGACACCAGGCAGGGCAGGCAAGACACCAGGCAGGGCAGGCAAGACACCAGGCAGGGCAGGCAAGACACCAGGCAGGGCAGGCAGGGCAGGCAAGACACCAGGCAGGGCAGGCAAGACACCAGGCAGGCAGCAAGACACCAGGCAGGGCAGGCAAGACACCAGGCAGAGCAGGCAAGACACCAGGCAGAGCAGGCAAGACACCAGGCAGAGCAGGCAAGACACCAGGCAGAGCAGGCAAGACACCAGGCAGAGCAGGCAAGACACCAGGCAGAGCAGGCAAGACACCAGGCAGAACAGGCAATACGACAGCACCAATAACGCAGGACTGGCACCAAATACAGTTCGAATCACAAGTGGGTGTTTCTACCATGCACAGTACAAACTTGCAGATCTGTGAAAGTATTATCATTAAAATGACATTTTCATGTCACGGTAGAAAGGACCACATTTATTTTCCACTGAAGTTAATTTGTGTCAGGTCACATCTTGTGTGTGTTTTTAAAATTACATGACATGATAACTAAGACTGGATAAAACATGGCATCATAATAATCTTTGCTTGCAATCTTTGATATAGCGCCTTATCACATCTTTGAGACATCTCAAAGCGCTTCACAGAAAATACTGTAAAGTGAATTGACTGTATGTTTTATGGGCGAAACACGGCAGCCAATTGTGCACAGCAATGTCCCACAAACAACAACATAGCGCCTTTCACGTCAGGAGGATGTCGCAAAGCGCTGGACAATCAGTGTTTTGGACAAACAGTCATGGATTGAATTACCAAATTATTATTTATTGTTTTGAAGTGATTATTACCCCCGGAAAAGCAATCTGCCAATCGACTAACAACTGGGATCCTAGTTACTGCTAGGTGACCAGAGGCGTGTGGCATTAGGAAATTTGTCCAATGTTTTGCCCTGCCGGGAATCAAACCCAGGTCCTCTCGCTGTAGTTCAGTGTAATGGATGATGTTAGGTAAGAAACTTTGTTAAAAATGAAAAGTTGATCTCTAGGTTGTCTAATGTAGCTAATCTCAGCAACATGGTTACATTTGGCCTCGGTCTTCCTAGGCAGGGGAGTGGAAAATCGAACCAACTTCTTTCTCCTAATGGTTCTTCAATGATCCCTGTTGGAAAATGTAAACAGCATAGGATTGATATCTGGGGAAACATTAAATATGCTGGCTCTCTATATATAACACCGATATTGTAGTCTGCTCCAAAGCTACATCTAAACTGAACAATGACACTGCTTGAACAGCAATTCCCTGTAAAGCGTTTGAGATATTTTGGTTTATAAGCACTGTAATCAAATGCAATGATTATTTTTATAACAATAATTAAGTATATATTCACATGGATGTTGAAGAATCCATGACACTGTTCGAAAAGAGAGGGAGTTTATTCAGACAGTCAACAGTTAACAACAACAACTTGGATTTATATAACGCTCTCCACGCCAGACGGCATCTCAGAGCGCTTTACAGTAACGGAGCCCAGGGCCGAGCCGGGGGGAGGGGGAGGACTTGGGGGACGAGGAGGAGGCCAGACCCGGAGGAACGAAGGCAACGGGTACTGTGCTGAGGAGAGAGGAGGTCAGAGAGGTAGGGGGGTGTGGAGGAGTGCAGGGACTTGAATACAAGGGTGAGGATCTTGAAATCCTCCAGCTAAACTGCGGATTAATGTCTTGGCTGTTTGTGGGACACTTCTGTATCAAAATTTTCAGTGAGTTATATGCATTATATAATTGTTATTATTGTGAATCTTTGACACTTTGTAATGTGATAAGGAGTTATATCAAATGCAAGGTTTATCATTTACTTTCATTGATTATTATTTGAGTTTGGAAGGCATGATTTGACCATAGCAAGTGACCTTGCCAAAAGTGATCTTTTGGCCTGAATCCAACTGAGTGGATATTTACATGTTTTTCCACGTGAGGCTGATTGTTGTAGGTAGAGTCCATTAATAGAGTTGATTGTACATGACCTATGAAAAGAATGGGCAGTGAGTGTACTTACGCTATCAGAGATTCTGGTGTGATGTAGCCCCACAAACAGATTCTTCACAGAGAAATGGGGGGTGGTGGGGTGTGGTGGGGGGTGGGGGGGGTCATCTCAGATCAACCAGGACTTCAGAAGCCATCTCTCATTACCATCAAATATTTTACTATAACTATATCGTTTAATCTATTTAATATGAACAACATTTTAGTAAATATGGTATGATCTCAAATAATGTAAGTTGACTGAAGATAATTGAAGATTTGTGTTTCAAGGAAGCTACGGTATTACTGTTTTTGCTCCTACATGCTGTCTATATATTGAAAGCATTCGTTATTATTTATTTACATTATGATACAATATTGCATGTGTTTAACCAGAGTTTGAACAAAATTGTCATAGAATAACACGCTATTTTTATTTAATTTTAGGATCCTTATTATAGATTTAATGATAATGCCTACAAATGGATTGCACTGGACAACTGGACATATAGCAGGACATTTACTCTTCCCGCTGAAGTCAGGTAGTGTCTGTACCATGTTTTTAATGGCTTAGATAGAGACTGGCCTGATTAGAAGGGGATGTATTTATTATATTAACCAGCGGTAGCAGTGGATAATAATAATAACAATAATTCTTGTATTTGACATCGTGCTTCACAGAATTTGATGGTGAAATATAGTGACTGTATATTTGTAGGCAAACAAATTTGTGCATAGCAATCTCGTACAAACAGCCATGAAGGGAATAACCAATTGTATCTGGTGGTAGACATGACACTGGGAGAAATACTCTTGCTTTGATTAGTGCCATGTTTAGTACTTTAGCATTCACCTGAATAGACAGATGGGACCTCGTTTGAACATCTCATCCAAGGCCGACACCTCAAACAATGCAGCACTCCCTCAACATTGGATTAGGGTGTCAGTCTTGACTGTGAGTTCAAAGTACCATCGTGGGTGGAGCTACCAACTGAGGCCAGGCTGATGCCTCAAATACCGTTGAGTTTGGGGAAAGGGGAGGGACTGACACAAGATGAAAAAAATGTATTCTTCCCTGTTGAAGTAAATACTCTCCACTAACGTCGTACCACTAATAATCTTGTTGAAACTGTATGTGTTGAATTATGACTGCAAAGTAGAGAGTCCTTGCTATATGGGGACTGGTCAACTTGTGCGTAAGAAAACATGTCAGATATGAAGTTATCACATGCATAAAATGTAAAGTACTGAGATCATTGATTGTAAAAAATGGCAAGCTATTTAACCCTGGAGGCATCACAACCTTGCCTGAAACTGTATTCCCACATCCTCACCTACTAGCAGGAATACCTGGATAGCAATCAGGAGTGGGAGCTCTGCTAACCCTGGAAAGACCGGAACAATTTAGCCTTCCGTGCAGCTCTGACCAGCAAACACAGTGTGGGTTCAAATCAGCGAGCTCCTGGTCTGTAAACTGCTCCTTCGTGGCCGCCCCTGCCTACACATTTGTTTGTGTAGAAATACATAGTCATTTTACAGAAATCTGTTTCGATGTTTCAAGGCCTTTCAATGAGTTAAGGCACACTATCAAATGCAAGAAAACACTATTATGATATTTGGATCAATATTTTCTTTAACAGCAAATGGAAGAAAGTAAATCTAGTTTGTGAGGGGCTGGATACCGTTGCAACAGTGCTTGTTAATAATGTCACTGTTGGGACTACAAACAACATGTTCAGCAAATATGTGAGTAACCTCTTTCAAAAAAATAATTAGGATAACGTTTAAAGCAGATGCAAACTTTTCTCAGTTGTGATGCTTGTTAAAATATATTTTTTTACGTAATTCTCAGATTTTCTCCACAAGAGTTGAAGAGAGAGAAAAATGGAAAATCTTGCTGCTGTGATCGTTTTTGTATTTCCAGATCATATTTTCATCAATCGGTTAAGCGTCTGTAATTATATATGTGTGAAATAATTGCAGGATTTCCTTATTCCAACAAGTCTTGCTTATCCCACTAAAAGCACTTTTATTGTTATATGGGAGATATTGTTATAACAGCAACAATTTGGCAGACCTGCAAAAACTTCCCTTCCCTCCTGCTATTTTTAAAGTTATCTTTTGGCCTGAATGCCAACTGAGTGGTTTACACATGTTTTTCCACATGAGGCTGGTTGTTGTAGGTGGAGTCCCATCAATAGTGTTGACCATACATGACCAAATGGGCTTCTTGGCCAAATTGCCTTCATTTCCTGATCAGCAGCATAAACCGTATTTCGCAAAGATATCCACAACAACTTGAATGTTTATTTTTGGATTTATGGTCACATTCATATGATTAATTTATAGGCTCAGGGTTTTGGAAGCCTGAGGACATTTGAATCCTCTAGATTAAAATCCAAGGCCTTTGGAACTGATAGTATGTCTTCATCTATCTAGGATGTCTTGTGGATGTTTAATAATATTTGCATTTGATACAGCGCCCATAATGGTGAGAATGCCTCAAATCACTTCACAAAGGTTCTTTAAAGTGGAGTGACAGAATTTGTCGGCAAATATAGTAGAATAGAAATAGTTTGTGAAACTGGAAGATGGCAGTGTTGTGATATCCATTTTCTGAAATGAAAGATATTGTTTTAGTATTATTGAAATGCACTGTTGCAGCAATGGGCCACAAATTCTATTTTTGTCCAAATTAAGTTTCCCCAGTTATTTTCTTGATGTCCATTTGACCTAATTTATAAATTAATAAATCAATTTATAAATTATAAATTAATAAATCAGTGTTATTGTAAATTCTATCATGCCTGCTGGCTCTTTGGAAGAAAAAATCCATGCAGTCCCGTTTACCTGCCTTTTTCCCACCACTACACATTGTTCCCTTTTAGGTATCTATCTAATTCACAGGCCCCCACTCTCACCCGTCCCCATTGGCTCCCTATCCTTCAGAGGATCCAGTTCAAGATCCTGGTCCTCACCTATAAAGCCCCCTATGCCTCGCCCCACCTTACATCTGTGACCTCCAGCTCGGGTGTGAAACACTGTCCAGTGCCTTGGGACGTCCTCCCGACGTGAAAGGCGCTATACAAATGTAATCTTGCTGCTGTTGTTGTTGAAAGCTAATATAAGAACATAAGGATTAGGAGCAGGAGTAGGCCATTCGGCCCCTCGAGCCTGCCCCGCCATTCGATAAGATCATGGCTGATCTTCAGACCTAACTCTGATTACCTGCACTATCCCCATATCCCCTAATCCCTCTGTTTTTTAAAAATCTATCAGTCTCAGCCTTGAAGATGTTCAAGGACTGAGCATCTACAGCCTTCTGGGGTAGTGAATTCCATAAATGTTTCCTCAACTCTGTTCTAAAAGGCTGACCCTTAATTTTAAGACTGTGACCCCTGGTTTTAGATTCTCCATCCAGGGGAAACAGACCCTCAGTGTCTACTTTATCAGCCCTTTTAAGAATCTTATATGTTTCAATAAGATCTCCCCTAATGGATCCTGCCTCAGCCATTACTACCAGCAGTAAATTCCATATCCTAACAACTCTTCTGTGTATAGAAAAATTCTCTCTCATCTCCTCCTTTGATAAGTATCTTAATTTGGTTTCCTCCAGTCACTGATTCACTAACCAGCAGAAATGTTTCCCTGTTGAATTTTAGCAGGCCTCCTCTCAACTTCCTCTGTTGAAGTGAAAATAGATCCAGTTTCTCCAGTCTTTGCTTTTAGCTCATCCTTGATGTTCTGATTCGTCCATCATTTTTGATGGTCTGATGTATCCTTTTGTTTCAGATGAATCCCTTAGTTAATTTTCATCCGATTCTTGATCATTACTTTGCCAAGTTTACTTATTCACCACATCATTGCCCTGCCCTTCCCTTGCTTATTATGACTTGTTCCCATTACTAATCCTGAATTGTTTGCTTCCTTTGGTGATGCTGCCTTTTCCTCCCCAGTTAAGCTTGCTGAGCTCCTTTTCCTTTGACCACTTTGTCCATGTTTTTCCTTTTTCCTTTCCCACATTCCGCTGTCTCACCCCCATTGCCTGTTGTTTCTCCAAGAACTATTTTTGTCACCCTTATGCATCCTTGGACATCTACCAACCTTCTTCACACCTTTCTGGAGCCTGCATTTTCCCTGCCCCATTATTCACTGTTCTTGTTCCTTTGAAAAAAGGCAATACATTCGGGTTTCACATAACCATTTTCATTTTATGAACAAAATGCAAAATACTTTTATGAACAAAACGCAAAATCCAGTTCTGATGAAGGGTCGTGGACCCAAAACGTTGACTCACTTTCCTTTCTCCGTAGATGCTGCCTGACCTGCTCAGTGTTCCCAACAACTTCTGTTTTTGTTTCATTTTATGAATCTTATTTTGAAGAAAGAAAAATAGCTGAGCTAATTTTTACAAAACAATGCTGAAGTACCAATTTGCTGTAGCTAAAACGTCTTTTTAAACAGTTATGGAGAAGTGTTTAGGAAAATTATTGTGAGTGTGTGTGTGTGGGGGGGTTTGGCGTTGAAGTCCGCTACACAGCAGAAATACTGTTAATTAATCTGCACAGGTTGTAAAAAAAACAGACAAAATTACGGCCAATACAGACATTGAATATGAAGCTGCAGAATAACGAAATAACTTTTAATATCATAGTTCCATTTTTTTTCTATGGATGGTCTGTCCACATAGAATTAATAGATATACTAACTTTAAAGTTCAGGCATTGTTACAATATTTTACTTTGGTCTTTTATTATAGACATTTGATACCACTGGAGTGATCAAAGAGGAGAACTTTATTGAAATACGATTTTTATCTGCCATCTCCTATGCAGCACAACAGAATGCTTTGTATAGCAATTATACAGTACCCCCTGAATGCCCTCCACCTCAGCAAAAAGGAGAATGCCATGTCAACTTCATCAGAAAGGTAATGTAAAAAGTTTGTTTTACGTTCAAAATTGTGAAGTGCAAATATATTAAAATGTTTTTTTACTGAATTACTTTTCTTCCAGTTCTATCCTCTTTGGTACACAGGGTCTCTGAAGCTGAGCAGGCTCTTAGTCTGCAAGAATGCCAGAATCAAGTCAATCCCCTGTGGCAGTCTCCTGAACCAGGAGGGTCCATAGTACTGCAGGGCACTGCTGATGACAGACCAGCCAGCCTGGCTCATCAAGGGACTGGGGTTGGGGCCGCAGACTAGTCACTGGGAGCAGAGACTGGGTCCCCCTAACCTGTGCTTATACTATTTCTGAATTAGTTAAGAAGAGTGCATCCCTCCAGAAAGAGAGTGCACATTTCATTCCAAAACACAAAATGGGATCTTTAATGAGGAAGTCCAAAATGGAACACAATACACTGTCCAGTATAATTCCATTAAAACTTCCCTAATTGATTGAATACACTGGTTTATAAATTCCAGAATCCCATTTGCCTTCTTGATAGCTTTTTGCACTTGCCATTCCACTTTTATTGATTTATTATTTGTACCCCCAGATCCCTCTGCTCCTCCACTAAGTCTTACCCTTCAGGATATAATTCCACTTTGAAATTATTGTATTCTATATTTATCATGCAGATTGAATAGTTCAGGTATAAGTTCTGCATAAAACAACAACAATTTGTATTTATGTTACATTCATCACGTCCCTTTGGAGCCTGACGCCGAGCCGGGGAGGGAAGAAGTGACTGTAAGCTTGGTTGAAGTGGAAGATCTTCAGGCATGATCTGAAAACTGGGAAGAAAGGGGGCAAGGTGGAGGGATTGAGAGAAGAGAGTTCCAAAGTTTCGGGGCGCAGTAGCTGAAAGCACGACCACCAATGGTGGAGGGGACGAGGGACAAGCAAGAGCCCCAAGCCAACCTAGCAGAGGCAGCTGGTGGAGTGGAGAGTAAGCAGGTCAGAGAGGTAGGGAGGTGTCAGGGTGTGAAGCGATTTGTAGATGAATGTGAGATCTTGAAGTTGATCCTATCTGTGATAGGGAGCCACTAGAGTCTGGTGAGGGTTGGTGTGATACAGATATGGAGTTTAGAGCAGACAGAAGTGTTCTGAATTAATTGGCTTTTGTGGATAGTGAAGCTGGGGAGGAGGGCATTGGAATAATCAAAGCAGGAGGTGACTAAAGGGTGGATGAGGGTTTTGGTTACTTTGGGTGTGAGGTACAGTTGGAAGTGGGTAATGTGATGGAGGTGGAGGAAAGCAATCCTGGTCAGGATACTGGATGTGGGGTAGAAAGGGCAGCTGAAGATTGAACTTGATTCCTAGGTTAAGTACAGGTTCAATAAGTCTTAGGAATAGGTCAAGGAAGTTGAAGAGGTCAGAACCGCAGGAGAGAAGACGTTGATGGGAGCCATTATGGCTTCTGTCTTGTCAGTGTTCAGCTGCAGGAAGGTTGTACTCATTCAGGTCTTGATGTCCGACAAACAAGCTGACAGAACATAGGTAGATCTGGTGTCGTAGCTTGAAGACGAGAAGTAGATTTGGGAGGTCATCTGCATATGTGTGGAAGTTGACCCCTTTTCTGCAGATGACATTGCCGAGAGGGGTAGCATGTAAATAAGGAAAAGAAGGGGGCCAAGGATGGAGTCTTGGAGTAGTTGGGGGTGGGTGGAAGAAACGTTTGCGGGGAAGAAATGATGGCGGTTGGTTAAGTAGTACTCGAGTCATGTGAGTGGGGTCCCATTGAGGTGGTTGAAGAAGGAGAGGCAGTGGAGGAGGGAAGCATGACTGATTGTGTTAAATACAGTGGAGACGTCCAGATGAAAGTAGGCAGAGGGAGCCTTGGTCACAGAGAGTGAGGACGTTGCATACTGTACATCATTCATTTTCTACTAGATGTTTATGAGCTCAAAATTAATTGTTGTTCCTAATTAAAGTTTGTTTGACATAACTATTTAGGAAAGTAGTGCTGATGATTCTCAATTTATTTATAGTGGCCCAACTGAAAGTACACCCTGTGCCTTTATGGATCTGTGCAGTGCATATAAGTTCTATCAGCTTCCTGGAAAATTTCAGCAGTGTTTATGTATAGAAAGTGACATGATCCCTAAGGACAAGTCTAAAATAATTGTCATTCCAAGTCTAGTTTAATGTTACTTAATATTTGCTGTCAGAGCTAACACATGACCACAACTGCCATGTACATATTAGATAAGAAATTTATTGCATCTTCCCTTGGGCTAGTTTCTTAGTGTATAATTTTCAAAAATTGAAAATTATTTCATTATTCTGTCTATTTGCTTAAATTCTGGTTAATGTTATAGAGTAGCATCTTTGGAATTTTCTCTGCCATTTGCTAAGAATAGGGGAGTGGGGGGGGGGGTTACAGAATAGGCCTTAGGTTATACCTAAATTGAAGTGTTGTACTTTTGATTGATTGTAGATTTAACAAATCTGTAATTAACTTAAAAATATATCATCCATTGAGAGATTAAAGTTCTTTGTCATTAGATAATATGATAATGTGGGTTGGCAATTTTGTTTATTTAGATGGCTGTTTGTGGAGATATTTTGTCCATTGACTGCCAGGTTCCACAAAACACAACAACAAAAATTACATTTGTATAGCGCCTTTCATGTTGCACAGACATTTCAATGACATAATAAGGTGCTATATCAATACCAAGAAATTATTATTCTGTTTTGAGGTCATTTAAACTAATCTAAGCGGCATATGCTGATAATGGAAATTTCAAACATGCTGCCAAGATCAAGTACATTTTCTAATAAGTGGAATACCAACCTTGAGAATCTAGGATATCCTCATCTTGAAGGCTTTGAATTTCAAAGAGAAAAACCTGGTTCAACAATAGTTGTTCAATTCACATCTATTGGAATGCATCTGAGTTTTAAATTCTGCTGGCTCAGGAATTTTCTTTTAGTTCACTGCAAGTTCACTTTAGTTCACGTAGGACTTAAAACTAGCAGTTTATTTTTGCAAGAGGGTTTTGTAAACAACAGTGATGGACACTTTGAACAGTATCTTATTTTGCATGAGAATAGAGAAATTATTTGACTATATTCATCACTTTTGCTGAAAATTGTTTTCTTTTTACTTGACTGAAAAAATATCACTGGTACATAGGCATTGAACTTTTGAAGTAAGAGGGGTTTTCAATTCAGAGTATTGTTTGCTTTCTATGGGAACAAAAGCATAGCTAAAGCTTTTGTTAACATGAGATTATTTAATTGACTAGTAGAGAGCAAACCTTGCATTGCTGTGCAGAAAGACCAACTAGGAAAAATCAGAACTTCAGCAGCAACAACTTGCATTTATAAAGTGCCCTTCACCCGGGGTAGTGTCCTGGGGTGCTTAACTTGTATCTGTTTATAGCTTGGCCACTGAATGAGCAAACATGCAGAAGATTTTTTATGAATACTGTAAAGCTGTAAAGCAGCTAAGAACATTATAAGCATTCACCAAGCAGTGTTGGTTTGGATGACACATTTAGAAATTTACAACACAGAAGAAGTTCATTTGACCTATCAAGTCTGCACTTATCCCAATACTTGTTGAAGCCTCTATCTTTCATATACCTGTCTATTTCAATCCACGACTGATTGTGGGACACTGCTGTGCATAATTGGCTGCCGTGTTTCCCCCACAAAATATATACAGTCAATTTACTTTACAGTATATTCTGGGAAGCGCTTTGAGACGTCTCGCAGACGTGATAAGGTACTGTATTGAATGCAAGGATTATTGAACATCCTCCTGATGTGAAAGGCGCTATACAAATGTAATTTGTGTTGTATTATTATATTATTATTTCCCTCTTGAAACCCACAATATACTCTGTCTGTACCTGGTAGGGTATTTTACATCCCAGCATTTCTCTGAGTGAAAACGTCTCTCCTAAGTTTACCTAAATGTTGGATTACCTTACTGTAGGAGTTGTTTTCTTTATCTTTGGAGTTCATGATCAACCTTCAGAGGTCCTGTCCATATTTGCTTCACTGTTCTGTTTCAAATTAGGTGCTCTTTGGAGTGATTAGGGATGATGTCTCTGTTGCATTGTTATTTAAGTCTTTGTCACTCAAAGAATTAAGGGTAAGAAATTGTAGTGACTTTGAGGGAATTTGTAAGCACACATTCTTAAAGTTACAACACGTAGTGATCAGTAACATTTCACCGTCCTAAGACAGCCATTCATAATAGGGCCTAAATACAGTAAACCTCAGGTCAGTCTTTTCTGTATAAATCGTATAATTGCCTAAATCGTACATTCACCCAAATTCCGTTCAATTTTCTATTAAATCCACTTAAATTTACATGTACTAGTTGTATTAACCACCACATAACCCGTAACCTCACTACCAACTTGGTGCTACAGCACTTACCGGCTGCCAGGTGAAAACCTTGTTTCCTATGTCTATTTCAAATGCAACAACACACATGCCACCTAAATACTGTCCTCGCTCCCCCTCCCGGAGGTGTAATATCAATGTCATCGCGCATGGCAGTGTGGGGGTGGGGGGGCGGTGGGGAGGGTGGAGTTGAGAGAGGGAAGAGCACCCTCTGATCACGTAGCTAGTGAGGGGGAACTATCCCTGCATGTGCATTTACAGCCTTGAAGTAGCATGCTCCATGCGAAACAATTGTGGAAACTAATTCACAACAACAACAACAAGATTACATTTATATAGTGCCTTTCACATCGGGAGGACGTCCCAAGGCACTGGACAGTGTTTCAGACCCGAGCTGGAGTCAGGGAAGGAGAAGGGAGGGGAGGGGAAGGGGGGGTGGCTGATGGCACGGTCGAAGAGGAGGGTTTTGAGGCTGGACTTGAAGGAGGGGGTGAGGCGGAGTGATTGGGGGATGGAATTCCAGAGGTTGGGGGCAGAGTGGCTGAAGGCTCTCTCACCAATGGTGGGGCGGGTGGGTCGGGGGACGTGGAGCAGGACAGAGCGCGCTGAGCGGAGGGAGCGGGCGGGTTGGTAGGGGGTTAGGAGATCGCAGAGGTAGGGTGGGGCGAGGCCATGGAGGGCTTTGTAGGTGAGGACCAGGATCTTGAACTGGATCCTCTGAAGGATAGGGAGCCAATGGAGTCGGGCGAGAGTGGGGGAGATGGGGTCACGGAGTTTGGTGCGGGAGAGGACACGGGCTGAAGAGTTCTGGATTATCTGCAGCGTGTGGAGGGCGGAGTTGGGAAGGCCGACAAGCAGGGCGTTTCATTGGCAAGCCTGGATGTGATGAAGGCATGAACAAGAATTTCAGTGGCCTGAGGGGTGAGGTAGTGGCAGAGTCGGGCGATGTTACGGAGGTGAGGGAAGGCAGAGCGGGTCATGACTTGGATGTGGTGAAGAAAAGACAGTTGAGGGTCGAACAAGACACCGAGGTTCCTGACTAGTTTGGTGAATTGAAGTGTGCAACCATTGAGGTTGATGTTTCCAGAGCCTGAGGTGCTGAGGCGCTGGTGTGAGCCAATCAGGAGGGCCTCAGTCCTGTTCACATTCAACTGTAGGAAATTTGCCCTCATCCAGGACTTGGTGTCCGACAGACAGTCTGTCAGCACAGCAGTGGTCCTGGAGTTGAGGGAGGAGGCAGAAAGATAGGGTTGGGTGTCATCCGCATACATATGGAAGTTGACCCCATGTCTGCGGATGATATTAGCAAGGGGGAGCATGTAGATATTAAAGAGGAGAGGGCCAAGGACAGAGTCCTGGGGGACGCCAGATGTGACAGTGCGGGGGCTGGAGGAGAAGCCCTTAGAGGTAACAAAGTGGAGACGGTGAAAGAGATAGGATTCAAATCCGGCAAGGGCGGGAGAGGCGGTGTATGAGGATGGAGTGGTCGATAGAGTTGATGACGTAGAGAGGTCGAGGAGGACAAGGAGGCAGAGGGAGCCCTGATCACAGATGTTCAGAATGTCATTAGTGACTTTGACCAGTGTTGTTTACGTGTTGTGGGCAGCGCGGAAGCCGGAATGGAGGGGTTGAAAGAGGGAATGGCGAGAAAGAAAGGAGCAGAGCTGGGAGGGCGACGACTCGTTCCAGGATCTTGGAAAGGAATGGGAGGTTAGAGAAGGAGTGATAGCTGGAGAGTAGGGATGGGTCCAGGGAAGGTTTTTCAGGATGGAGGTGATGACGACTGTTTTTAGGGGGGTAGGAACTGAACGAGTGGACAAGGAGAGGTTGATGACATCGGACAGGAGAAGGGCCAGAAAGTGGAGCTGGGAGATGAGAGAAGTGGGGATGGGATCAAGGGACTAATTTAACCCATCACAGCATGCGCACTTCCCGGCTGCAATGCTGAAGGGACCACGTGTGCATTACAGAACAGTGAACCAGTACGGAAAACAAAGTTTTGACAAGCCATCATGGCATTAAGCAATTCAGATACCCCAACTAAACACAAATTAAGGTTATATTCTATTAAAACAGTTCTGCTTTTAAACCTGTTTGGTTGTGCCATTCATTATACAGTACATGTTGTCTGCACACCAGGTACAGTACTGTGCAGTACTCTATATGGAACGATTGGGCTACATAGCTTTAATATACCTGGATTAAACATGATACAGAAACTCTGCCTTAATTTCACCAGCCAGTACAGTACTTGTGTACTGTATTTGTTATGTATTTATTAGTCATATAAAATCCAACTTATACGTAACTTTACATAAGTCATATATGATACGACTTATGCAAGTTTGCCATAACCAGTACTTTGCATAAGTCATAGTAAATATTATGATCCCAACTGATACGACTTGTGAGTTTTACTGTGTAATGAAAAGGAGGAAGATCACTTGGCCAAAATGGTAGCACAAGTGTAATAATTTGTGGAAGGTGCAATGTCTTTATCTATTTTTTTCCTTTTTCTCTTAACTCGTGGGCGTTTCCAGTTATATGTGAAGGCTGAAAATTATACTTATAATAGGAGTATTGTATTGTCCTGTAAATAACACACTTTTGAAATACTTTTCTCCTGAAAGTTCAAGTGCACATTATACATTAGTGACTGTAGATCTTGGATTCAGCTGCTATCTGCACCAGTCACTGGGTTTCACTTGAAGCTCCAAGGTCATACCCACATTTTAATCTTTTGCCGTTTTCCTTCTATGGTCTCTCAGTACAGTGCACAATAATGTAGCCAAATTAAAGTCTGTTCCATAGAGGAAGTGAGAAAGTCAGCTCCGCTTCCATGGGCCGACTATCACTACCTCAGACCAGCTGCTTTATGTTTGTGGTATTATCACTTGAGTTGTTAACTCATTCAAGGTCCATTTCTCCTTTATGACATTAACTTCTCTTTTGTTTGCTTGCTGGTTCACGTTTCTGTAATTAGAGTAAATTCTGATGAAGGGTCGTGGACCGAAGATGTTGACTCACTTTCCTTTCTCCATAGATACTGCCTGACCTGCTGAGTGTTCCCAGCGACTTCTGTTTTTGTTTCAGATTTCCAGCTTCTGCAGTATTTTGCCGTTTGTCTGTAATTAGAGTATTGCCTAATTATTTACTTAAATTGTTATTGCAGCTACCTTTGGCCCTGAAACTAGTCTGCAGTTTTCACCTCTCTTATCAGATGACTGCAAAATCCTCATTGTATTTGCCAGTTCAGGTGAATGAGGAAGAATGTTATATAGTATTGTATTGTACTATTGTATTGTGTAAAAGGTCTCTTGTTGTAGGTATTTTAGCTAAACAAAACTATAGAGACTATAGCTGAGAACTGTCTGCTACCACAATCTCAATGTCAGATTCATAAATGCCTTGATTCATACTTAAAAGTAGTTATCTATACTGTGTTCTACTTATATAGTTGTTTAGTTTCTGCAGTATAACCTTCATTGTTAGAATAGAAATTGCTGTAAAATTGTAAATCCTCTTTGACCATGCTCCATCATTTTTAAGTGCTCTGAGACGCTATCCTGCGTGGAGGGCACTACATAAGTGCAAGTTGTTGTTGTTGTAAATTTAAAATGGCAAAAATGATTTGGAAAGAATTGTAAACATGTAGGAATTGCAGCATTAAGCAATTATTTTCACAGATTTTACGATTAATTTTGACAGAACTGTGAGTAACCGCTTAAATTCTTATCATTGAAATACCTACTATCAAAAGTTCTTATTAATTTTGTTCTGCTTATAAACATCTTGGCAGCAGGCTAGTGAATTCTATATCATCAGTGTAAACAAATGTCACAACCCAGCCGTGGATTATATGAAGAATGTAAACTTTCCTGGCATCTTATTTGCTCTTTTACTTAATAATATCAATCCTGGCGTTTGACAGAGTACAATTGTTGTTGATACATCTGAAAGCGCTTCAGAGGATTTACTGTAAAGTGTAGTGACAGTCTACACAGTGTACACAGTAGCCAATATGTACACAGCGATGTTGCACACAGCCAAGGAATGAATAACTAATTTTATCTGGGGAATCTTTGGCCCGGAAACCAGGAGAAACTCCCTTCTCTTTTTCGAATTGTGCCACAAAATGTTTAATGTCCACCTGAACAGACTGGACCTTAGTTTAACAACTCATCTGAAAGACTTAACTGTCAGTGTTGATTTCTTTGTAATTCAGAGAGAAGGGGAAAACATTTACCAAATTAGTAGTGTACATTGCATGTTTGCAGCAGATTATGAGAGAGTAAATTTTAAAAAAATTACATTTAAAATCTGATGTGGACATTAAGGAAACACATTTTAACTCTGGTAATTAAGTTGTTCCTGCTTTCAGATTTTTGTATTGTCACAAAAATGAAGGCACATGAAGGCACACGAAACAAGGTGCATATATCCCAAATCCTTAAGGGAACGAAAGAGGAAATAAAGGATTTGTTGCAGTATTTTTAGAATTTCCTAAGGGGAGGATAGAGATTATTGTTCTGATATTCAACAACCTGTAAATTTTGTAGACTGGTTAGCCCAATATCTAGTAGAGAAATTATAACAAAAATTATAATAGTTTGTCCCTCATAAATCTATTGCAAATTGACAAATTAATTAAATTATCTAGAGGAATTGGCTGATTTTTCAATAAGTATTAAAGTTAATAGCAAGAAATTAATAAATTGAATTGAATGTAACTAGCAATTGAAACAGAAAGTGTTAATAGGCAAATCTTTATGTTGAGGGTAGTAATTTTGGAAATCTGCAGTGGTCTGTAGTTTTCTGAACACTTTGGACCAGGATGTCTAACTTCAAAGTGGCTATATCTTTAAAGTGCAATGATAGATGAATGTTTCAGCTACTTGGACCCTGTCCACCATCTGCTGTATCATTTTTCACATGGGAACATTTGGCATAAATAAAGATTGAAAGCACCTGCACGGTTAAAAATGAACTTTGCAAGTAGAAATATATTTTCTATATTTTGGGTGAAGCTGGGAATACAATCAGAAAGTGGTGGTAACAGGGCTAATAGGAAAGGGCTCATGTGGAGTTTAGATTGAATGGATAGGATAAAGAATACAAGCCAGAGCCATTACGTTGCTGCCAACTCCCTTTTCAAAAATTCCGGTGACTGATAAAGTAAGGGGATGTACTGTATGTTTCTTCACAGATAAATCTCCATAAAAATCTTGAAGTTTGATAATTTAGCATATAATGGAAGAAAATAATAATGTGGTGCAATTCTGTATATTAATTTCTAGGAGCAGTGTTCTTTCAGCTGGGACTGGGGTCCATCCTTTCCTACACAAGGCATCTGGAAAGATATAAGAATCGAAACGTTCAATGTCTGCCACCTAACACATCTCACTGCAACTTCTATTTATGGTGTGTGTTGACATTACAATTTTATTGTATAATTTAGGCATTGCCATTGAATATACTTCTTATGTTTGATATGTTTAAACAAATCCTAAAGTGTTTTGCTGTGTGTCTCACAATCAGAGTTCCAGTATTAAATTTTAATATTTAAATTTTGTTTACGAATTTTTAAAAAGGATGCATTGGAAAAGAAATTTTAATTTCATTGAAAACGTTCCTTTTAAAACTGTTAGAGATGTTGAGTGGAGGCTCTAGGTGAATTTAATTGACTCACAGAATTGCAGCAGATTTATGAAGGACAATTTATTATTGTCAATTATTCTTTACGACCTCTGCTCTTCAGATAAACAGTGATTGTATCTTGGGTAATGATTTTAAATAATTTCCCTATTACTGATCTTGATATAACCATTCTATAATTCACAGGTTTATGACTCATCCTTTCATTGAATATCAGCCTAATAATCTCTAATCCTCAAATTCTCATCTCTGCTATGAGCTTTGACTTATTGAATTCCCTCCAACATCTTTCCAGCACCTTGTCTTGTTGAAAGCAGTATTTATATTGCCAATTGTGTCCAGGTGGCATTTATTAGCTTGTAAACTATTTTAAACCAATCAAGATCTTTGATCTAAAAACAGTTTCTGATTTGCTGTGGGTCTGTCTGCCATCAGATTTGCAGCCTTTGGAGCGTAACACTTGCAAACCAAGTGTTCTCAGTAAATATTGTTCTCGATATTCTCAGCAAAGAATAGACCCTTTTACTCCTGCTTTGTTTATGTAACAGATTTTGATCTTTCTGTTTTCAAGTACAGGCAAAGTGTTTGAAAAATGGGTGAGTAAATAAAGCAATGACAGAATGACAGTGTTATGTATCTCTCTTAATTTGTAGATCAGGAAACCCAGCAATGGTCAGTGGAGACAGAGACCTTTTTTGACGTTAGTTATTCAAAGATGATCAAAGGTGATTTGACTGTTAGCATTCTCTCCTTACACATACAAAATACCTACAAAGTAGTTCTTCAGCCCGGAGAGAGCCGTAATAAAGTGCAGCTGAACATAAATCAGGTGAGAGTTTTTTTTNCAGATGCTTAAAAAGCATTTGTGTTTGATATATCTCCTAACTGCATACATAAAAGCATCTCAATCCTCACACGATGAGTTACATTTGAAGTGTATTGATTGTTATGTGGGTAAACATGGCATCTGGTCTGAGTCAGCAGCATCCCACATATGTAATGAGTTGAATGACCAAAGTTAAATAAAATTAATCCTTGCATTTGGTATAGTGCCTTATGTCTTCGAGACGTCTCAAAGCGCTTCCCAGAATATACTGTAAAGTGAATTGTATATTTTGTGGGCGAAACACGGAAATGTTTTACTAAGTTTGGATGAGCAAAGACTATTGACGAGAACACTGAAAAACTGTTCTTTCAAATAACATCATGGGATCTTTGAAAAAATATCTGACTCACCAGAATTGAAGGCAGGACCTAAATTTAATGGATTAAAGTACTCTAGCTCTTAACAATGCATCACTCCTTCAGTATTGGACTAGAGTTTCAGCCTAGGTTATGAGATCTTGTAATTGTACGCTTCATAACTCCTGTCTTCAGCACCACAAAGGAAACACCCCTTAGTCTCTTGACCTTCCTTCTGGGGTTATTATGACTTTTAAGTTTTTCACCTAGAGAACTGATTCTTGGCTGTTAATGAGATCAAGCATTTATCATGTCAGCCCAGCCGATATAATTGGTCATCTTATGTGCACAAAACCCAGCATTTCTGTGCACAAATTGGCTGATGTGTTCTCCTACAAATAAACAGTAAAATTCTGTGAAGAACTTTTAGATATCTTGGTGATGTGATAAGGTGCTCTATGAACTGAAAGGGTTATTATTTTTAATAACAGAAGGTGGTAATGCAGTTCTTCTATACCTCCTTTCTACCAGGCGGAAATGGAGAAGAAAGATTCATCTCTTTGCTGCTAAACTAACCTTAGTTTATTAGCCTTTGAAGAAATTTAGCCAACTGTTAAATGCTTATGAGTTACTTTAAAGAGATCATATCACAGAATTTCAAAAGGACATGGATCTGCATTTTTATTCCCACCTCACCTCCCCCATCGGAAACCAGCAATGATTTCCAGTGATATTATCTGATGGATTTGTGGATAATACTGACTTTCCGAGGACAAAGGCAGGTAGAAAATCTCTGGGCAATATTTACACTTGTAAATAGTGTAATTGGAAGAGTATCTTCTGTTATCCACTCATCTATAGAAAAGCATGTGCAAAAACAATATATTCATCACTAAGATTTATTTTATGTTTTGCACTTTGTTTTTCAGAGTACTTCTATTGATCTTTGGTGGCCCAATGGTCATGGCAATCAGACTGGCTACAACATGAGTGTCACTTTCACAATCAAAGGAAAGCATCGTATTGAAAAGTTCATTAAGGTCAGTAGTTTTACTGAAATAATTTCTGAAGTTAAAACAATAATAATAATAATTCTTGCATTCGATATAGCACCTTTCATGTTGTCAATATGTCTCAAAGCGCTTTAGATCATCTTACTGTAAAACAGCATGGTCCAACTGGTGGCCCACAAGTGGTGCCGGCCTGGCGGGTGATTTTATCCATCCCAAGACCATTTCCAACATTCCAATGTCCACTCCCTCCCTGGTGAACATTCTCCCTTGACAACGGCAAGAGCCGGGGGTTGGAAGGGATGCAGTGTGGAGAGTGAAAATAGTACTAGCGTCACTGCAGTCTGTCAGGCAGACAAGTGTGTTTTCCTTATCCACCGTGAACTGCGCGGCTGATTAGGGGAGAGAGGGATTCAGAAGGTGGGAGGGGGAGATAGGGGGAAGGGGAGAGGTTATAGAGAGTGATTGAATGAGGTGCTATATCGAATGCACATTGTGTGTGTGTGTGTGTGTGTTTGTGTGTGTGAGAGAGTGAGGTGAGAAAAGGAGAGACAGACAGAGAGGGAGAGAGAGAGTGTGTGAGAGGGGAGATGGAGTGATTGTGTGAGAGAGAATCTGAGAGGGGGAAAGAGTTATTAAGAGGGGGAGATAGTATATGAGCGAGGGGAGGGAAGGTGAGACTGAGAGAGAGATTGTGAGAGGGAGGGGGAGAGAGCAGAGAGAGTCATTGAGAGAGGGAGAGAGTGTGTATGAGAGAGGAGAGGGGGTTGAGAGTGATTGAGAGTGGGGGGGAAAGAATGTGAGAGGAGAGAGACGGCTATACAGAGAGTGTGTGAGAGGAGAGAGACGGCTGTACAGTGATAGTGATTGAGAGAGGGGGAGAGAAAAACAAAAAGAGAGAAAGCATAGAGAGGGGGTTGGGGGGGGGAGAATTGAGGCTGAACGGGTCAAGCCATGGATGTGGAGTTTAAAGGACAATTAAGGGTCGAACAAGACACCGAGGTTCCTTACTGGCTCTGTGAAGTGGAGTGTGCATCCATTAATAATGAAGCTGTGAGTGCCTGAAGTGAGAAGGCACTGAAGAGAGCCAAGCAGGAGCATCTCTGTCTTATCGACATACATCTGGAGAAAGTTAGCTCTCATCCAGGACTTGATGCCCGACAGGCAATCCGTCAGGACAACAGTGTTCCTAAGATTGAGAGTAGCAGCAGAGATAGAGTTGGGTGTCCTCTGCTTACATGTGAAAGTTAACCCTGTCTGCGGATTACATCACTGAGTGGGATCATGTGCGAGTGGGACCAAAAACAGAGCCCTGAGGTACGCCACACGTGACGATGGGGGGCTGGAAGAGAAGCCGCTGGCAGATACAAAGTATCGATGGGAACGATAAGATTGAAACCAGGAAAGGACAGAACTATGAAGATAGAGCTGAGAGAAAAGGAGGAGAAATTAGACTGGTCGACGATGTCAGAGAGGTCAAGAAGGACGAGGAGGCAGAGAGACCCCTGGTCACAGATGAACAGAATATCATTTCTGACTTTGACTAGAGCAGTCTGGACTGTGGGCAGCATGGAAACCAAATTGGAGGGGTTCATATAGGGAGTGCCGTTAGAGTAAAAAGTGAAGCCGGGAAACTATTCATTCCCTCTAATATGCTATTCCTCTAATACCATGTTAGAGGTGTGATTTCCATACGTTTCTTAGAACTTGGAACCATATCAACATCATGAAGGGCCCAATTGTGAATGAGCAAAAAGCAACCACAAAGAAAACCACATTTTAATGGCTAGATTAACAGCGGGTGGGTTTTCTGCTATTCTGCTACCTCTCTGACTTGTTTCCTCCTCCCTGTGTCTGAAATGAAAATTGAAGTGACTGTATATTATTATTTTTATAACCCGATTCCCTGACCAAAGAATTTGTTGCCTTATGATTTCAACAGGTCTATTTTAGGACAGTAGAGTTGGTACAAGAGTCTATCACGGGATCTCCTGGACTAAGCTTTTATTTTAGGATCAATGGAGTTCCAATATTCATGAAAGGTTCAAACTGGATTCCTGCAGATGCCTTCCAGGACAGAGTGACATCTGATGTGTAGGTTTTGTTTAAAAAATTACAATGGATGGATTCATCAACATCAGTAAATAAAATAATTAAGGTTAGCTTTTAATAAAACTAGCTCAGGATTTTGCATGCCACATGTACTGTTCACTTTCGTAAATGTTTTGCATATTTCATAGTTATTAGGTCATTCTCTGCAAGGACACTGTCTGACTGATATCCTGTTTGTCTCCCTGCCCCCAATACAACTGCAGATCTGCTAACATGTTAGTGAAACTAACCGTATGTGTTTTTATAAATTTAAATCTGATATTCATTGAATTGTTGATAAACTTGGCCAGTCTTCAGTAGTGTGTGGAAGACATTTAGAAAAAAAGGAAGAATACCTACTTTGTATGCTCTTCATTCTTATAATCAGAGGCCATTGCAGAGAGCATATTGAAACAATAATTTTGGAAACAATGAAATGAAGAGCTACAAAGATATGTATGTAGTACGAGGACGCGAGAATTATATCAGGAATGTATCTTAAAATAATTATGTCCAAAACTTATTGTGAAGAAATGTTATTCATCCATGGCTTCCCACAGTGCTGATGTAGCCCTAAATCCAGCAATGTGTGGAGGATTCTCCTGTTTTAGTAAATTGCTCCTGGGTCTTGAGTTGCTTCTAGCTTTAAATACATATAAACAACATCTAACAATAATAGTGTCTGCTCTAAATGATCCTTAGTATATATTGTAAATTTAGTGTCTGTTTATTTTTCTAATTTTCTCCCCATTGGCACGTGCCTCTCTGCTCCTGTCCCAACCTCCTCTTGCTGGAGGGTGGTTCCACAGGTGTTGGTTGCTCTCGGGAATCCGGGCTTTGTTCATGTGCGAGTTTTTTCTGTGAGTGCCAGCAAGCTACTGTAGAGGGTGTCACAGTTGAGCCTGACCTCTCCCCACCATCTACAACTCATGCACAACAAGAGGGTGCTGAAGAGGGATGTGAAGGAAGGGGCCATGTCTAATTTTCTGCTTTCTATGGCAAGGCTGGGGCCAGTTTAGTCTTACCAATTTTTAATTAAATTTCAGCCAGTTAGAGGTAATTCCAGACATTTTCAAAATGCTTAATCTTTATTGGAAAGTTTTATGGCAAAAACCCAAATTTTAAAATTCAATTACTGTGTTATAAGTGTCATGATTTATCATGCACATTTACATTTTTAATTTTCCAAACTACGACAGGCACAGCACACAAGGCAACGTGCTTTAAAAATACTACTTTGACATCACCTTTGTTAATCCATATAGGTGGAATTATTTGTGTTAGGTTTCAATAGAATGCTAAAATGAAGAAATTGCAAATGCAGTTTAATAATGTTCCTAAAACTTTTTTTAAATTAAACAGAACCATAAAAGGGATTTAGTACTATATGCTAAAAGTGGTTACAAAATAAATTATATAATTATAATAATAATAATACTTGCATTTGATATAGCGCTTTTCACATCAGGAGGACGTCCCAAAGCGCTTCACAGAACACACTGTAAAGTGAATTGACTGTATATTTGTGGGTGAATGCAGCAGCCAATTGCGCACAGCAGTGTCCCACAAACAGTCGTAGATTGAAAATGACCAATTTATTATTGTTTTTGGTTTTGGAGGGATTATTATTAGGCTCTGTGTGGAGTAAGGAAACTTGCCCAAGGTTTCGCCCTCTGCCTGGAATTGAACTCAGGTCTCTCACTTGCAAAGCGAGTGCTCTAACCACTGAGCTACAGGACTCCACGAAAGTGTCTTGGATCCTGAACTTGTGCACCACACAACTTTCTCCTTTTATAGTTTCCTTCTGCTTGTATCAGTTAAAGTTGGTTGCTATAGATAATGAAAGGTTTGCCTTTATTGATAAATCCTGGAATTGGTGAAAGGCTGGTATTATTTTACCAATGGAAGGGAAGGTGACCACAGGCCAGTTTATAAGTTGTCTTATGTAAAGTTTATGGCCTTTCTAAGGTAGTCCGAGTGCTCTAACCACTAAGTTACAGGACTCCACAATGCTGTTTACTTATGCTGTTTACTCTTTGTTTGATTTAATTTGCCTAACTTTGTTGTTTGTCCAGCAATGAAAACTAAGTCCTAATTAATTGACTGATTCTGTAATTTAAATATTTGTAGGCCAGAGATCAGGTTATTGGCAATAGAAAATATTTCTAAATTGATGGTGTTTGAAGGACATTTTGCTTGATTGAACTTTAATGAGCTGTCAGTCACATCAGCTCAGAAAGACTTCTAAACACGCAGAACAATTCACAACAGCTGATATTGTTCTGAGTATTGCGATTGTGGTTTTATTTTTTTTTGGATGTTCTATCTTTGGTTCATTATTTTTAACATTCTATACTTGTTTGTGTGATTCACAGTTTACGAAATTTGCTGCAGTCAGTAGTGGATGCCAATATGAATACACTGAGGGTTTGGGGAGGAGGAGTATATGAACAAGATGAATTCTACAATCTGTGTGATGAATTGGGAATTATGGTAAGAAATTAAAAAGTGAATGTTTTTTGAATTCAGAATTAAGGGTTTCAGGAAAAATCTACCTTTTTTCAAGTGGTACAAGAGCAGACTGCTAGGAGCTCCGTTCTATAAACAGTATAAACAGTAACTTACTATAGTTACTATAAACAGTAACTTACTGTAGTTACTATAAACAGTAACTTGTGCATTGTACTGACAAGATTTGGTAGGTGATCATTTTGTTATAATAATAATCCTTGCATTTGATATAGCACCTTATCACGTAGAGACAGCTCAAAGCGCTTCAAAGAATGTACTGTAAAGGGAATTGACTGTATATTTTGTGGGCGAAACGTAGCAATCAATTGTTTCAGCATTAGGCCAGAATTAGGCCAGAACACAGTGTGTTCTGTGAAGCGCTTTGGGACGTCCTCCTGACGTGAAAAGCGCTATATCAAATGCAAGGATTATTATTATTATAGGCCGTTCCATATTCTAAATTTACTGGATAATGATGCAAAATATCATCAAGCTAGGCACATGGAGGTAGAATAATCCTTCACTGGACTAATGTTGCATTTATGTTGCATGTTTGACAGTGAATCATTGCAGGTTTGTCAGTAACTCATTGCTAAAAGTTATGTATAAATCGGGTCTTGGACAGTGTGAAATATACTTGGACTATGGTGTAATACCACCTTGATGATGTGGGACTTTTAAAAGCAGAATTTTTGATGTTGCATAAAATCTACAGTACCGAAACACGTCACTTGAACATGGTAGTCAATGCCAATGTGTTTACTCTATGAGCCGCCACCCTTCCTTATCCCTTTCCCTACCTTCCCCTTCCATAACTTTTAATCGTAATAATAATTAATAATCCTTGTATTTGATATACTGCCTTTCAGTTCAGGAGGACATCGCAAAGAGCTTCACATAGTATACTGCAAAATGAAATGACTGTATTTTGTAGGCAAACGTGGTTTTATTCCCTTCTCTCTCATTATGCTCTTTAAGAGCAGAATGATTGACCAATTATTTTGAAACCTACCACCGTATTTTATCATGGATAAATCTCCAAATGTGTGTTAATTTTTCCTAACTTATTCAAAATAATATTGATATAGCAGTATGGACCTGGATTCCTGTACCACTCTAAATAGTGAGGGTGAAATGGCTTTGTCCTCAGGTACAAAAATAGCATTATTTTATTGCTACCAGGAATAACTGACAATTCTGGGCTGGTTCCTACCCCGATCATGAAGTGTAATATTATATAAAAATTAGGAATTATCACTATAAGGTAAATGTTATTCATAATGTTTTTTTCACATCTAGTGAAAGTTATTTGTGCCAAATCAACTTCCTCTAGACTTCAGTTCCTCTTTAATTCACATGCTAAACTTGTACCCTTCAAGCCCAGAACTTCAACTAAACAACAAATTGCACTTATATACTTCAATATCATTTGAATGTTTTGGAATTGATAAAGAAGTTTGATCAATTATTTTTAGCTTTGTAAATAAATTTTACGTCTTCTTTCATTGAAAAGAATGGAGGTTTTGTCCATTGGGTGCCCTGCTTGTATTCTAAAGAAGTAATTTCTCCCAATCTACACAATCAAAACCCCTCAAAATTTTAGACCTATATCAGATCTCCCCTCAACTTTGTTCTAGTAAAAATAAGCCCAGTTCCTCCAGTCTTTGCTCATAGGTCAAACCAATGTCATCCCAGGAATTCTACTCCGTATCCTCTGTCCACGATATATTTTCTGAAGTTACAAGTTGACCAAAGCTGGACACAATACTCTAATTGCAGTTTAACTGCTGATTTATACAGGTTAAGCAACAGTCAATAGTAAATTTGTTACCTGTGCGGACGACCTATATGACTTGGTACTTATGCAATATTGGACTTTGATCATAATGTATATCCAAACAATAAGTATTTTGTTCTTATCCATTGCTTATCCCTATCATCATCTATCTTGTGCATTCTAAATAATAGGCTCTCTAAGAATTTGCTGACTCAATGATGGAATTATATTACTGCTTTGCGAGACTGAAAAAAAAGGGCTTTTACTTCCTGAAATACCATCTTGTGTATTCACTTTGCAGATTTGGCAAGATTTCATGTTTGCCTGTGCTCTTTATCCAACTGACAAAAGCTTTGTTGATTCAGTAAAGGCAGAGATTATTCATCAGGTGAGTAGACTTGAGCTTCACAACGGAAATGCATTTTTTTCAATTCATATTTTGAAAAAAANGATTTTACTAGTATATATAAAGAATAAACTCATGGGAGTGCAGCAAAAAGACCAAATAAAATGCCTGAATTAAGGTCATGATTTACAAACAATACCTACAATAGCAGATAATCAAGAGGAAGCAAAATGGGTGATGAGAAAAATAAATCAGAAAGGTAAAGCTCAAGTGAATTGTATTCATAGTCTGAATTCTACAGTTGTTTAGCTGTGTTTAAGTTCCTTTTTCTGTTATTTTGATAGTTCAATTAATTCCATAATGCCACCTTGATGATTCCATAATTTAATTGTTAAATATCCCATAAATTACTCTTATTTATAAAATCAGTAACTTTCAAGAAGCCACAAACAAAGTTTCAACTGATTGGAAATTACATTCTTATTATCAGCAATCTTTAATCTTCTATATTATACATGCTAATAAAACAACAATGCCTGTCGGTGCTTCAAGAAGGATCCCAATAACCAATTGATGTAGAGACATGATTTATACCTCATCGGAAAAGTCTTGTAACTGGGAGTGACATGGGCATATTTGTTTTCGGGTATCTCCTATCGTTCATGAGTTATTTTCAGTTTTATACTGCAGTTACACCTTGTGGCCCCGGGTCAAAGTGATGCTGCAGCATAGCACATCACAGACCACCTATGTATGTACCCCTACGCTGCAGTTACATCTTGTAGCCGCACTGGCTGACCGTGGCACTGTGGCATCCTGCGTCACAGAGCAAGCACATAGCCAAGTGGTGGGAACAAAATAAAGAACACAGATGAACTAAGCCACGGCAACAACGGTTTCAATTTTTAAAGCACCGAGTCCTCCCACTGAGTTCTCCCAAAAGGAGTCCTCCCGGAAGAGTATAGATAAAGATGAAATGTCTTTCTGTGTGTCTTCTTATGTGTCAATCTACATTCCATATTGGATCCTTTGGTTGCAAGCGAAGCTGCAATGGGTACAGCCAGTATTGTATAAACATGTAGAAATACAGCAATTTCCCTCAATAAGAGGTGTACATGAAAACTGAACTGAGGCTTCTTCGCACACCCTCTACTGAGGTTCCTTCCCTGGCATGTGATTCTGAATGGTCTTCCTGGCTCTTGCTATCAGAATTAAGATGGGTAGGAGTTCTGACAGGTAGAATTGTCTAATCATTCCTTAGAAATTAAAAGCTCCCTGGAGTGAAATTAACTGGTTTATCGTCAAAATGGAGGATCTTGCAGGATCATTCACTGCTGCTGTTGCTGAGAGAATGGGAGTAGGTACAAGCAGTATAAGTACATCAGGATTCTAGGAAAAGAAGAGTCAGCCTACGTCACTCTTTTAGTTATTTAATAGTCAAGCACGGAAGACCAATAAACCACCACATTTTCAGTTCAGTTTTTTAGTTAATCAGTATTGTATTAAATTATAATTTAATAGCATATATATGATTGCAACTGTGAGAATAACATAGTCAGAACAGCAAATTAGCTGATATATCTTCCCAGGTTGCCCCAGGATCGGTTTTGAATTTGGTGTAATTCTAAATTATTGAGATGTGAAACAACCAGTCGCTGTATAGTACCACTGTACTCTATCTGTATGTTTCATTTATAAAAACTTTTTTTGGGGGGGTCATTTGGCTGTTTGACTTCTGCAGAAATCCAGAGTATTCTAACTAGATTGTGAGTTTCACAATTGCATGCACTTACGCCTGAAAATTTCACACATAAATTGTTGATGAACGCTAAATAATATACAGGTTTTTACGCACATCAATACAAGTTTTATCAAGTGTGTGCAAATGTTTTCACCAACATTATCCAATTTAAGTAGGTTTGTAAAGAATAATCCATTCGCATAGGGATACTTCAACCATCTAGTTTCATTCAGGTTTAAACACTACAGACGCTTCATTCACTGTTTGTAATCAGAAGTGGCATAGGTCAAGTGTTTTTAGTATATAATTCCCTTAGGAGTGCAATGAAAAAGTTCTAAAGAAAGGGAACAACAGAACAGATGTTGTTGAAATAGTGCAGTAGAGCATTTTTATAAGTACTAGGAACTTTAACTCTCAACCACTCAAGTAACAAATTACTGAGCATTCTCTGTATAAAACTGAAAATAATACTTCAAGAAAATTACGCCAGGTATCGTCCTCTAATTTATAGTACAACTAAAATCAGACAAGACTTCTGATTGCAATCCAGTAATCTTTGATAAAAAAATCCATCTGTGGACAGAGCCCAATGACCATCTGGATAAGGTTGCCTCTAAAACTGTGTTTCAGAACCTAAAGGAGAGAAAACTGAAGAAAGGACAAAAGTTATTGTCTGAAGTAATCTCATTTTGATCATCTGAAAATCTATCACTAACTTTAAAATGAATAAAAAAATAGTTTGGCATTTATTTTTCACTGTCTTGTGGTTCGTCCAAGTCGGATACATAAATATCTGTGGATAAAGAAACTAATAAAGGCAAAACTAACAATACAGGAGGTTAATCAATATACAATATTTTATTGGCATATATATATCTATTTAAGTTTGAAGGATGGTAAGCAATTGAAAGGTTTTATAAACTTAATATCGCACCACTATAATCAAACTATTTTGTACAAAACATGTTTTGCTCAATATAGCTTCAAATTATAATTGATTTTATATTATGTAGCATTGTTTATTTGGGTGAATTATTAATAGCGGGGCTGGTTCTCAACCAAATATTGCTAATTAGCAACCCTGGATTACGATTTCCAGTTAAAAAATATCATGTGTTACTTGCCTTCAAATACAATATAAATTGACATTTATATAGCACCTTTCATGTTGGAAGGACGTTCCAACATACTTGTTTATATGTGAACAAACACTGGAAATTATTTTACAGATTAGATGTAGTGCAGCCAATCTAGTCATAGTAATGCTGAACTCACAGAGGACCAGGACTGTCAGTTGTTAAATGAAAGCCTCTCTGCCCCGTGCTGTAGATGAATTCTTTAAGGATGTTCAGAAAAAAACCTGCAATTTGCAATATCAATTTTCTACATACAGAGTGATGATAATGTGCTATGTCAATCATGGGGCAAAATAGACTTAATATACTGGGAATTCTAATCTAGAAGTGAATAAAGTCTTTGGAAGGACAAATCTGCTAAGCAGGAATTTTAAAATGCATTGGAATACTTAATGGTGCAGAATGTATTGATTCATATAATTCTTATGTTAAATGTAGGAAAAGCTACTATTTTACCAATCGCTCTACGGTTATAGGTGGATTAATTAATTTCAGAGAATTAACCTGGTTTCCATTTGTGATATAGTGTTTGGTTGTCGAGAAAGGCAAAAATTGTGATTTTTGTGATCCACCCCTAGATTGAATAAAAATGTAATAGAAAATTAAAATTCCTTCCACTGTTGACAGAGGACTAAGGGACTAAGGGAGGCAGTTATTTAATGAACCTGATCTCGACACCTGTCTTTTAGTTCGCTTGCTCTGCATTGTAAGACACTATTAAATTATACTAAAATATTTGCTTCAGATTGCAATAACTCATTACAGAGCATGCATGTAAAATGCTGTCATCTTTAACTTTACAACCTTTAGTTTGTATGGCTGGCAAATGTTTATTTAAACTACGATAGATTGTGCGTCATTTTAACTTGTTTATTTTCCTGTTATTTTTCAGGTACGGCGACTGAAATCTCACCCGAGCATTGTAATCTGGAGTGGAAACAATGAAAATGAAGCTGCACTTGCTAAAAACTGGTTCAGGATTCCTTTAGTCAACATGGACCAGTATTTAGATGACTACATATTTCTCTATGTTCATAATATTAGAAAAATAGTACTTGAGGTAGGTACCCAGAAAGAAAACTGATACTAATGTCCCTTTTAATGTCACTGGCTTAAGTCGAACTTAACGTCCAGCGGCAGATCTGGCTGGGCCTTATCAAATCCTATCGCTCCGCCCTCGCCTCCGCTAAATCATAGTTCTATGATTATGTGGAGTCCTGTAGCTCAGTGGTTAGAGCACTCGCTTTGCAAGTGAGAGACCTGAGTTCAATTCCAGGCAGGGCGAAACCTTGGGCAAGTTTCCTTACTCCACACAGAGCCTAATAATAATCCCTCCAAAAACCAAAAACAATAATTAAAATTGGTCATTTTCAATCTACGACTGTTTGTGGGACATTGCTGTGCGCAATTGGCTGCCGCGTTCGCCCACAAATATACAGTCAATTCACTTTACAGTGTCTTCTGTGAAGCGCTTTGGGACGTCCTCCCGACGTGAAAAGCGCTATATCAAATGCAAGGATTATTATTATTAGGATTATTATTACTCCAAGACAATCTTGGAGGCCAAGGATAACCCCAGGCTCCTCTTCTCCTTCACCAACTGGCTCCTCTATCCACTCTCTTACACCTCGCCCAACCTCACCTCCAATGCCAACTGCGAGGCATTGCTGGACTTCCTTGAATCCAAAATCGAGGAGATCCACTCAGCTGCCTCTCCCCTTTGGTCTACTAACTCCCTCCCCATCTCCCCCTCCCACCCCGACCCCTACCCATCTCTCACTCCACATCTTTGAACCTGTCTCGCACTTCTCTCTCACCACCTATATAACCTGCATGAAATCGACCACCTGCTCCCTCGATCCCATCCCTACCCCTCTCCTTATCTCCCAGCTCCACCTCTTGCCCCTCTACTCACAGACATAATAAAATTCTACTGGATCCATCTCTGCTCTCAATCTACTGCCCCATCTCCAACCTCCCTTTCATCTCCAAGGTCCTGGAACAAGTTGTTCCTTCCCAGCTTCTCTCCTTCCTTTCCTGTCACTCCCTTCACGATCCCCTCCTAATCGGGTTTCTGTGCCACCCACAGCACAGAAACAGCCCTGGTCAAAGTGACAAGTAACGTTCTGTCCATCTGCAATCAGGACTCCCTCTGCCTCCTCGTCCTCCTTGATCCCTCTGCTGCCTTCGACACCGTTGACCACTCTATCCTCATCCACCACCTCTTCTCTCACCTCAAACTTCATGGCTCTGGCCTTGACTTATTCAGACCATACCTCTCATACCACCTTCACTTCTTTTCCACTAACGGTTTCTCCTCTAGCCCCTGCATAGTCTCGTGCGGCGTTCCTCAGGGCTCTGTCCTTGGTCCCCTCCTCTTCAATATCTATATGCTCTCTCTTGGTAACGTCATCCGCAGACATGGGGTCAACTTTCACATGTGTGCAGATAACACCCAACTCTACCTCTCTGCCTCCACCCTTGACTCCAGGACCACTGCTGTCCTGACAGAATGTTTGTCAGACATCAAGTCCTGGATGAGAGATAACTTTCTTCAGTTGAACGTCAACAAGACCGAGGCTCTCCTGATTAATAATAATCCTTGCATTTGATATAGCGCTTTTCACGTCGGGAGGACGTCCCAAAGCGCTTCACAGAACACACTGTAAAGTGAATTGACCATATTTGTGGGCGAATGCGGCAGCCAATTGCGCACAGCAATGTCCCACAAACAGTCGTAGATTGAAAATGACCAATTTATTATTGTTTCGGGTTTTGGAGGGATTATTATTAGGCACTGTGTGGAGTAAGGAAACTTGCCCAAGGTTTCGCCCTCTGCCGGGAATTGAACTCAGGTCTCTCACTTGCAAAGTGAGTGCTCTAACCACTGAGCTACAGGACTCCACGATTGGCTCCCGTCAGCGCTTCCACACCTCAGGCACTGACAGCATCACCATCCATGGTTGCACACTCCACCTCACTGAGCCAGTCCGGAACCTTGGCATCTTGTTTGACCCTCAACTATCCTTTCTACCCCACATCCGTGCCTTGACCCTCTCTGCTTTCCTCCACCTTCACAACATCGCCCGGCTCCTCCACTGTCTCACACCGCAGGCCGCTGAAACCCTCATACACAGTCTCATTACATCGAGGCTTGACTATGCAAACTCCTTGCTTGTCGGCCTCCCCAGCTCGTCTCTTAGGCTGCAGATCATCCAGAACTCTGCAGCCTGTGTTCCCTCCCGCACCAGGCACCATGGCCCTATCACCCCCATCCTTGGCCAACTCCACTGGCTTTCCATCACACAGAGGATACAGTTCAAGATCCTGGCCCTCACCTTCAGAGCCCCATAGTCTTGCTCCCCTCTACCTCTGCGACCACTTAACCCCCTACCATCCTGCCCGCTCCCTCCGCTCAGCGGGCTCTAACCTGCTTCACATCTCTCCCTTGCCCACCTCACCATTGGCGGGCGGGCCTTTTGCCACTCTGCCCCCATCCTCTGGAACCCCATCCCGCAGTCCCTCCAATTTGCCCCCTCCCTTGCCTCCTCTTCGGCTGTGCTTTCAATCACCCTGCTTCCCCCCCTGCCCTCCACCCTCCCCAATCCCGACCCCCAGCTCGGGTCTGAAACTCTTGACCGTCCAACACCTTGGGACATTTTTCCGACGTGAAAGTCGCTATACAAATGTAATTTTTTTGTTGTTGTTCTTGTTAATCCATCAGATTCATAATTGCCTGGTAATTTTGATTGAATGTAGATATTCTAGAATGACTACAGAATTATATAACAAAAAAATTGAGCTTCTTTGATGACCTAATATGTGAACAACAAGTTTCCCAAACTAAAAACTCTTGAGACATCTAGAAGACATGAAAAGCGCTATATCAACTCAAACTATATTGAGTTAGCTAGTTTTAGCTACAGCAGCAGCTATGATAGGCTCATCATGTCTGGGTAAGGGAGGGGAAAATTCAGCAAGAGTTCTTTTCTAATCACAATCCAGAGATGTCTGCTGAAAGATGCAGTATGATGCCTTCTGCAGTCATATAGCCTGTCATTAAGTCTCAGACATAATGGCAAATTAAAAGGTGATTGAGATCCTTGGAGCTGTACCCCAATCAGATAAGAAAAGGAGAGAGAGAGAAAATAGTGAATAGAAAAAAACGACTGCTAGTTTATAAATAAGAGGGATAAATAACAAGGTTGGTTTGTTGATACACTTTGGAATTTAAGTGAAGATTTTTTAGTTGTTTTTTCTGGATAATGGGCTCAGGCATTACATTGATTTATTACAAGTTAAGTTTCCACAGGAATTCTCTGTGACTATATGTGAAGTTTATATTATTATTATTATGCAATGTATATTGTTTGTTTACATGTGCTGAATAATGAATTGCTCTATATGATTGAAGAGTATTTGACACTGAATTGTATTGGCATGATTATAACTCACGTTGGCTTGACTCTGGGGACCATGTTCTTTGAGCCCAGGGAGATGAGATTACATCTGAAGAAATTGCACACTATTTAAAAGTGGTAGAGTGCAAAAGTAGCACTTTGACCATTATAATTATTATTTTTCATTTATACAACACACTACCTTTTGGAATTATGGTAATAAGTATAATTGGCCAAATAAAAATGTCCTAAAAATCAATTCCCACATATTACAAAGTAAGCCATTAACAGTATGTCAGTGGAGTCCTGTAGCTCAGTGGTTAGAGCACTGGCCTTGCAAGCGAGAGACCTGGGTTTGATTCCCAGCAGGGCAAAATCTTGGGCAAGTTTCCTCACTCCACACACCTGATAATAATCCCTCAAGAAAAAAACCCCAATAATAAATTGGTCACTTATACAGTCAATTCATTTTAGAGCATATTCTGTGAAGCGCTTTGAGACATCTAGAAGATGTGAAAAGCGCTATATCAAATGCAAGGATTATTATAGGATTATTTATGTATATGTATACACCACCAATGACTGAGCTTTCAGTCACTATGCCCCTAACATCAGGAACTCCCTGCCTCTATCTGTTTTTAAATCCCGCCTTAAAACCTATCTCTCTAACTGCGCCAATTTCCCCCAACTCCCTTGCTCAGAATCCAAATGCGCCATTGTACAGCTCTCTGAGATATTATTCTGTGTGAAGATTGCAAAATAATACAAATTGTTGTTGTATAACGTAATTTCATATACATGTGAAATAGTCCAAGATAATCAGTTAATTTTAGATACTCTCGTGACCACAGTTGCTAATTCAATATCAGGGTCCTGCTAAGAAAAATATTATTTATAATTCCCAAGTTAGTCTATCAGGGTATGTTTGGATTCATATCATGTGTAATTGCTCTGTAATTTTATATGTGACAAACACTGCATAAACATTGAGCACCTGTTGAGTGGATAGTACAACCACCAGCAATAACTATTATTGTGGAAAGGCAAGTAAGGTGTTGTTTTGCAAAGTTAACTATATGAGCACATATCGGAAATAACTAGAACCAGAAGGTTTCAGTATGAATTAGTGCATTGCACGTTAGTCAGATAAGGCATTGGATTAACACAACATACTTTGTGTTGATTTGAGATGTATACAAATTTTATTTTATAATGTACAGTACTTAGTTGTTTTGATTCACTTTCTTGAGCGTTGTGAAATGTTACAAAAATAGTCTCAGATCCTGTTTCAGCCATGAGGCAAAGAAAAGAGCTAAAAAGGAAAACCTGTGATGCAAATGCCATTTGTGCTTTGGATGGTCACTTGAAATAGATGAGTACAGTGATTTTATAAATAGAAATTTGTAAGGGTCTGAATCTTCAGATAAACCTGCTAACAACTTAGAGCAGTATATTTAAGACAGTCGATGCAAAATACTTTTTAAGAGCAAGATTGTTTGAATAAGGGATGTGAAAGAAATGTTTTAAGTTACTGAAAGGACATGACAGTGCAAATGGAAAAACAATTTCCTTCAGTTGGGGAAATCAGTGACAAGGGAGCAAAGTCTCAGGATAATTGGCAGAAAAATAGGGTAGAAGTTAAACATTTCTTCTCTCATATGGTTACTATGATGTAGAATGTATTACTACAAATGGTCATTGTGGCTGGATCAACAGAATCATTCAAAAGAGAAGTGGATTAGCAGCTGAACAATAAAACCATTAAGGTATATGGGTGCTGAGCTGGAATCTAAAAAACAGGTATCAGTGTCAATGTTTTTTGTGTAAATCAACTTTATCTAGTTCTCGTACAATATATAGGAATTCAATCTTTGTAAATAAATCTATATCATTCTTGATCACATCATTGTTGCTGTTGACTAAATATCTGTAGAGCAAGCAACTGATAACAATTCCCACCACAAAATCTTAGTGAGAAAGAGCAATGCTGCGTTATTGGAAGTGCTGCTCTTCAGATAAGACATTAAACTGAGGTCCTGTGTGCCTATTCACGTGGATGTTAAAGGAAATTGCTCCCGTATCCTGACAAACAGTCCCCCAAATTAAAATTGGTCATTCACTTCACAGATGTTTGTGGTCATTGTGTTTGCCTACAAAATATACAATCACCACACTTTACAGACATCCTCCTGATGTGAAAGTGCGATATCAAATGTAAGGATTATTTTTATTATTATACACTTTTTCTGTCACCATTTATATCAGAAAAATAATAAACTAAGGAATTCAGAAAATAATTTGTATATTTCAGTAATATCGCAAAGCATAATTGCTAAGCTAGTTTGTAGTCTTTCATTGAAATATTAAATTTCCTGCCGGTGTCTTAACTAATTGCACTCAATTTGCTCACTGGTTTCAGTGGAGAGAGGGGTTTTTCAATGACCGAAGGCTAAGTGGAGTGTACTCCTATGAAAGTATTTTGTCTCGTAAAAGAAGCTGGACAAGTTTCAAACACAGTAGTTCCTTTGACCTCTGCTTTCAGCAGAATGGGCTTGATAATCTCGGGAAAGTTTTCTGGAGTATCGGCTTTCCTCCCAAGCTGATTTTTCTAAGTGATACAGAGATGGGGAAAAAATGGGATTGAAGATGGAAAGATAAGTTTAACAATTTTTGATCAAATATGATACAAACATTGGCTCCAGTCCTGTTATTAGCAATAATATAAATTGTAATGTCAGATTGATGTTGTGGACATTCTGCTTAGTTGCTTTTTGAAATGTTAAATTCTCTTGCAGAAATTTTCTGTGGCTACCATTTTCCTTGGGCGATTAGCTAAATTGGGTGATCCCATAATAATACAAGTTGTACATTGTATGCACGTTTACTGCTGTAACTATTCACACTTGCTGTTTGTTTGGTCAGATTTTGAGAAGTTGCCCTTTATTGATCTGTGTAAAACTGCTGCCTAATATAATTTGTACCTTGTGGGTACTACTAGGAAAATCTGATGTTGTCAGCAAATGAGGATTTAACTCGGTAATTTTTAGAACTGGATTGCCAAAAGAAGACCATGATACATACTATGGTGACACTTATATGAATGATTGCTGGGACATCAACTTGCACTTGTATAGCATCCTTCATATAGGAGAAAGTCTCAAAATACTTTGCAGAGGTGAAGTGAAAGACTGTACAGGGTTTGTGCAAGGTGGCAGAAGGCACAATCAAAGAGAGAAACTTTTAGACAATTTTAGCAAAGCCGAGGCGAGGGAAGCAACAAAGTGGCGTTCCAGAGAGCGGGGGCAAAGTAGCTGAAGATAGCCTATTGTGGGATGAAAGGGACAGGACATGAAAGCAAGCCTGAGTTGGTGGAGTAAGAAGAGTGGACAGTGAAATAGTACTGTAGGAGATCATAGAGATAGGGTAAGGCAAGGCAATGGAGGCATCTGAAGGTAAAATCAAGAATCTTAAAGTTGTTCTACTGGGGAATAGGGAGACATTGGAGCCTGGTGAGGACAGGCTAAAGACCTTTCTTTTCGACTGCGCCTTTGGTCACCTTCTTCTCCCTCCCCCTGGCTCGGCCCCGGGATCTGCTATTGTGAAGCTCTCTGAGAAGCGTGGAGGGTGCTATATAAATCCAAGTTGTTGTTGTTCATTGGCCCTCGGTGCCTGGTGTGTGATAGAATGCGGGTTGCGGGGTTCTGGAAAACCTGAAGCTTCTGGAGGGTAGAGCTGTAGAATAGGATGTCGGAGAGATTTGCCTCAACTCAGCCCCAAGGTGACCTCACTTACCTGGGAGGTGAAAATATGTTCCAATATCTTTGAGAGGAAGGGCAGGTTGGAGATGGCATGATAGATGGAGAATTTGAAGAGTCAAGTGTGGTTCATGGCAGCACAAATTTATTTTTTAAAAGTAGTTTTATATTTTAATGTAATTTTCAGTCTAAATCTCCCCTTTCAGCTTTATTAGATTTATGTAATGAAGCTATTGCACGCTGTTTAATTTCAATACTAACTACTGTTTGTGATTCACAGAGAGGTAAACAGCTAAGTTAATGAGATTGCTAACTAATATTCCTAACTTTTAATAACACAAAAAACAGAGAGAGATACTCTAGTACAATTGTTTTTGAATGGTGTTATCTTGTATATAACCTTCCACTCAAACATCCCTGATTTTGCAGTGACGATTGTGGCATATATTTTTGTTCATTTTTATTTTGGTAGCCACCGGCTTTGGAATAAAATGAGAATGAGGTTACATTACCAGAGAATGAAATATTTTCCAGTACGATACATCTCAAAAGATCTGAGACCCTTTCTGAGATGTTTTTATTTTTAGTTTTATGTAGGAAAATACCATTCAAAGAATTAAAACCATTGGAGGGTAGAACGCTTTTTCAAACTTTTTCAAAGAAAGCTTTTTTAGAACTGGCTTCCAACTTTGTTTTACTGAATCTACTGGGAATAAATAATAACGGAACAGATGGAACATTTGGTGACCAGCTCTCTCAGAGTGGGCAATATAGATTTGTGCATCAGATATTTCTTTGGTTATCAAGAACTGGCAACTGTTCGTAAAATTATAAAAAGACCTTATAGGCAATTTAGCTGTAATCACTATTCTTATTGTTGCTAATACAGGAGTAACTCAGTTAACTTCTTTTTTTATTCTGTTCCAAGGAGGATAAGAGTCATCCTTATATTACCTCAAGTCCCACTAATGGTGATGAATCTATTCTGGAGAATTGGGTTGCTCGTAACCCCTATGATACCCAGTATGGTGACTCCCATTATTATAATTATTATAGCGATTGCTGGGACTGGACGCAATTCCCAAAGACTAGATTTGCTTCTGAATATGGCTTCCAGTCTTGGCCATCTTTTTCAACTTTAGAAAAGGTACGTAATGATGTAGCGCAGGCTTTTGAACCAGAATTAAGCAAATGTTTGAAAAGGGAAAATATAAAATATGGGGTAGCGCAGGAGAGTGGGAATAAATGGATAGTTCTTTCATTTGGTACAGATACAATGAGCTAAATGGCCTCCTCTGCTGTATGTTTCTAAGCTATCTGACCAATATTTTTATTTCAATAAAACATGAGACTTGAAATTATTCTTTGGAATTCACAAGCAAGTAAGCAACTTGGAAAATCATGGCACGCAAATTCTAAATGATCTTAATTTTATTATAATATTTAATATATAATTTTAAATACATCGAATAATTAAATTCATCTCTTGTTAAATTAGTGATGGCCTGATACTATATAACCTATTTATAATGTTGCTGCTCTTTTCCTGAGTCTAAGATAGTCAATTGAGTTTAAATGATAGAACGTTTTAGAGGAATGCTGCTCGTTTTCTATATTGCTTGTAATATGAGACATTTTGTCTTTTTTTTCTGATTAACAAGGTTTCTTCACCTGAGGACTGGTTTTACAATAGCTCCTTTATGGATCATCGACAGCACCATAACGATGGCAATGATGAGATGCTGAACCAAGCTCAGATCCACTTTAACCTGCCTCAGGCAAATGATCCGCTACAGAAGTTCAAAGATATACTTTATCTCACTCAGGTAATTGTCTCCAAAGTTACAATGTCACAATTCAACTGCTAATGGATTAAGAACATAAAAATATCCCTGCGGGTAGGGAGGTTGGATTTCCAGAAAATACTGTGGTTAAATTATTGAGGTTCAGCACTATTTCAGAAAAGCTTGGCACTTCCTAGAAGTTGATTCAGGATTGCCCCTATTTGTGAAACATATGTTGAAGACGAGAAATGAAGTAATCAGGAATTGTTGACATAAGTAGAAAATCAATATTCCAGATACGTGCAGTTCTACAGAGAAATGGAGAAAGGAATAGAATTATGTATTTGATTCCCAAGGTTTTCTGTCGATTTGAACTACTTAGAGTTGGCAGTGAACGCTGTCTATTCTTAGTCGAGCTAACGGATGAATGGTTAAGAACATAAGAACATAGGAATTTGCTGACGAAAGAAGACCAAGGTCCATCTAGTTCGCCTTCCATCATCCTGGCAGTCTCTTGACATCTCTTGTCCCAAACTGTATATTGTATCCTGAGATATTATTTTCTAGCAGAAATCTATCTAATATGTTGTTGAAACACTTTCTAGGGAGCCTGTTCGATAAGTTTATTACTCTCTCACTGAAGTAGTGTTTCTGTAGGTTTGTTCTGAATTTATCCCCCTTCAATCGCAGGTTGTGTCCTCTGGTTCTAATGTTCAGTACAAGATAAAACAGCTTCTCATGGTCTACATTATATAGACCATTCAGAATCTTAAACAGCATAATCATATTGCCCATCAATCTTCTCTTCAACAACAACAACATTCCATTTATAGAGCGCCTTTCACGTCGGGAGGACGTCCCAAGGCGCTGTACAGTTGGGTCAGGACCCGAGCAGGGGGGGAAATGGTCAGGGTGAGGGGAGGGAAGGGAGGGAGCGCGGAGGGGGTAGAGAGTCGAGAGGGGAGCTGAAGGCACAGTCAAAGAGAAAGGTCTTGAGACCGGCCTTGAAGGAGGAAAGGGAGGAGGCGGCGAAGGCACTGGGGGATAGAGTTCCAGAGCCTCGGGGCTGAGAGGCTGAAGGCCCGGCCACCGATGGTAGGGCGGTTGGGGCGGGGGATGTGGAGCAGACCGGAGCCAGAGGAACGGAGGGTACGGGCAGGTAGGTAGGGGGATAGAAGGTCGGAGAGGTAGGAGGGAGCGAGGCCATGAATGGCCTTGTAGGTGAGGATGAGGATCTTGAATTCGATCCTCTGGGGGATGGGGAGCCAGTGGAGGCGAGCGAGGGTGGGAGTGATGTGGTCTCGGTGCCTGGTGCGGGACAGTACACGAGCTGCAGAGTTCTGAATGACCTGCAGTGTGGAGGGAGGTGCCGGGAAGGCCGGCGAGGAGAGAGTTCCCATAGTCCAGCCTTGAGGTGATAAAGGCGTGGACCAGTGTTTCAGCCGCGTGAGGGGTGAGGTAGTGCCGTAGTCTGGCGATGTTCCGGAGGTGATGGAAGGCGGTGCCAGTTGTGGCGCGGATATGAGGAAGAAAGGACAGCTCAGGGTCGAACAGAACCCCGAGGTTCCTGATGGCTTTGAGAGGTGGAGAGTGCAGCCTTGGATGCTGATGCTGTCAGCGCCTGAGGTGCGGAGGCGCTGACGTGAGCCAATCAGGAGGGCCTCAGTTTTACGCACGTTGAGCTGAAGAAAGTTGTCTCTCGTCCAGGACTCGATGTCAGACAGGCAGTCTGTCAGGACATCGGTGGTCGTGGAGTTGAGGGTAGAGGAGGAAAGGTAGCGTTGGGTGTCATCCGCATACATTCTCTTCTCCATGTGAACATGCCCAGTTTATGTAATCGCTCCTCGTAATCCAATCTCTCTATTACCTCAGTCGTTTTTGTTGCCTTTCTCTGTATCTCTCAACCACTGCAATATCCTTTTTATATTGCAGTGAACAGAATTGCAGGCAGTATTCCATGTGCGGTCAGATCAGTGATTTATAAAGTGGCAGGATTACCCCACTATTTCAATGTCCTTCCAACATGAAAGGCACTATACAAATGTAGTGTTGTTGTGTTAATACAACCCAGTTTTACTCACTCTTTGCTTTACTCACCGCTACTGAGCACTGTTGCGATAGCTTCAATTTATTGTCAGTCAGGACCCCCAAGTCCTTTTCTTTTTACGTACAGACTATTTTCTTACCATTTAAATAATAGTCCCTTCCTGGATTTTTTGTCCCCATGTGAAGCATTTGCATTTCTCTGCAATAAATTACATCTGCCATCGATCTGCCTAATTCCCAAATATGTTCAAGTCCTCCTGTAACCTATCCTGTTCATCTTTGCACTCTACCATCTTCATTAGCTTTGTGTCATCTACAAATTTAGCCACTGTGCTTGTGACTTCTGGCTCCAGATCATTTATGATGATGTTAAATAAAAGAGGTTCCAACACAGACCCATGTAGAACTTCTGATGACATTCCCTGTACCACCACCTTCTGGGTCTATCTGTCAGCCAATGACATATCCATTGTAAGATACTTTCTCTGATTCCCACTATCTTTGTTTTCAGTACCAGCCTTTCATGAGAAACAGTATCAAAGGCCTTACTGAAATCCAGATATACAACATCCACTGTCTTATCAACCTCTTTGTCAAAGAAAACCACTAAATTAGTTTGGAAGCATTTCCTCTTCATAAACCCACATTGGCTGTCTTTTATCATTTTATTACTGTCCAGATGCTCCATTATCTTATATTTAGTAAGAGTCTCCATAATTTTACCCACAATATAATAATAATAATCCTTGCATTTTATATAGCGCCTAATCACGTCTTCGAAACGCACTTCACAGAATATGCTGTAAAGTTTAGTGATTGTAAATTTGCGAGCAAAACGCGGCAGCCCACAAACAGTCATGGATTGAGTGACCAATTACTATTTTTTTGAAGGAATTATTACCCCTGAAAAAGCGATCCGCCAATCGACTAACAACCTGGTTCCTACATATTTCTAGGTAAACAGTGGTGTGGAGTAAGGAAACTTGCCCAACATTTTGCCCTGGCCGGGAATCGAAGCCAGGTTTCTCGCTTGAGAGGCGAGTGCTCTAACCACTGAGCTATAAGACTCCTTAGTTTGACAATGGATGTCAAATTCACTGGTCTGTAGTTTCCTGGGTCACTCCTGCTGCCTTTTTTAAAAATAGGAGTAACATCTGCTTTTCTCTAGTCCCCAGGCAGCCCTGCAGTATCCAGTGATTTCTGAAAGATTTGGGCCAGAGTTCTTGTAATTTCCTCCCTTAGTTCCTTAAGGATCCTCAGATGCAATTTATCCTGCCCTTGGGATTTGTTTACCTTATGTTTGCCGAGTTATTCGGCATCCATGCTGCTGGTGATATGTATAGTGTCACAACTTGCCTCTGCAACACCATTGAGTTCTCTTTCCAGATCCAATAAATTTCCTGTCTCCTTCTCACTAAAAACTGAGGCAAAAAACCTATTGAATACTTCTGCAGCTTGCATAGCATCATTTGTCATATCCTCACCTGATCCCACCTTCAACGGCCCTATTCCATTCTTGTTTTTCTTTTTCTCTTAATGTAATTGAAAAACTGCTGAAATAGGATTGAAAGTAGTCATAGATAGTTTACAAACCAAACTACTCCATCCTGACTGAAGGGAAAGAAATGAAGATGCAAATTGCTTTGTCTAGACCTAAAAAAAAATCTTTAAAAATGATGAAAATACTACAACAATTTAAGGGAGAGTAGAAAATACAGTATATATTTATTTTGTTTAGAGACATCAATATTTGACAAATAATAAACGCACATAAAGAGATGCGGTTTTTGTTTTCATTATATCCTCTACTCTGTAAAACAGTGGGACAGGGGGAACAGACAAAGAGAATGTTACATGGCTGCCCTCAATGCATTCTCTCATTGGCAAACAGGAGGTTGTGCTTTAGCAGAGCCACATTGATGCTACCTGTATTTTCTCCATTGTGAGATCTACTATCTCAGTTAGATTGGATGAAACTCAGTCAGTGAGAGCAGGTGAGCACAGAGATGTTAGGTGGAGCTCATATGTGAACCAAGAGTGGTTCTTTATTTAGCTGTAGCTGGTGAATTGTTTCGCTGGAATCTTTGCTTTGAGAAGTTGAAGCAAGTATTTTTATTTAAATGTGGAAGAAATTTTGTGCATCAAGGGAGAAATACTCATGTTATTTTATTGAAGTAGCTAAAGTGTGGAAGTAGTAAATAATTGTGGTGCAATATATAGGATACACTGTGTAGATAAAATGACTGCAGTACAGCTTTAATTTACGTAATTGTAGAGCCGGAATTGTTTTTAAATAACAATGTTGATGTGATGTGCAAAAGTTACAATAAGTGCCGCTTGTGTTACATTTTTATCAACAGGTGATGCAAGCGCAATGCATAAAAATACAAACTGAATTCTACCGTCGTAGTCAAAGTGAGATTGTTAATGGGCAAGGTCGCACAATGGGGGCATTATACTGGCAGCTTAATGATATCTGGCAGGCTCCCTCCTGGGCTTCCATTGGTAAGCATAAAGAAAAGCATGCCTTTGTCTGTCTTATCTTTTCTAGCAACTGAAAACCCTTTCTACACAAAAACCCCGAATTCTTGAACAAAAATTGATAATATTGCCTCACCCACACTGTATAGCAATGTTCTGTAAAGAATTTGCCAGACGAAAGAAGACCGAGGTCCATCCAGTTCCCCTTCCGCCATCCTGGCATTCGCATGCACATGTCATGTCCCAAACTATATACTGTATCCCAAGATATTATTTCCTAACAGAAATCTATCTAATTTGTTCTTGAATTAATCGTCACTTTCTGCTTTCACCGTCTCCCAAGGAAGCCTGTTCCATACATTTACTACTCGCTCACTGAAGTACTGTTTCATAGAATTCCAGGCAGGGCGAAACCTTGGGCAAGTTTCCTTACTCCACACAGAGCCTAATAATAATCCCTCCAAAACCAAAAACAATAATAAATTGGTCATTTTCAATCTACGACTGTTTGTGGGACATTGCTGTGCGCAATTGGCTGCCGCGTTCGCTCACAAATATACAGTCAATTCACTTTACAGTGTGTTCTGTGAAGCGCTTTGGGACGTCCTCCCGATATGAAAAGCGCTATATCAAATGCAAGGATTATTATTATTATATAATCGTAGAATCATCGAATATTGCAGCATAGAAGGAGGCAATTCGGCCCATCGTGCCTGTGCTGGCTCTTTGGAAAAACTACCTAATCAGCTCCACTCCCCTGCTCTTTCCCCATACCCCTACAAGTTTTTCCTTTTCAAGTATCTATCTAATTCCCTTTTGAAAGGTGTTATTGAATCTGTTTCCACCATCCTTTCAAGCAGTGCATTCCAGACCGTAACAACTGTGTAAAAAAAATCCTCATCTCCCCTCTGGTTCTTTTGCCAATTATCTTAAGTCTTATGTGCCCTGGTTACTGACCCACTGGCGAGTGGAAACAGTTTCTCTCTGTCTACTCTTATCAAACCCCTCATAATTTTGAACACAACAATTAAATCTCCCCTTAACCTTCTCTGCTCTAAGGAGAACAATCCCAGCTTTGTTCCCCAGTTCACAATCCCCAGATTTGTTCTGAATTACCCCCTTCAATTGCAGGCTGTGTCCACTGGTTCTACTGTTCAGTACAATATAAAACAGCTTATCATGGGCTACATTATCTAGTCCCTTTAGAATCTTAAAGACTTTAAAAAAAAGTCTTTGGAAAACTTTTTTGTGTTACAATTTAAACACCGATAGCTCAGAATTGAAAGGAACAATAATGAAGATTGTTTTGAAGCATGGTGATGAGGTAGACAGTACTGGAAATTGGAACATGGGTACAAATTTTGTGAAACTGCTGTGCTTGGGGAGTTTTTAAATTACTAATTCAATCTAAAAGAAGCAGGTCGGAGTTGCCTAAGTTTCTTTTGTGATGTTATTTTACACAAGCAGACAGAGCACAACATTAGAATTACAGATGTTTGTGTTTTGGGGAGCAAATGAGGACACAAATTAGCTCCCTTTTCTTGAAGCAATTTAATTTGTTTTTAATTAAACTAATTTCTCAGAATAAATTATTAAAATGTAAAGGAAACTTATTTTAATTTCAATAACTCACAAATAACATACCTAAAGAGAAAACTGAAGTAAAGATGTTATCCTATGTGTAGGGCCCTACATAAATGCAAGTTGTTGTTGTAAGTCCCCTGAAAAATATGCTGTTTTTACATGAACAAATGTGTCCCATCCAGGCACATTTGATTATTTTGTGTGTTTATTTGTTTCAAGTTTTGTCTTAAGTTTTTAAATAAAATTGTATTACTTTACTACCAATACTTAGCTCCCACAATCCTAGTGCCAAGTAACATGTTCCTTAACCGGTTGTAATGATGAGACATGGGTATTGAATCGCGGTAAATGACATTGAAGCATGCGCACTTCCTGGCCGCATTTGAATCGTGGGATATGTAGTTTTGATCCATCGACACATGCGCAGAAGAACTTGATTTCCTGAGATTCAATGCATCGTGACCCATCACCACGTTGGAGTCGTATAGAATCATTAAAGCTGTCATTAAAGCCTTCAGTGACCTGTGAATCTATACTCTGAGATCCTTCTGTTCTTTTACCCCTTTAAGATTTGCACGCCTTAAGTTATAGATTCTTCCTACGATTTCCTCCTGAAATGAACTACCTCACACTTTTTTTCATTGAACTCCACGTGCCCCTTGTCTGCCCATTCATCTTTCCTAATAATATCTACCTGTATTTTATTTTGATTTTTCTCAATATTTGCTGTTTACGAGGGACAAACAGAAGGCTGGAGCCAGTTGGGCGGAGACAGTGTGCAGTGGAGTGGGGGTTAAGCAGGTCAAATAGATAGAGAGGTGCAAGGGCATGAAGGGATTTGAAAATGAGTGAGAGGATCTTGAAATCGATCTGTTTGGTGAATGGGAGCCAGTGGAACCTGGCAAGAACTGCTGTGATGCGGGTACGGAGTGTTGTACATGTGAGTATCCAGGCGGCAGAGTTTTGAATTAATTGAAGTGACGAAGGGATGGATGAGGGTTTAATGTGCATTGATTGTGAGGTACAGATGGAGGCAGTCAATGTGGCGGAGGTGGAAAAATGTGGTCCTGGTCAGGGAACAGATGTGGGGTAGAAAGGAAAGCTGGGGATTGAACCTGACGCCTAATTTTCACACATGTTCAGTTAGTCTGAATGAGAGCCCGGGGAGGTTGAAGAATTCGGATCTGAAGGAGAGACGACGTTGATGGGAGCCAAAGAGTATGGCTTCTGTCTTGCCGACATTCAGCTGCAGGAAATTTGTGCTCATCCAGGGCTTGATGTTAAACAAGCTGACAGGACATCAGTGGACTGGGAGTCACAGCTGGAGGAGAAGTAGATTTGTGTGTCATCCGCATATATGTAGAAGTTAACCTGTGTCTGCGGATGACATTACTGAGAGGGAGCACGTAGATGAGGAAAACCAGGAGTGCAAAGATGGAGCCCTGGGATACCCCGCAGGTGACCAGGCAGGGGCGGGAGGAAAAACCATTGGCTGAGATGAAGAGCTGGCAGTTGGTTAAGTAGGATCTGAACCATGTGAATGTGGTCCCACTAAGGTGGATGAGGGAGGAGAGGTGGTGAAGCAGAATGGCGTGGTTGACTGTGTTAAACACAGCTGAGAGATCCAGGAGGATGAGGAGGCAGAGGGAGCCCTGGCCACTGAGAGAGAGGATGTTGTTTGTTACTTTGACGAGCACTGTCTCTGTGCTGTGGGCTGGGCAGAAACTGGACTGGAGGGGCTCGAGGAAGAGTGAAGGGTGAGGTGTGAGTGAAGTCGATTTGCAACAACGCCTTCCAAGGCTTTTTCCAGGAATGGCAGGTTTGAGATGGGACGGCAGTGCACAAGGTTGAAGGTTTTTTAAGGTTGAGAGTAGATTTTTTAAGATCGGGAGTGATGACAGTTGTTTTAAGGAGGAGTGGACACTGAGCCAGCAGAGGAGGGGGAGTTGAGCGACCAGCAGTTGGGTGGGATAGGTGTCGAGGCAGCAGGTGGTGAGTTCCATCCAGATGATGGAGGATGAAAGACGAGAGGAGCGATGGGTGCAAAGGAGTGTAGGTTGGGGCCCTTGGTAGGAGCCGTGGAGGAGGAGTGGGTGATGGAGAGGGATTGGTGGGGGACATGGGGTAGAAGGAGGAGGTGACCAAGCGTATGTTATCTATCTTGGAGATAAAGAAATGAAAGACCTCTTCGCACTTGGCATTAGATGTTAGGATTGAGGGTGCGCGGAAGAGGTGGTGCGTGGTGGAGAATAGGATTTTGGAGTTGTTTTTGACCTCCAGAATTACCTGTGAGTAGAATGCAGTTTTAGCTTCCGAAGGGGAGTGGCGGTAGTTGTGAAGGTGGTCGAGCCACAACTGGCGGTGAACCGCGAGGCCAATTTTGTGCCATTTGAGCTTGAGCATCCGCGTTTGGGATATAAGAAAATGGAGATAGCTGTTGTACCGGGGGAGCAGGTAGATTTGGAGATGGTTCTTGTTTCAGGGGGACAAGAGAGTTAAAGGTGGAGGAGAGGCGATTGTTTAGCAGCTTGATGGTTGCATCAGGATTCACTGCGGGTGGAAGGTCAGAGGGAGAGAAGATCCATGGTTGAAAGGGCGTTTGTGAGGTTCTCAGGCGGAAGCTTTCTTCATGGGCCGAAAAAGATAGTGGAGGGCTTGGGGGAGGATGATCCCATATCTGATCTTGACGCAACTAGGTAATTCACCTATATGGTACTTAATAAATTTCTAAATTGAAATCATATTTTTAAACCCTCTATCTTTAATAGCGCACTGAAAAGATGAATGGATTTTATTTTTTAACACAGAAACTGGTTTCTTCATTGAAATAAAATAAGAATTAATTTCCAAAAGTAGTTATCTCAGTAGAATAGTGTGCACGATTAACTTACTAACACAATAAGTAATAAAGCCTTTGTTTGGATATAATTAATTGTTGGTAAAAATGTAAATGTAACCAGAAGGTTTTCCAGTGCAGTAGTTGATGTTTTGATGAGATCGAACAGATGGGTGAATCTTATAATTTATAATTGAAGATCTGTCCCAAGATACCTTTCTAGGGCAAAGTTATTATGTTGAATAGAATTGTTTATTTCTGATGGTTTGGGAATCATTTACTCTTTATTAAATATTTAAAAGGCAATCAGAAATACCTCACTGGGGGACATAGTTTGATTTATGTGTTGAGTAATCAATAGAAGACAGTGCTGAACTGCAGTTAGTATTATTTAACCTTCTCTAGCCTTGGACTGTACATCATATTGATGATGCTGACACTTTTGCCGAGAGGCTAATTTTTACTTGACATTGATCTATGCACTCAGGGCAGCGTGACATCTAGTATTTGGTCTAACTAGTGAGCTGAAACCTGAAAAACTGAAGCAGATTGTTGCATCAGTGATTGTGCAAGGACAGATTACCAATAAAACAATTCTGTTGCCGTGCACTTTGTGATGTGCTGATAGACTTGAGAAATTCGTTTTGAGGTACTGCTGCCTCAATATTAAGTTTTGAAATTATGAAGTTGGGGGGAGAGGGAAGGTGTCGTCCTTCGAATGCAATGTTAAACCGAGGATTTGTTTGCTTATTCAGGTGGATGAAAGATCTCATGGCACAATTTGAGAAGAGTATTTCTTCTGATGTCATCAATCCCCCACATAAAACTGGTCATTCATTTCATGTTTGTGGAACATTGCTGTGTGCAGATTTGCTGCCACATTCACCCACAAATATGGAGTCACTACACTCTATAGTAATTCCTGTGAAGGGATTTGAGACCTCTCAATAACGTGATAAGGGAAATGCAAGGATTTTTATTCTGCTTGCCTCCATAAGTCACTACACTTAAAAATAACTTGGAAATAACTTGTGAAGCGGTTGAGATATTTCAATGTGGTGAGGTATTATGCCAAATGTATTTCTTACTCAAGATGGAAGGTAAAGTTAGATTTTTTTATTTGTTTCGATAATCGTATTTTAATTGCATAAATGTATGTACATTTTTTTATTATTCCTTGAGACTGGTAAACTTGTTAAAGAAGTTTAGAATTTTCTGCTGCTTTTCTTTTCCCAGAATATGGTGGCAAGTGGAAGATGTTACATTACTTTGCACAGAATTTCTTTGCTCCAGTTTTGCCAGTAGCTTTTGAAAACAGTGGGACAATATTAGTCTACGGGATATCGGATTTGCATGTAGACCTTCAACTTATGCTTCAGGTAAATATTGGTACGATTGCTTCATTAATGACTTGTGTATCTTCACCCATGCCAAACTTCAATCCTCATTAGGCTCCGATGGCTCCGTTTCTGAAAAGATCGATTTCAATAATAGTAATCCTTGCAATTGACATTGTCGACACATCTCAAAGCAAGATGTACTGTAAAGTGGTTTGACAGTGTATTTTTTGGGTGGAATGCGGCAGCCAGCTGCGCACAGCAATGTCCCACAAACAGCCATGGAGTGAGTGACCAATTTTATTTGGGGGATTTGTTGGCCAGGATACCAGGAGAAACTTGAGGGTCTTGAGACATGGACTGTGGGATGGAGTTCCAAAAGATGGGGGCGGAGAGACTGAAGGGTCAACCACTGTTGGTGGGGGACGTGGAACAGACTGCTGACCAGAGGGAGGTTGATATGGAGTTAGCAGGTCACAGAGGTAGGATGGAGCAAGGCCATGGAGTGCAGTTGAGGTTCAAACAAGATGCCAAGGTTCCTGAGTGACTCAGTGAGGTGACGTGTGCATCCATGGAAGATTGATGCTGTCAGCACCTGAGGTGTGAAGGCGCCAATGGGAAATAATCAGGAGAGCCCCGGTCTTGTTGACTTTCAACTGTAGAAGGTTAGCTCTCATCCAGGACTTGATTTTTGACAGACATTCTGTCAGGGCAGCAGTGGGCTTGGAATCGAGGTTGGAGGCAGAAAGCTAGAGTTGGGTGTCATCCGCATACATGTGAAAGTTGACCCCATGTCTGCAGATGATGTCACCAAGAGAGAGCATATAAATAATGAAGAGGAGGGGACCAAAGACAGAGCTCTGAGGAATATTGCACAAGACGGTATGGAGGAGAAGTCGTTCATGGAGTGAAAGGTAAGATTGGATTGGGACCAGGGAAATATAAGGACAGAAATTAGACAGGAAATCAGACAGTGTGGTCTCCAACTTTAATGGTATACCCTTTGAATCTATATAATCAATTGGTTAAAACATTCTTCCAAGTGATGGAGAATCTCTCAGGTCAAATTGTTCAACTCTGTCATCGGGATAATGTGGAATTTTTGCTATGTGAACCCTGAACATTTTACAAAAATGATTTGTTAGGTGTCATATTGCCCTCAAGAAGTAATCATTCAGATATCAGAGGGAAAGACCTGTTAGTTTTGTGAGTATTATCTGTGAGCATTTTTCTGAATGCTAATACAGTATCAGTGCCTGCAATGATTTTGTATACATTTTGCTAGTGATTGGCCAATAAAAAGAGCTTGTATCTGTGGACGTACAAGGCTTGGCCTTTATGTCCTGCTGAAAGCCTGATTACTATTCTGAACCCATCTCCCTTCTCTCTTCAAATTAAACATTCAAGACGTGGAGAATTTAAGTTAATTTCTTTCTGTTTCTCTGAGGGGTGATTTATCAGTGATAGTTCTTCTTTAACCAAAATAATGTAAAGAACTAGTGCAAGGTAAGTCTCAGCATCAAAGAAAAAAAAGAATCGAAAGTGGATAATGTGGGTATAAAGGTAGGCATAGCAATGGATATAGAGCCCTGAGGTTAAATTGCCACATAGTGAGAGTTGTAGGATGTTGTGCAAATCCTAGGAGACTGCAGAACCTTCCACACCTGGATTAAAAGGAAGTGTGATCTGAATGGCAATGTTGCACTATATGGTTCTGTGGAGGAATTTTAATCTGGACTCCCACTTTGCTCTGTGAAGTTGGAGTTGTGGATTTGCAATGAGCTGTAACTCGATTTCTTCCCAGTGAATTCATTGTTGACAATGATTCTTGATGCTAAGGTTAGCATTAAGTATGCAATCCTTGAAACGAGCAACATAAGCTCTTCCAACCGGTGTCGATTTCTGGCAGGATCTACAGCCACCATCCTTGAAACCAGGTGCTGATGTTTACTGAAGTTGAGGTTGGCTTAACTGGTGTGATAGTTTCACAGGATGCTGTACAAAGTTGAAATTTTATAAAAATTAAATCTCAATGGAGTCCTGTAGCTCAGTAGTTAGAGCACTCGCCTCGCAAGCGAGAGTCCTGGTTTTGATTCCCGGCAGGGTGAAATGCTGGGCAGGTTTCCTTACTCCACGCGCCTCTGTTTATCTAGCAGTTAGTAGAAACTCGGTTGTTATTTGATTGGTGGATCGCTTTTCCTGGGGTAATAATTCTTTCAAAAATAAACAAAAAAATTGGTCACTTAATCCGCAGCTGTTTGTGGGACACTGCTGTGTGCAATTGGCTGCTGTGTTTCGCTCACAAAATATAGTCAATTCACTTTACAATATATTCTGTGAAACGCTTTGAGATGTCTCGAAGATGTGATAAGATGCCATATCAAATGCAAGGATTATTATATTAGAAAGACGAGGAAAAGGGAGGGTTTACCAATTTTTTTTTAAGTATGCAAGGACTGTAAACTGTAGAAATGTCTTCCTGTTTTGTTGTCAACCACGGGAGTAGAAGAACTAAGCAATGCTTCAATACTGAGGCCTGTATTTTTAATCGGCAATAATCAGGGAAGAGTACCTATCTCAATATGTTTTTGAATGGTTATTCATTTTGATGTAACATTAAACAAATTAGAAAAAATTCAATTTCTATAAATATGTGTATAGATTCGAATTCAGTATTGTTGCAGTTTGTGAGCAGAGTAAAACAGATGCTTTGTTTTTGCTACTGTAGAACTTGTGACAAAGGCCTAGTGCAGTGACAATAAAGTTCATTAGGTGATGTACGGCAAATATTTTGTTTGCAACATAAAAGTTGTACTAAAGGCCCACTTGTGGAATTTTGTTCAGTGTGGAAAGTGCATTTTAGTACCTGTGTAAATGCTTGTTTTTTTTAAATGTAAATAATTGAAAATATGCAGTGTAAGAAATATTACCATCTCCACAGAAAATACTACAGTAGGGTGGAGAGCATTTATGACTGATAATCATCAACCATGCCATGTTCTTAAAGCCACAAATGTGTTTGTTATACTCTTATATTTTCCATATTTGTGTGCTTATTGATTTTAGTTGTTGAACCATGTGTTTTGTACTTTTTTTTTGACCGACCACCACCCTTTTTTGCCTTACAGATTAAGATCTACCAGTGGAGTCAAATGGAACCAATATGTGGTCACACAACTGAGTCCTTTACCCTTAAGGGAGGAAGCGCATCCCCTATCTACAAGAAAGTCACTGATGATCTACTGAGGCAATGTGGTTGCACTAGGTTGAGCTGTGTAGTAACGTTTTACCTTGACATTAATGGCCAGAAATATGGACCTACCAATCACTACTTTCTTTCTTCTTTAAAGCATGTTTCAACTTTGAAACCCCCCAAGATTAATGTGAGTACATATATTATCTAATCCATCATTGCTATTATAAAGTGTTCAAAATATTTTGTTGCAATGTGCCAAAGTCAGGACCACTAAATAAGTCAAACAATTATTAAGTACTGAATTTAACAGACACTATTGCATAGAGCCCTCTACAGGTTGGTATCCTGTATTACGTTTAGTTAATAATCATGTAAATTGTGTGGGTACTTTACAGTAACAGGATGATATTCATGCAAGTCTGAATAACTACTACATTATCATGTAAACTACTGTCAGTCGTAATTTAAGTTCAGCCCGTTAAGATTTGCTAACATCCAATATTGTTCTATTCATTGTGTGAAATACTTTGTTCTGCATTACGTGCTCAGTTCTTCTCTCATTTCTGTTTGTAGTGCTAATCTTTATCTACAAACATGAGAAAACCTGGGATTCTGCAGTACTTCAAATTGTCTGTATTTTATAAGCCCTAAAGTATTTTTTCAAGTACAATATAATTTTAAGTCGTATTAAAGTTTGACATTTCTTAATGCTATTCAGCTTGGGCAACATATGTTTTGCACCTCTGTAACGGCCCACTGAGATCCACTTCAAGAGAGTCAGCTCTCAATTTCAGGACCTATTCTAAATGTATTATATAGGGTGAGTCACTATTAAGCCCCTCACTAGACTGTGTTCACTTAAAACATGGGTCTCCTGTGAACCTCATCATTTCCAAGAGAATAAAAACATTCCGACCAATTCAACTAAAATTTTCAACAAGCCACATTACCTATTATCATACAGGACTGGTTAACATCCATCAACTGAATAAGTTGCTTACTTTCATATTAGTATCTGAATGTGTGGGCACAGGACAAAGGGACAATGTAATGAATATCTTTTGTTAATATTTGAGCAAAAACTTGGTAAAGGAGCTGATGATGGCTGGTGCAGAATTTTGAAGCTCTTCTGTCAAGTGCTTGGATGCATGCTCACACCTGGAATCACCCAAATAGGATATTCAGTTATGTGAATACATCTGAGAGCATGGCCAGCAGAGACCAGAAGTTTGCACTTTCTTTTGAAAACCGTGCCATTAATAATTGTTGCCTTTGATTACATTCTGCAGTAGTTGAAGAGATGTTATACCCATGTCCTTTTTTTCCCATTATTTAGGCTACCATCAGTCAGCACGGTGAAAGGTATACAGTTACCTTGCAGAGTACAAGCATTGCCCCCTATGTCTGGCTGGATGTAGGGGATATCTCAGGAAGATTTGATGACAATGGATTTCTCATGCTTGAAAAAACAAAACTGGTGACTTTTTATCCCTGGCGCCCGACTGGCATCTCTGAGCTGACCAAGGCCCTCCATGTGCGATCACTTATTGATATTTACAAAAAGTAATGTACGCCCAAAAATATAGAGAGAAGCTAATAGAGTGATGGTCATCCATTATACTCATCTAACTAATTACTTGAATTAAGAGGAAGGGAGGGACATAATAAAACAAAATTAGCTTGTGAATTTAAATAAACCCTGGATACATTTATAACTAAAACCAAGAAATGTCCAGGCAGAACTAGAACAAAAAAAGTTAAGAAAGGCTTTGTGAAACTGATTTGGTAATATCAGACAATCCCTTTTAACAAATATGTTTGTTTCCTTCCATTTCAGCGATACCTTCTTAAACTTCATCCAGTAATTGAGGATCGTGTGTAGAATTATATCAATTAATACGAAATGCGGTGTATTGCTTTGGGGCGTCTTTTATCATGGTAAAGCTTATAGTTTTACAGATCTTATAGAGGTGTTGTTATCTTCCACCCACCGCACATTCTTTAGATCATTAAATATTTTAGATGAATTTATTTTTGTTTTAAAGTGAAATTTTAAATATTCTGAGACTTTTTTTATGCAAACTTGTTTTCTTTTCCACCAAGTCACTCAAAGTGTTTTGCGAGAAGTATTGTATGTTGGATGAACATTGGTCAAGTCTGCAGGAAAATATAACTGTAACCTTTCTGTAAGTCAAGGCTCAGCAGTAAATATAATCAGCCTCATTGAAGGACAAGCTATACCAATTTAGTAACCTGTTCAGGGTTCTGGCTATAGCTTCCTTTAAAAATGAAATTGCTCTGATTGATCCATTTCTTTTTCACCACTTTATCGAAATATATCCTGTGGATTAAAATATCTTTTAATACCTTTCAATATTTTCCAACTGTGCCTTAAAGGATATAATGTTGCAACTATCTTAATGTAATGAAATGGTATGTAATGTTTCCTTTATTCTATACGCCCAAAATGCAGGTATCTCTTCTAAGATAACAGATCAAATTTATTTTTATTAAAAGCCTTTATATCGTGTGATAACCTCAGAACTACAATCTCAAACACATGCAAATCTTCATTTGTCCATTCACTCGAAGCTGGATTCACCTCTGGAACCTGGGTTTCAATCCAGCCCAAAGTGATTGCTTGCAAATATGCTTTTCTCTGCTGAATGTAAGTGAACTGATGTTAATCGGCTTGCACTAAGCTTGTCGTGGGTACAAATCCACAACCAAAAAGCTTCCCAATTCAGCACTTATCAATCAGAATCCTCGCTCACAGAGGCTACTGGGTTGCTGGTGAGGAATAGTAATGGCACCCTGATGTAGATGGGTGCTCTGCTGAGCTTGGGGCAATCCGTGCACAATTTATGGCCACTTTTACTAGCACTTTTCAGTTTTAGTCCAGATGTTTTGGGCTTAGGACTGAAATGTTAGTGAGAGACAACCCATTCTGCCCTGAAACACTTTATATTTCTAGCTCCAGTGGCAAGGGCCAATAACCTGCAGAAGGGGTGGAGTTAAAATGTTTCAAAAGAATGTCACCAAAGGGTGGCTTTTTAATTAATTTTGCCAAATACCTAACAAATGAGTCTGACTCATAGGTAAGTCACTTGATTGCTAGTATATTCTCATTGTGAAAATGTGTTTTAAAAATAATCATTGATTCTGGATAAGTACTATACAATACAAAATTACAATTGTATTACAGTCGTGCCTTCATGTCGGGAGATGTCCCAAGGCACTACAATTACATTGTATGAGGGTATAAATTTTATGTCAATTATCTTTTAAATGTTTCTGTTGATGCATTCCAAAACTGTTCCAACTGGGCAGTAGAATCTTGTTGAAACTACAATAACTGACTGAGCTTAAACAAAAATACTGTGAATGAATTTATTGTCTAGCCTCAACAAGTGATGTAACCAAATATGATGCATAAAGTATGAGCTGTTTACATTGAAATAAAAAGTGCAAAAATCTGATATCTTGAACTGGTCCAGTAGATTTAGGTGTTTGGGTCATAATAAAGTTGACATTTTGTGAGCAAATGAAGTTTAATAACAATTGTAAAGTAAAAACAAAAGATTTGCAATTATACTCTGGCTAAAATAAAAGCACATTAAATGGATTGCTGGTAAAAGCCAGCACACTGGACACAAACTAATATGCTTGATGTTGTAATGGAAAACTGTTTGTCTCGGGAAGGTCAAGATCAATTGGGTTGAAGAACATTTGTCATCCAAACTCTTCCTGTGATATGTGGGTCATCTAACTATCAGACATTATGCAGCCTATCCAGCAGATCAGACAGATCTGGATAGCAGTTTAATCCAAATTATTACTTTATTTTGCACTGGAGGTGGTGAGGCAATGTGGAGAGGGCTGGGAAACAGAGGAGGAGGTGATTAGTGGTGAAGAGGATCTGGGACAAATAGGCACAGGTTCAGACCTTGAGACAAGTAATTTCAGAACAGATACCAAATTGTATTTTGTTGCATGAAGCATAATTGACAGTTAGGCAACATCTTAATGGTCAGTGTTCTACATAAGATCAGAGTCAAGAGTGCCTTCTGTATAGTTACCCTTCATCTGAAGATTTCTTGTGATGTTACTATTCATGATTTAATTTGCTTCTACAGGAAGATTATATTTGTATAGCGCCTTTTATGTCGGGAGGACGTCCCAAGGCGCTGGACAGAGTACAGCATTTCAGACCCAGGTTGGGATGGGGGGAGAAGGGAGGGGAAGCGGGGTGGCAGATGGCATGGTCGAAGAGGAAGGTTTTGAGGCTGGACTTGGAAGGAGGCTAAGGAGGGGGCGAGGGGGAGTGATTGGGGGATGGAATTCCAGAGGTTGGGAGCAGAGTGGCTGAAGGCTCTCCCGCCAATGGTGGGACGGGTGGGTCAGGGGACATGGAGCAGGTCGGAGCCGACTGAACAGAGGGAATGGGTGGGTTGGTAGGGGGTTAGGAGGTCACCGAGGTAGGGTGGGGCGAGGCCATGGAGGGCTTTGTAGGTGAGCATCCTGAACTGGATCCTCTGAAGGATAGGGAGCCAATGGAGTCGGGCGAGAGTGGGGGAGATGGGGTCACAGAGTTTGGTGCGGGAGAGGACACGGGCTGCAGAGTTCTGGATTATCTGCATCCTGTGGAAGGAGGAGTTGGGAAGGCTGACAAGCAGGGCGAGTTCCAACATAAAAGGAAAACAACACAACCAGGAAGAAAGTAGGTGGTCCTTTTATTGTGTAAAAAAGCTAACAATCCATAAGTACAACTTTGAAGCAAAAATAAACATTCTTGACTATTTGGTCAAGAGCAGCAGCTACCAACTAGTATTTACAAATATGCATTTAGAAGGAGTTTATGATTGAAGGAGCTCATGATTTTGATTTTTCAGCACTTTCTTTTAAAAAAAATCTCAACTGCATTAGAATTGCTAAAAATCCACAAAAAAAACCTTTAAGGGAAAATGTTGCAAACACAAATAGCCTCAGAATGGAGCTTGCTTTGTTCATGCAAAATGTGTATATTGAGATATTATGAATGGTTTTATTGTTGCTGGACACTTCACACAGTTATAAAGTTTTTTTGTATTTTTTAAAAACTTTTTTTAAAACAAAAAGTAGAAATAAAGTTGGGTGGTTAAAACACCATTTGACCAGATTTGAACACCTATCTGTTTAATCCAATGAACTAACCAGCCTAATATTTCAAATAAATATAAAATTTGATGACAGTATTTTAAAATAGGTTCACAATTGAGCTTGCCATGTTGATCATTTTCATAACATTACAGCTAGGTTGACATTTTCTAGTGTGAATTGACATAGAAGGCAACATTCTGTTTGTTTAGCTTTCACTGGGGGTAGGCAGAGCCTTGTGGATCTTGCAGGGCAAAGGAAGCCTAGTTGTTGCTGAATGATTCTGATGAAAGACTCAGCCTCTTGAAGGATGTTTCCACTCCACTGTCACATACACTATCACACTGCTGCGGCTTGGGTTGAATTTGAACATCTGTTAAAAAACAAAAGTCATATAAATGCATTGCATAAATAGTATTAAAATGATCTGGCTAATCAGAAACTTGGGCTTACCAAATCTACTATACATATCGCCTCTGAACTGCCAGTTCCTCTGGCTGAAAGGTTACTGATTTTTGGGGTGCTAGCTGGGTGTCTTGACAGATGTGGAACCCCATCACCATGTTTAAGAGTATCTAAAACAAGGGTTCCACATATGTATGCCACTTAAATTTTCCTGTAAATGGAATGCAATCTTCCTGGAGGGGAAGCACAGTCAATTCTCTTTGGGGCTGATCTGGCTCCAAGGTTTTGTGCCTGGCACAGTAATGGTGGAATCGAATCAAACTTCCATTTGGTTCCTGACCAGGGAGGTCTATAGTATTGCAGGGCACTGCTGATGACAGAGCCACCAAGTTGGCCCACTGGCAGGATCTGAAGGAGCAGCCTGGGGAAGGGATTCATCCAACTCAGCTCCTGTTAACCCTGAAAGCCAAAGGGTACATTGATCCCAGCTGGACAAGCAATGGGAAGCTCATAAGACTATGCTTTTGATGGCAAACTGAGGTTTTAGCCCGGAGACGGTGCACATTCCATTCTAGACATTCAGAAATTTCCATGGGTAGGTGCCATGCATATGTGGAACTCTTCTGTGGTTTGGTAAGTCTTTTAAGCATGGTGATGGGTATCCATGTGTCTCACCACATACCCAGATGACTAAAAATAAAATCCAAAGCCAAATTGGAAGAATCCTTGCCCCAAGTGACTGATGTGCTCCTTTTAAGTCCTACCAACAAGCCAAGGCTTGTCTATCTTAATTAGCACCCTGGAGTACTGCAAACCTGCCTGGCTCAGCTATTGGACTACCAAGATCACCAAAGACTGGATCCTAAACTGCCACTGCCTGGTGTGTCACATTGGAGTCAATGTGGTCCTAAAGAGATTCACCACCAAGTCTGTCCACAATCTGGTTACCCTTTTGGCAAACAAATCCAGTGGTGTATTTCTATTTGGGTCCTTATCCAGCGTCCTGGGATATCCTCCTGATGAAAGGCGCGAAACAAATGCAATTTATTCTTGTTATTTTGAAGATAACGTTCCAGTTCTTAAATTTTGACATGACAGAAAAACCCATATTTTTCAAAACCTTTTGTAGTCTTAAATACTTCTAGCAGCACACTCACCCTCCAGCTCATGCCTACCAGCAAGTGAATAGCCTTTCTGAAATAGAGAAAGACTGAGACTGCACAGAGTGCTCCCAGGTGTGGTTTCACCAAAACCAAATACGATTTTAAAATTACCTCTTGAATTAGCCTCCCTTCCACCTCAAAACAAAAGACCTATCAATCTGACTGCACTTTCGGCCACCATCCTTTCTCACCATTCCCCCCCACCCAAGTGTAGGCTCCCAGTCAGTTGTTTGAGATGTCCTCCTGACATAGCACTATACAAATGTAAATTATTGTAGCTATTAATGAATACAGAGAGTGGTTCTTACTGTTTTCTTCTGGGACAACAGTTTCCTCTGATCTTGTGTCTTCTGATTTGGTCAGTGCCTTAAGGATTACGTCAAGTGCTTTAATGTAGCCCATGGACTTCAAAGTTTCCACAAGCTCTGTAGTAGTACCACCAGACACCTGTATAAAATAATAGAAGAAAACAACCTTTGTATTAATCATTGAGGGGGAAAGAAAAGTGACAAAACAAATACTCTTTAGGGGGGAATATGTTTTATATTGAGCGTGTTAGTGCAGGATACCACCAAAGCTAAGCAGAGTAAGAGAGGTAGGTCAACCAACAAGTTTGGGCTTCAGGACTTTGTTGGTTATAATTATATAATTACTTAATTCTGGTTTGTAATAAAACTAGAATTAATAATCAAAAGTAAAAATGAGTAAAAATGCAATACTAATTTAAGAGAGCATTCTTAAGCAAACAAACTATAGTTATACAGCAGTTAGAATCCTTAGATCCTAACTTTTGACCCACATACTTCTTTATGTGGATCAAAAGTTAGGATATACTTATTTTTGCAACATTGCATAGCTGAATAAAATAATATACTGTATTTTATTGAGATATTGTACATTTCTCTTGGTTAATTTATATGCAGGCCATTATTTGGTTAGTTTCATTGATTTCCTAATACAGTGGAATTAGCTTTAGTCGGACGAATCAGAACAGGGAGTTTTGTTTTCTCTTCCTGCTCAGAATGCGTCTCCTCTGCTGAGCATCTTTTCCTGGGAGATGTCAATCACCTCAGTCACCGCTAATTGGTCCCCTCCCCTTTCACCGGATGCAGTCACTGCCCCTCAGAGCTGTTTGCCCTGACCCAACTGTCCAGCGCCTTGGGACGTCCTCCCGACGTGAAAGGCGCTCTATAAATGGAATCTTGTTGTTGTTGTTTGTGAATGGATGGAGTCCACTGTCAATCAATCGTCATTTGACTCCTCCCATTCCCTCCCTTGTGTCTTCCCCGTTCCTCCGACCCCTCCCTGATTGACCGTCCGTAACTGCTTGTGAATGGATTGCTGGAGTTTGCTGCCAATCACAATGTGAATCCTCCCATCTCAATCTCAGAGGCACTCGTGGCTGATTGGAGCCGCTCGAGACACAGAGTGAAGAGACGCAGTGGTGACCAGTGCATCATTTTGTCCGCATTAATGGGATTTTCATCTGAATTAACCGGCATATTCAAAACATGTAAGAATACGAATGAATCGGGGCCAGATATTTCATCCAATTTACCCGACATCTGGTGTTAAGCAGCGTCCAGCTAAACAGATTCCACTGTATAATACTGGCCAAAATAAATCATTTCAGTCACACAAGCCCTAGCATTACAGATAATTAATCTACATGATAAATTAATATTAAAAAGTTACACTCTTAAGTTGCTCCTGAAAATGAAATATTTTACTCCAAGGAGGATTGCTTGCAGGTAGCAGCATGTGAAACATAATCCCAGGAGGAAAATAAATTGGGCAGTAACCTGGAGTAAATTGGAATGATCATTCTGATTGAATGTTAACAATCAGAATGCAAAGAACAACATTTTTAGTAAACATACAAGATGGAACACATGTGGTCAATAAATTTAAGTTTCAATTATCATAGTCAATTCACACAGGGGTTACAACTGCAATGGAGTTTTAAGTTTCAGTGGTTCCATCTTTAATATTGAAATTAAACAAAATACCCTAACATGAGTCTGACTAACTCTTGTTGGTGGCAAAGTAAGTGTTGCAGGAAGTGGATGCATTACTGAACACCTTCAGATAGTCAGTGCTGTCCGTTTACACTCAGTGGAGTAAAATGAGAATTGTAAAACAGAGACTAACTACAATGCACGATATGCGCTGAGAATTAATAAAAGACAGATCTACAGGTTTGAGATTTTGGTAAAGAATAGGAGTCTTAGCTTTCATATTAACAACTGCAACAACTTGCATTTATTCGACACCCTTTATGCAGGATGGCATCTCAGATTGCAGCACTGTGGTGAGATTGGATGCAAGGGAGAATAGGGAGGGGAGGGAATCATTGGGGTTGTCGAAAAGGTCTTAAGGTTATGACATAAAAAGTAGGTGATTAGAGGAGGCTACAGCTCTTTACGTGGAGTCCTGTAGCTCAGTGGTTAGAGCACTCGCTTCGCAAGCGAGAGACCTGAGTTCAATTCCAGGCAGAGGGCGAAACCTTGGGCAAGTTTCCTTACTCCACACGCCTAATAATAATCCCTCCAAAACCAAAAACAATAATAAATTGGTCATTTTCAATCTACGACTGTTTGTGGGACATTGCTGTGCGCAATTGGCTGCCGCGTTCGCCCACAAATATACAGTCAATTCACTTTACAGTATATTCTGTGAAGCGCTTTGGGACGTCCTCCCGACGTGAAAAGCGCTATAGCAAATGCAAGGATTATTATTAGTATTAAAGAAGCCTAAGACTCCCACTTTAGTGGAATGGCTCTAAAGATGCAAGTGGACTAGATAAAAACTTGTCATTCTACAGTAACAACAGAATCTGAAACTTCAATCATGAATCATAAAGCCTTTAGTAGTGTCCGAGCCATGGGACTATTCTATGATCCACCAACAGATTACATTGAATAATCAAAACTATTATAACCTATTGATGCTACAATGTCTCATTTTTAGCACACAGACAGACATTCAGTTCACACAAATTACATCTTTGAGGGAAACAAAAGCCAACTGACCTCATAGTTATCCAGCAGTGTCTTTGATGGGGAAGGGCTGAGTTTGAAAGCATTAATAAGAATCCCCAGGCCCAATTTCTGTGCGAGAGTCATCCAGTTCAAGCTTGGATCAGGCACCTCTAACAGCTTACAGAGCTCTAGCTTTGCTTCCACATCCAGTTGACCCAAATCTCCTGGTAAAATACATACATATAAAAACTTGCGCTCAATTGAAAGCAACAGTTAAACATCACTTTGAAATCATCTGAAATCACAAAGTTTCCACTGCATATTCTGTTTTCATAAACTGGTTCATCTTCATAACATATTAAGGGACCTCTAAATGGGATTGAAACAATAAACCCAGATCAATAATTTAAGATGTATTAAGACAAAACAAAAGGGCACAGGTGAAGGGGCGATTTCAAGACAGGCACGGTAAGGTGAATTTCTGGAGGAATGAGATCGGATTGACTGAAGGGCCTTTGCCATCCAGACTAATCTTGTGATCATCAATTGTATTTGCTTTTTGTTATCTCATCCACACTGTCAAATTAGCCAAGTGAATGTAACTAAAAGCTTTGAACTGATGTATTTTTCCCAAACCCTTGAAATACCGTGGTCTGAAACAGGGATGTTCGATCACTGATATTCTGCTTGAGGTGTGGGCAGACTGTGTGAGGAGGGTCGGGGTTCTGGAAGGACGACATCAGATGGGCTGAAGGGCCTTCTTCATTCAATTCAATCTTGTGATTAAATGCCTTTGGGGGATATTGTCTCACTATCTGCCATGGCAAAGAGCTCTCATTTCTGAGGCTGCATTAGAGGAATCATCAACAATTATACAGCCATGACATCCAATGTGGCAATGTTACGTCTATCAAGAAACTTTAGCCAGAGAAGAAAAACACTCTTAAATGTTAATATGAAGACGTCACCAAGATTGAAAAAGAGATCCATTATGCACCACATATAATAATCCTTGCATTTGATATTACGCCTTATCATGTCTTCGAGACGTCTCAAAGTGCTTCACAGAATACACTGTAAAGTGAATTGATTGTTTATTTTGTGGGCTAAACACGGCAGCCAATTGCATACAGCAATGTCCCACAAACAGTCGTGGAGTGAGTGAACACATTATTATTTATTTTGAAGGGATTATTACCTCCAGAAAAGCGATCCACCAATTGACTAACAGTCAGATTCCTACTTACTGCTAAATAAACCGAGGCGTGTGGAGTAAGCAAACTTGCCCAATGTTTTGCACAGCCGGGAATGGAACCCAGGTCATTGCGCTTGCAAAGTGATCTTGCGTATAATATAAATTATGTGTAAGCACAGGTGTATTATGCACCACGTGTAAACCATGTATAAGGGAGAATTACAGCGGTTCTGGATTAGGTAATTAACAACTAATCTTTCCTATTGGTTAATTACATAATTAATGTAATTGATTAATTAATGTAATCAAATTGCACCTTGTGGGAAAGTTGGAGCAGGTCCACTCTTGGGTTGGTACGGTTTACCATTCAGTGTTTCATAAACCTGCAAAAAGAATAGACATCGAAACATCAGTCTGATTATAACCAGCTAGTGGAAGGGGCTTGAAGGAATGGCATTAAGGCGTCTACACTCAACAACAGGGCAGCTCAGCCACTTGTGATAAAGTCAGGAAGATGATCAGCAGTTGTCACTCTTTGGACGAATGTAGCCTGAATACTAGGAACCTCAGTTGCTGCTTACAAGCAATCGCATCAATTCCACTAATTTTCAACTAAAGTTAAAGGCCCATCACCTTCTACAGTGAGTTCTGCATTCAGAGGAGTTGGATCATTGGACTGGAAAAGACCATTGTGATTCAAACGGCTGGTCCTCAAAATCATACGTTACACTCTCGCTCACGCTCCCACATCTCTTAATCAAGGTAATTGCTAAATAACCATTTCGAATTTGCCGTCACATTCCCGAGTTGTCCATTCCGCGCATTGCCCACATTATGTGATAAGTGGTTAAAATCAATACTTTCCGCTCGCTTTCCCTCTTCTGAGCTCGGCTCTGTGTTCTCTTGAACTTTTTCTATCTGGTGGCAGTGCCATTAGAAACATCTCTCCCATTAGAAACATTTTCTTTTGAAAATAGTTTGGTAATTTGGGACGCTAGCACTCGGGGCTGCCCCTTTCCTAACGCCCTAATCTGGTCTATTTTCTTTGGAAGCCTTTTTCTCGTACAACTGTTTGTTTAATTTCGCTAAGCGTCATGACCAAATTATCTCCCTTGGGGTTGAGCAGGTTCCTCCGCCATTTGTTAATTACTGATTACAAATAAATCTGCACAGTGGTTTTACTCGGTAAAACTACCACCTTCACTATCGCTACCACTGAATCCAACCAGTTTTCAATTTCTTTAAATTCGGGCATGATGCCGGTCAAGGATTTAAGCCCTAGCACACTTTCTGTGTGTGAGTGATTCCCCAGCTGTACACCATTATCACTTACCACGTGGGCTTTTACCCGCATGCAATATGCACTCACAAAAACTTCTGGTCTCTTGTTTAAGAGTCTCTTACTTCTGAACTGTGCTTTTAATTCCGTTATTTGGGAAAGCTGCTCTGCGTCATCTAACCTTAATTGCACTATAATATCTTCTGCTCACAGAAGTTGATTGGACAGACTCAGCACCTAGGTCTCCCACACTGTGCCCCAAGAACCCTCCACATAGGATCTCCTAGTCCCTGAGCAAGCTGGTGATCTCCGTTCTCAAGCCACAATGCTGGGCTGCAAAGAGCCAGGTATAGTTGAGCCTAAACTGCTCACCCGAATAGAGGTCTGTTTTAATTTGCTTTCTCTATTTGAGTCGGTTAACCTTGTGCCCTCCCTCGGCTGCAATATATACTTCTGTTACTGCAGTTACAATTGCCTCTTTGGGCCAATCTTAACATTTTAATTTCTTCAGTTCAGTGGCTCTGCCTGTCCAAATCTCTATATACTAAATATTCTATTCTTGCGTCAGACTCATTACGTTTTCTTATGCCAACGACCCTGATTCTCTCTTGAGTTAGTAGCTATGCCTCGTTCATATAGCTATTCGCCCATCAGAAGTGTTTCTTGGTGGGTTTGTCTTGTATATTTCGTGGAATGCGGATTGTTGGGTGTTAGTAATTTGTCCTGGTCGTTTGCTGCATCTATCATCATCCTTATACTCTAATAGAAATCAATTGCGAAGTTCTACGTCAATGTCCTCGAGCCTCACGTCGGGCGCCAATTGCGACGGTTCTCACTACTTGATGTACATGCAAATTTTAGTAATGCTTTCATACTAAGTGGCTTCTGCTCTCTCCTAACCCTGTCGGTGTGAGTCCGTTTCAAAGGTGACTCAACCAAGTCAAGAGTCACACACAGACTGGTATTCCCAGTTAACTCCAATGCCGGGTACCTGGGAGGTCTAATTGGAGTCTGCTTGCACCACCAGAACTTCAATGTCGACAGCTACTCTCTAAGTGCTTACTCCTTTTCTTGTTTTAGAATATTACAGAGACTCGAGGATACATTCGGTAGAAACAACAGCTCTTTATTAAGACCTAGCAACCCTAGGCTACCTTGCATATAAGGAACACAACAATTTAAGATAAACAACAATGAAATCAAATATAACTGACACAACAACTGGCAGCACAATACTACACTGGTAAAATAGATTTAAACCAACCCGACATGTAATCCTGTATATGTCAGTCTGTACTGGACAACCATTAGACAGCGACCACAAGGAGTGCTGAGCATTGCTTTTTATAGGCGGGTGGCTCCAGCCACCGTATGATGCGAATACGAGGGCTTTTTCCTGCGCTTACGCTAATGTGTTCTCCACTCTCCAGGCTGCTTGTTAACTGACTGTCAATTAAACAGCCCGAGACCTATACATTGCTGCAACTCGGGTACCTCATGTATGTTGTTTGCTAAGTCTTTTACAAACAGCTTCTGCAATTAAATCCATTTAAAGGAGCAGGCCTCCCCATTTAACTTAAATAATATTATATAGTTATACATATATATTATTTACACATTACTACGGACTGCAAGAATAGGGTAACTGTGACACACTCACTGGATCTCCTTTGGCAATTTCTGCAGTGAATTGTTTTTCAAATGAACACGTACATGTAAGTTGCAACTGTACCTTTAAAAGCAGAATGCATTAACAGAATATCTTTGCAACAAACTTGATGCATTGCCAAGATGCAATATATAACAAGCTGTTAAGATTCTCTTACCTCCTGAGTGGCTGCTATGTCTAAAGGTTTGGTCCCGTGAAAGATACCCTCATCATCACCTTCTTCCAGAAACTCTTCTGTTTTGTCATCCAACGGCTCGTAATTCTCTATATGTGGGTCTGCACCTGAGCAGCACAACACAATGTGTAAATTAACTTCAAGAACTAAAATAACTCATCATAGAAAATAAGGCACAGCTCGTTGTGGCCACACACACTGTAGGTTACTAGCCCTACACTCCAGTAGGGTTGACTCCTGGTCTGTTCAATGTTTGCTGATCTCAACCGTGGCCTCAGATGGCTGTCATACTCACTGTCAGGACTACTTCACCAATTGCATAGAACATCCACTTAGATGAGGAACTGGAAGATTCTTGAAGAACATCACACTGTCCACGCAGGCACATCACACTGTACACGCAGGCACATCACACTGTACACGCAGGCACATCACACTGTACACGCAGGCACATCACACTGTATGCACAGGCACATCACACTGCGTACCTGCTGCCATTAGTAGGGCTGATAACTTTGCTGAGCCTCTTCCTGCTGCTACGTGAAGTGGAGTACAACCATCAAATGTGATGGCATCAACCTCAGCATTGCCCTGTGGGTTTCAAGCAAACCAGAGACTAAGTGGCATCACAGACTAGATTAAAATTAGTCTTTAAATTGGTCACAGCAGCAATTCAGTGAATAATGAACAGGTTGTTTTGCACTCTTGCTGCTAACTGATAACTCACCAGTAACAAATATGAATGGATAGATTTCCCATTGCCAAAACTATTACTGTGCAGACCAATTTTATACAGCAAAATGGCAATGAACTAAAAAAGTATGAGACCTACAAACAGTATGTCTGTTGCGGTCTATGCATACTGTCCACACAGGATGCTTCTGGCTTGGAAATACAAAGCAAATTTCAAAGGTTCTTTTAAGAGGGAATTCACTTGTAAAAGAATATTAAAGGATATGGGGATTGAGTAGGAAAGTGATATTAGAATAGCTGGCTCATTTGGAGAAAACACACCAGCGCAGACTTGATAAGCTGAATGGCCTGTTTTTGTCCTATTGCGTTCTGATTCATCCAAAAGTTCATATCTTCACCACCAGAGGGCGATCACCGCTGAAAAGATTTCCGTCAGCAAAGGTCAATTTTGCTTTATTCAGTAAAGAGTTCGGGTGAAACATTTTATTTTAAAGTCTCATTGCAAATTGGATGAGGCTAAATTGTTATAATAATCCTTGCATTTGATATAACATCTTTCACATCGGGACGATAATAATAATGATAATCCTTGCATTTGGTATAGTGCCCTCTCACGTTGGTGAGACGCCTCAAATCGCTTCACAGAATATATTGTAAAGTGGATTGACCGTAATTTGTGGGTGAAACACGCCAGTCGATTGCACACAGCAGTGTCCCACAAACAGCCGTGGATTGGGTAAGCAATTTTTTTTCAAGGGATTATTTTCCCTGGAAAGCGATCCACCCTAACCACCGGATTTCAACTTACTGCTGGGGAATCAGAGGCATGTGTGAAGATTATGTAAACTTGCCTAAGGTTTCGCCCTGCCCGGGAATCAAACCCAGGTCTTCTCGTTTGCGAGACTAGTGCGCAAGCACAATGTCTCAAAGTGCTTCACAATATTTACCATAAAGTGCAATGAGTGACTATGTATTTTGTAGGGAAATGTGGCAGCCGATTTGTATGAAGCAATCTCCTATGAGCAGTCATAGAGTGAGGGGAATTGAGGGGATAGTTGGTCAGGACACTGGGAGAAACTCCCTGCTGTTTTTGAACAGTGTCTTCAGTATCCAACTGAACAAGCAGATGGGACCTTGTTTTAAAATTTCATCTGAAGGATGGTAACTCATACAATGCAGCACATGCCCAGCACTGCATTGTAGCATCAGTCTAGATTATATGAGTGTGAAGTCCCAACTTTGTTAGTTTCAACTCACAACCCTCTGAGTCAAATGTAAGAGAGTGCTTCCAGCTGGCTAGGCTGACACCACGAGTAGACACTGCATTCAGAAACGCACAACGCAACAGTTAGGCTAATTGCTTCAACGCTGTTACAAAAATAAACTTGCTCTAAACACCTAGCTAGGAGATCATAGTGCAATAAAAGAGCTTTATTCAGTACTCCAGGTAACAACTTTGGACCTCAGTTTATTCAAATGCATGCAATGGAACCAAAACCATAACCATGTCCGCTGCACCAGGAGTTATTTCCAATCCACCTGTACTAACCTCAAGCAGAAGGCTACCAGCCAAGGAGATGTTTTCCTGCTCTACTGCTAGATGCAGCGCAGTTCGCCCTGACCGCTGCTCTTGAGCATCCACAGCAGCTCCAGCTGCAATCAATTGCCTCAAGCATGGCAAGCTGTTGGCTAGCACTGCCAGGTGAATGGCATAACATCCTGAAACAATAATAGCAGTAGCATAATAATCCTCACATTTGTTATAGCCCATGTCATCAAAACTGCTTCACAGAATTTAGTGTGACGTGTAATGACTGTATTTGTAGGCGAAGGCGGAGGTCAATTTGCACACAGCAATGTCTGACAAACAGCAATAAAGTGTGTGACCAATTTTATCTGGGGTGTTGTTGGCCAGGGCACCAGAATAAGTCCTTTCTCTTTTGAATACTGTCACAGGATCTTTAATGTTCATCTGAACAGGCAGATAGGATCTCGATTTAAGGATGACACTTAATAATAATAATAATAATAATAATCCTTGCATTTGATATAGCGCTTTTCACGTCGGGAGGACGTCCCAAAGCACTTCACAGAACACACTGTAAAGTGAATTGACTGTATATTTGTGGGCGAACGCGGCAGCCAATTGTGCACAGCAATGTCCCACAAACAGTCATGGATTGAAAATGACCAATTTATTATTGTTTTTTTTTTGGAGGGATTATTATTAGGCTCTGTGTGGAGTAAGGAAACTTGCCCAAGGTTTCGCCCTCTGCCTGGAATTGAACCCAGGTCTCTCGCTTGCAAAACGAGCGCTCTAACCACTGAGCTACAGGACTCCACTTTTGACAATGCAACATGGGACAATATGAGAGCAAAGTCATTACACAAAACAGATGTAACAAAATCTAGTAAAATAGGTTGACAGAGTATTCTTTAAGCATTGAATGAAAAATGCACTACATCAAATACACCCCGTCTCCACTAAGTTAGACGCCACCCAGTCCTTCAAAATTCTAAATGGGAGAAACAACCACTAAAATGATTTGCAAACAATTTGTAAAGCAAAATAGAAAAGGTTTAAAGTAAATGCAGTAAAATCTTATCAAAAGGTTTTGGGCGGTAAGGATAAGCGCATGACCTAGGCTTTGCATTCACTGGAATAATCATATATTCTTGCTTACATTTAATAAAGCTCCTATCATGTCGGTGAGACATCTCAATGCACTTCACAAAATATACCATAAAGTGGTTTGACTGTATTTTGTGGGCGAACGCGGAAGCTAATTTCTACCAACAACCTCCCACAAACAGCCATGTAGTAAATGGCCAATTTTATCTGGGGGATTGTTGGCCAGGACACTGGGGGGAAAACTCTCTTCTCTTACTAGCCAGCAAACAAATGTGCCTTCTGGTGCATCAAAGCATTGTCATAAAACCATCATACATGGTGTAACGATAAATACCACAAACACATACAGGCACACAGCAGGAAACATGTTTTGAATGCATTCCAATATACTGTCTAACATATTTTTGTAGTCACAGCCCCCCTTCCCTCTAAATTTTCTTCCATCAGTGTAGAATGTTATAAGTTTATTGGCACATAAATGCCTTTATCCAAGAAACGAAAGGGCACTGAGCAATCAGCAGCACTAACTCAGACACTGAGTTCTTGTTCCTGTCCCTCTTTCCAAGTGGTACACACCTGCATTATTTGGCAAAGCAAGGAGGTCAGTCAGTGCTTTGCCCTTCTTGTTCAGCAATATGTTCAGAGTCTTTACGTCGCCCTGCTCTGCAGCCTTATGTAGCACTGAGTTACCGTGGCAATCCAGGAGACTCATGTCAGCACCAGCCTTCAGCAGCAGCTCCACCACTTCAGTTTGCCTTGTGATAACTGCCAAGTGCAACGGAGTCTGAAAATAAACACACATTAAAACAGAGCTCTACCACACTCTGCAGCCCACGCCTCCTTACCTCACTGAAAACATTTTATTTTAATGGGATATTTCAACACAACTCGTCATTGACACTGAAGCTGAAACGCTGCCAGTGAAAGTGCGAGAAAAAGGGGCCGTGGATAAAACTGTCTTTTGTGCAGGAACTTTCAGCTCACAAAACTACAAGTTACTCGCCAAGATAAACTGAAGCTTTCTCAACACAACACAGTTTACGGGCATTCACTGTCACCGTCAACAGGAGCATGATTTCAACCCATTTAATAGAATGGAACAGTGAGCTTCAATGGGGTGAATGATCTTTCCTAATGTCAACTCTTCACGTGAATACACCCCGTCAACTCTCTACACCTAATAAGATGTACCTGGTAGAGGTGATTCCTCATGTCCACAATCTCGTTGTTGGGAATGCTGACAATCACTTGTAGCAGTTGTTGTGCCACCAACGGTTGAAGGTGGATGATTGCGAGGTGTAAAGCCCTGTCATTTGGGAAAAACGAAACAAACCATTGAACATCATGGCATTCACAGTATGTACCATAAATCAGTATTCCCAGATCAAAGTCAGGGCACTTCCTCCATATACAAACCAGCTACAAGACACCAACTAACAGTAAAAAAGCAGTTAAACCTCTGGAGGTTTTCAGTGTGCCTCGATCTCGCTGGTCAGGTCATCACCGCACATATTTAAAAGTAATAGTAATCCTTATATCTGATATAAGGATCGTCAGGAAGATGTCTCAAAACGCTTCATAGGATTTTATCATAACATGTAAGTGAATGTGACACAGCCATGTTCCACAACAACAACACAATTACATTTGTGTAGCGCCTTTCACATCGGGAGGACATCCCAAAGCGCAAAACAGCCATCAAGTGAGTGACCAATTTTATTTGGGGGATTGTTGGCCAGGACACTGGGAGAAACTCTCTTCTCTTTTTGAATAATGTTGTGAGATCTTTAACATCCAGTTGAACAGACAGTTAACTGGATGTTAAACATTAAACATTGGTTTAATGTCTCAACTGAAAGATAGTACCTCCAGCAACGCAATAGAATCCCAGCACTTCACTGAGTGTCAGCTTAGACTATGTGAATTCAAAGTCCTAACGTGGGGCTTGAACCCACAACCTTCTGACTCAGAGGTGAAAGCACTACCACTGCACCAGGCTGACACCTGTGGAGCTTCTCCACATATTCTGTGTGGGAAGATGCCCTGCAGATAACCAGAAGGGGAGGCAGGCCATTGGAATTCACTTGTGGTTGCACGGGGCAAGGGGTGGAGTAAGAGCTGCTGCACCGCCAGAGCTGTGGCCAACTCCGGTGAGGTCCATCCGAGGACCTCACTAACTTTACTGACTTCAGTAAAGTCAGAAGAACAGATGGCTGATGCTGACCATGAGGAAGGCTGGAAATGGACGACAGGTAAATCACCACATCAGAGGCACAGATAAACATTTGCTGAGTGTTTGACAATTGCTGGGGAAGCCATCATCAGAACTGACAAGTGAGGCTGGAAAGTGACCCTTTCAGAAGATTGACAAGCAATTGGGAAATACCCAAGGAAACAGAATGAGGATAGGAGAACAGATCAGCCTAGAACAACTTCCATTATCATCTCACATTCTGCCGTCCCATTGGGTCGTCCTCCCGACGTGAAAGGCGCTATACAAATGTAATCTTGTTGTTGTTGTCCCAGGGTCATGGAAAGAACTCGCTGTGTGGAGGCAAGTTTTGGAGAGTTACTCAATTCACTGAGAGGACATGATGAAGAGTTAAGAGTTACAGCTTATGAACTTTGGGGGAGGGTAAGAGGGGTTCATCACCTTTTCCTCATCCCTGATTTAGCTTATGTTCTTAAAGCAAAAAAATATATTTCAGCATTTAGGTGATGAATTTAAAAAAGAGAAATCATACTGAGAAAGGGTGTGTTGTTATTTAATATTGGAGGATAAGGCCAATAATATTTCTTTGGTAGAAGGTTACAGAACATTAAAAAAGCCATTTGACCTATCAGTTATGCTCTGTTGTTGTTCTTCACCTGATCTAATCCTAGGTATGATCTTGGAGTCCCCAGAATGTATAAAAAATTGTCTTCCTTGTAAGTGGATTAAACTGGGTATTACACAGTTCCTTGGTCTTTCATGAGGCATCAAATTACCTGGGGGCAAGGATTCTTCCCACCCTTCAAGCAGGACAATGTCTTAGAGTGCTGCAGAGTGGAGAAGGGGGAATGAGGAGGTGACCATAGGCACGGAGAAAGAGGCTGATCTTAAAGTGGGATTTAAAGATAGATAAAGAAGGAGTGTGGAGGGATTGAGGCAGGGAGTTGACGAGATTAGGGGCATAGTGGCTGAACACACAGCTACAGTTGGTGACGTGGAGGGGTGGGGAGTTGCTGCAGAACTTTCGATGTTGCTCATAAGCATGTCACTTAAGTTAGATCATCAATAATGAAATAAAGTAGGTAGTCCCAAAATCCCCACCAGCCATCTGTACAACTAATGGTCTAAAGCAGCATGGGATGAATGTCACTGCTATTTCATATACGGACATTATACAATTCAACTCACGAACAGGAGAGTATTGCCTGAGAAAATGCACTGTTAAGAGTCATCTGTAGTCAGCAAATGTTACTATAACCAAGGCAACCCTTTCCTTAGCATTCTGAAGTGTTGGCAGCACAAAACTAGTCTCAATGGTACTATCCTCACACAATCACCTATGCAACACACAGATACTGCACTTTACTGTATATCCTGTGAAGGGCTTTGAGACGTCCTTCTAAATGTAAGGATTATTATTATTATAATTTACAAAGACTTGCACAAACAATAAAATAGAACCAATCCCACATCTCTGTTGAGGACACGGCTTGGTAACCACAATGTAAGTTGTATCTCAATGACTGCTTCTAAGTATCCCTTGATATATGCTGCAGCAAATGTCAACGCTCTCTTTACAACGCTGTTTTCACTCATAAGGCAATGCCCTACAGATGTGTGTTTAGCTTGGTTTTGTGCTCTATGGGCAGCAAGCAAGAAGTGAAGTCGACGGCGACCTGTTGATTTCTGCGCAGTGACGTCAACGGTCATTTCATGGGAGACGTCACAATGTGGAAGCACTCTGTGTCCTTTTACAAGGCGTGTGGTGATTTTATATAATGGTATTCTACTGTACACTGCATTAAAGAGGGTAGCCTAGCTACCAGACACAACTTCCATTCCAATGCAAACCCTGTTTTAAATGTGTAACTATACGTGCATAAACAGGATACACACTGCTGATGAAAATATACTTGTCCCAGTATCTTGTGGTGTTATGGAGTGCTGGGCTACTGTGTGCAACACCATCCCTGCAGTGTGTAGCTCTGCATCTCCACAATGAGCACAATTGTGCGCCGTAACTCCTAGAGAGACGTAACCAGAAAATGGAGGGATTCCCTTCAGGAGCTGCAGATGGGGGTATTCCCCAGACAGTACTAACAGGATAGGGAGTATAATTTGTGAAGTCCTATAGCTTTGTAGTTAGAGGGGAAATAGGGAAGGCAGCAGTCACTGATTTCTGGCTGTAACACCATGATTCTATAGGGAAAAATGGATTCCAGTATCACAGATAACAGGTTGAACAACAACAACAACTTGGATTTATATAGCGTCCTCCACCCCGGGGCCGAGCCAAGGGGAGGGGGAGTAAGGTGATCAAAGGCGCGGTTGAAAAGAAAGGTCTTCAGCCGAGACCTGAAAGTGGGAAGAGAGGGGGCAGGCAAAGGGAGTGAGGAAGGCAGTTCCAGAGCCTCGGGGCATAGTGGCTGAAGGCACGGCCGCTGAGGGTGGAGCGGAGGATTCGGGGGACAAGGAGGAGGCCAGACCCGGAGGAACGAAGGCAACGGGGACTGTTGTGAGGAGAGAGGAGGTCAGAGAGGTAGGGGGGTGCAGAGGAGTGGAAGGATTTGAAGACAAGTGAGGATCTTGAAGTCGATCCTCTCTGGGACAGGCAGCCATTGCAGTCTGGCAAGGACTGGGGTAATCGGGGAGCAGAGTTTGGTGCGGGTGAGAATGTGGGTGCCAGAGTTTTGTATGACATGGATTTTATGAATGGTAGTGGAGGGGAGACCGGCGAGGAGGGCATTTGAATAGTCCAGCCAAGAGGTGACAAAGCATGGATCAGGGTTTCAGCGGTTTTGGAGTGAGGTATTGACAATCAAAAAAGAAAAATGAATCACATTAAATGTCACCAAGGCGACCACATCAGTGAACAAAGTAACTGAATTACAAAGCCCAGAGTGAACATTTCCTGCAGGTTTACACAGCAGGTACAACACATTGGTGTGTGTCTGTATAGCTCAGTATAGCACCAGCTCAGTGCTTCTCCATCAGGGGAAACAAAGATAGTGTTATAGCATCAACATAAAAGGTCATCCTGCAGAGTCACACACTACACCTTCACTGTCTCTCATAGGACTGGACTTGCTGTGCAGTTTGTTTTTCCACTATAAGGATAGCAATTATCAGGTGTTCTACTTACGCATCCCCATTTTCATCTTGAACTGTTGTGAGATATCGCTGAACAGCCAGCAAGATTTTCACGTCCCCGGTGATGGAATAATCCAACAGGGCTTTGGCGTGGCGTTCTGCCAGGTTCAGTGCCAGCTCAGTAAAGTACCAGTCTGTAACAAAACAGCCAACACCGTGTCAGTCATGACATCAGCTTAATACACAGTGTGTGATACTAACACAGTTACACCACCACTCTAACACACCCAGTGTGATACTAACACAGTTATACCACCACTCTAACATACCCAGTGTGATACTAACACAGTTACACCCACCACTCTAACAAACACAGTGTGTGATATTAAAGCAGTTGAGAACATTAGAAAACGTCATCCCAATGTTATCCCAATTGAGTGCTCCACTTTGTGAACTCGATGGAGGTATTTTCCAGACAATGAACTTCAGATTGTCCTCAAGAGATATGTGTGCAGACTTGCCTCAGCACTTTGCCACACCCACATTCTTTCTGCTTAAAAATGTTCTCCTGTTTGTGCTATGTGTGTGAAATGCAATGCTTCTTCCCCTTTAAAATATCACTCTCCTGCTTTTAGTAAATACTTTTTAAAGCTACTGAATATGCCGTTGACTGACAGCATCTGAAAGTTCTGTCTTAATTCATGACCCTCAGTGCAGCTTTTGTCATGGGCACTCAGTTTGAACAAATCACTCCAGTTGTAGCTTTAATTTGACAGCAAAGCAACGCTTACTATTTGAAAGTCTACTTACCAGCTGCCTGCAGTCCTTGTTCAGTGGTTTCTGCTTCGATATCTGAATGGCTGGGCCTCTCGCTGGTCTTTGGTTGCTCCTGCGATTCGGATGGATTACTGGAAAAGTCATTCCCAGCAGTCCCCACATCATCACCATTGTCCTCAATTGAGGAACCGGCAGCTAAAACAGAAGCAAAAACTGGGTAAGCACTCTTTAGTGTGAAGGATATCAAGATCCACAGCAGCCTCTGAATGCAGGCAAGATTGGAGACTCCTTCACAGAGGGTCTGCTAGTTATACTGTACCGTACTTTAAAGAAAAGGTCAATGTTACAAATACTGTGACAGCCAATTGCTGTTTATATCCAGGGAATATGTTAAAATGTTGCCCACATTTATATTTAAACTGAACACTCCTAGCAATATGCCTCTGCTCCAATTTAACGTCTGGTTAATGTACACTCAATGTTTGCAGTCAATGCGGCATACAAACATTTTCATAAGCTATAAATTTACATCTAATAATTCTAATGTACATAAAATTCCAGAGATGCAGCATGGAAACGGGCTACTTGGCTCAACTAGTCCGTGCTGTGTTTAACTCCACACACACCTCCCCTCTCCCAATCTCCTCTCTCATATTTCTTATCCTTTAATTAAGTTTCCTTTTAAATAAATGCTACTTTTTGCTTCAACCACAGCTTCTGGCAGTGAGTTCCACATTCTCACCACCCTCTGCATGAAGAGGTTCCACTTAAATTCCCTTTTTGAGCTGCTAGACCAGGCAGTGAAGTGGAATTATAGTAAACAGAGGAAGTGGCTATGGGAAGGGGGGGCTCCGGCCTTTACTGACCGAGTCCCCTGAAGGCGGAGTGAGCCTCACAGCAGACATGCCCAATGCCTATTTGCCATTTAACAAATCAGTCTGTTAACCCTGCAAGCCAAATCCCTAATGGGTAGGGTGATCCCAGCTGGACAAGCAGTGGGAAAGCTTGCCAGACAGTGCTGTCAATGGCAAACTATGTGGTTTTAGCTGGTTAATCTCCAACAGTTACCCCAACGTACACTCTGGGGTTCCCTCTTGCCAACGTACATCCAATATTCTCTGGAATTAGGTGAGTAGGTTGTGTCCCTCCAGGAAGAGAGTGTGCATTCCATTCTGGACAGAGACATTTCCATGTGTAGGTGGGATGCATGGAATTTTCAGTTTGATTTTGATGCTCTATGCATGGTGATGGGTTTTCACATTGGACAAGACAACTGGCTGACCCCCCCAAAAAAAATATAAGCTTGAATAAAGGAACAATAATAGCCCCATTACCATGTTTCATTCCAGCACTAGCGTTTGTAGCCCCAGGTGGGTATGGGTAAGGACTAAAGTTGGTATATCCTTGAAATCCAGGATAGTAACTTGAACCTATAAGAAAATCAGAGCTATAATCAGAGAATAACACTTAGTTGTCATCTTACTTAAACCTGCAGTTCACATCTAAATACCGATCACTTTGAACTTCAGGCATACTAATGCATCAAATACTGCTCTTGACACATTTTCAAACTTCACTAGGAATCACCCAGCCTTTTGGCCCTGGTCATGAAATGATTCCCTTTGGGCAAAAAGCCAGTTTTTGTGATTTTTTTTGCAAAATTATTAGTATTGTATGAGTGCTCACATTCTAAAACACCGAGTGTACAAAAATGTGACATTAACCTTGACAGCAGCATCACCACCATTCAGGAGGCATATTTCAAGAGACTATTTTCACATTGATGGTTAGAAATGTGAGCAGTGTAGGAATCCTGTGGTAGAGGATGATGTCTAAGTTTACAGTTCAATCTATGAGGTTGCTGGTGCGCTCAGACCTGGACAGCAACCACACATTTTTGGTCTGTGAGGTTATCCCCCCACCACCGCCCGGAATGCAAAAGAGCCAGTGGGTCGGGTAGCTATACCAGAAAGTATTACGAAAATTCCTCTTTCTCTATAGTAATACAACTCTGAGAGATTTGCAGCTGAACAAAAACATTGCTTGCGAGACATTCTGAAACCATACGGCACATTTTACGATGAAATGGTTTCGATTTTCCAGTCATAAAAAAAGAAGTTGCTTATTTAATCTCACCTCTTCACTTTGAGATGCCTCAAAAAACTTCAAATTAATTACTGTAAAATGTTGTGACATATTCTAGATATTGGTAAATACAACAGGCTTTTGTATCAGGTGAGTCCCACAAACAGAATTAGTTGAATGATACTTTATCTGCAGGATTATTGGCCAAGACATAAGAAAAAAAACCCTTCTCTTTTGAAATACTGTTGAGAGATCTTTAACATCCACCTGAACAGGCAGTTAGGACCTTACTTTAACATTTTATCTTCCAAGACAGCAGCTCTGATAATGTAAAGCAATACATTTTACATTTCTAAAGTGTGTTAAAGCACTGCTGGCTGGGCACTAAACTGGGAGTGGGTGGGGTGGTGGGGTGGGGGAGAACGAGAACTAAATGGATCCACACTGAGCGGTGGGGAGAAAGCCAGAGAAATTAATATCATATTGAAATGAAATACAAGAATATCAACTTGCATTTATGTAGTGCATACAGGGTAGTTTCACACAGGTGGAAGAAAAACCTCTCAAACTAAAATGATCCTGCTGCTGTCCAGTACTGAATGAAATCGCACACATGGGGATTGAGTTTACAATATATTCTATATGTATTTATTGAAAAACACCCATTCACGGAATCTGACTGACAATATGCCGTGATCTACTATGAGCTGTGCACAGCCACATAATAGTGATTGAACTTGTGATGGGCAGCTCCTTACTGCTTTTTTTTCATTTGGAAACCCATCACCATGCTTAAGGGTATCCAAAGCAGACTGGAAATTCTATGCATGCCTCTCAGCATGGTGATGGGTTTCCACATGTGTCAGACACCAGTTGACCACACAAAAAAATGTCCTTTCATCATTACTAAAGTGCATCAACAGATCAGTTAGGCTTATAAATATGACCAGTACATGAATCCAGCTGTGGAAGGGTGAATTTTAAGACATTACGTCAAAAGAATGATGTTAAAAATAGCAATTTTGCAGATTTAAGTAACTCCCACATAAAAGAGAAGTGGCCCCTCTCTGCTGGTTAACATAAGATGCAAAAATGCTGCTCTCCTTGTGTTCAAAAACTTTCCTTCAAAACCTTAGAGGAGGGTAACGAGTACGTTTCTCTATTAGCCCCTTTGTACTCACCACCTCCTCCTCCTGCTGCTCCGCCTCCTCCTCCATACATTCCACCACCACCTCCACCTCCAAAATGATCTGAGAAATTGGGCAACAGTTTCTGCCGTTTCCTTTGTACTTCCTCTTTGTCTGGTGAAGAATAGGATGAGAGGGAGGTAAAAAGGTACATTATAGTCCAGCTGATACGTAAGACGTTGTGCTGTTATTTTCTATAAAGAAGCAGCACAAAACCAACCTCTGGACATCTGTAATCGATCTCTACTGATACAAGACATCTAGAGGAAGATCGAAAACCCTGGTGTATTATTTTATATAACTTGCCTAAATATTACATTGAAGTAACAATCAAGTTTCTATTTCCTCAAAAAATAAATATTTTATAATAATGATCCTTACATTTGATATACAATTGCACCTTTCACGTCAGGAGGACGACTTAAAGTACTTCGCAGAGTACACTGGGAAGTGCTGTAACTGTGTATTTTGTAAGTGAACCAATAAAAACAAAAGAGTAAATAAAGGAAAATATGCTACAATATGCTTCATAATTGAAAAATTAAATACCATAATTTCCCATTATTCTGAGTGTTTGAAAAAGGAAAAAAAAATGCTACCAGTTTTGAAATAGAATTAAGAAAACCCTCAGTCAAGAGAAAACCTTTTACAGTTTCTTTAGTTCAGTTACCGTTGATCTGTGGGTAGTATGTAAATGGCTTTGGTTCACTCGTCTCATTATCCGATCGTCTGCGAAGCTGCACAAATACAGAAGCGGGCTTGGAAATAGTCAAGTCCCGGTATTTTGGAGTTCTGAAAACTATAGCGAACTGCAAGAGAAAAGACTTGATTATAAATAATCTGTGCATTCAAATGTGTAACTTCATTGTTTGAAGATCTGAAATGGCAACGTGCCACTATTGATCCACCAGCACGAGAACTAAATTGAATTCATAGCTATTTCACAAAAGTGCACTGGCTTCACAACCACTGGAAGGACCCGCTCCCTGCAGAGATCTCTGGCCACAGTGTATGTTGTGATAGCTAAACAGATTGGATAAACCTCTATCTTTAATACTTGCTTCTCAAAATTGTAAAAATTCCACCTCTGTTGATGACAGCGTCAGCTATTGGATCCAATTTGAGATGTTACTTAACACAGTCCCTTAAATTTACTGTTATCCCACCCAGCTACAGTGTATGCCAGGTTTTTTTTTGGGTTAGCCAGGTGTCTGACAAATGCAGAAACCCATCACCATGCTTAAGAGTATCCAAACCAAACTGAGTTTCCATGCATAGTAACACAGGAACAGGACATTCAGCCCCTGGAGCCTGTTCCGACATTCTATAAGATCATGGCTGATCTGTACCTCAAGTCCAATTATCTGCCCTTGTCCCATATCCCTTAATACCCTGACCTAACAAATATTTATCCACCTCAGTCTTGAAATTTGAATGGATCCATCATCCACAGCCTTTTGGGGGAAGATTTCATCTACCCTTTGGGTGAAAAACTACCTCCTGATTTCACTCCTAAATGGCCCAGCTCTCATTTTAAGATTATGCCCCTTGTTCTGGATTCCCCCACCAGAGGAAATGGCTTCTCTGTATCTACCTTATCAAATCTCTTTATTATTTTAAAAACCTTAATTGGCTCACCCCTCAACCTTCTGAACTTAAGGGAATACAGACAAGGCTTATGGAACCCGTCCTCATAACTTAACCCTTTAAGCCCTGGTATCACCAATATATCCTTCCTGAGGTGCGATGCCCAAAACTGAACTCAATACCCCAGATGGGGTCTGACCAAGGCTCCATGTAGTTGAAGCAACATGTGTCCTCCTTTACATTCAAGCTCCCTTGAGATAAGGCCAACATCAAAAACATTATAATATTTTTGATAACGTTTTGTACCTGTGAGCTTGTTTTTAATGATTTGTGTATGTGGACACCCAAATCCCTTTGTTCTTCCACAGTTCTCAGTTTCTTACCAATTAGAAAATATTCTGTTTTGCTATTTTTGGATCCATAGTGGATGACTTCACATTTCCCCACATTGAATTCCATCTGCCACAGTTCTTCCCACTCACTTAATCTAAGACTTTTTGTATCTTCCTGCTCCCATCTACACAATTTACTGTACCTCCTATCTTTGTCCCATCTGCAAATTTTGATACAATACTCTTTATTTCTTCATCCAAGTCATTTATATATATATATGTGTATATATATATATACATATATACATGGTGAAAAGCTGAGGCCCCAGTACAGACCCCTGGGGATCAGCACTTGCTATGTCCTGCCAATCAAAAATTATAATTATAATAATCCTTGCATTTGATGTAGCACCTTATCACGTCGTCAAGTGCAAAAAGGGAATATGAGAAAAAATTTGAAATGATATCAAGGGCAAGAGTAAAAGTTTTTATAAATATATTAAGAGAAAGATAGTGGTAAAGGGGAACGAGGGTCCGTTAAAGTCAGATGTAGGTGAGACTATAATGGACAATAAGGAAATGGCAGACTTGTTGAATTAATACTTTGCTTCTGTTTTCGCAGTAGAGGAAGAGGACAAAATACCAGCGGTACAAGGGAACCTAGAAATAAACCAAAGAGAAGTACTAAATGAATTTAATATAAATAAATAAATGGTAATGAAGAAAATAATGGGACTAAGATGGACACATCTCCAGGACCTGATAAGATTCCACTCCAGGGTATTAAAAGTAGGGGAGGAAATTGCAGATGCGTTAGTCATAATTTTCCAAACTTTCTATATTCAGGAATTATGACTTGGATTGGAGAATTGCAAATGTCACTCCATTATTTAAGAAGGAAGAGAGGGAGAAATTAAGTCAGGTAAGTACAGACCTGTCAGCTGAACTTCAGTTGTGGGGAAGTTATTGGAATCTCTCATCAGGGACAGAGTGACTGAGTATTTGTACAAGTACAAGTTAATCAAAGAGAGTCAGCATGGGTTTGCGAAGGATACGTCATGTCTGATGATCCTAATTGAATTTTTTGAGGAGGTCACTAACATGGTGGATAAGAGAGTGTCTATGGATGTCGTCTATATGGACTTCCAGAAGGCACTTGATAAGGTTTTGCATAAGAGATTATTAGCAAAGGTGAAAGCGCATGAAATCGGAGGTAATCTTGTGACGTGGCTTGGTAATTGGTTGGGAGGCAGGAAAGAGAGAAGAGGGACAAATGGAGCATTCTGTCCCTATTCTCTGTTTCCTGCCTCCCAACCAATTACTTACAAAGATCAATGCTTATTGAATGAGATTTCTTACTCAGCTATGCCATTAAGGAATACCACAATTTATAACTCAACGTAGGCATTTTACAAAGTTAATGTGATGTCTCTGTAACATGCCCCGGTGGAGCAGATTTCTTGAGGGAGGGTCAGATTTCACCAGGGGAGGGGTGGCAGATTTCAAGCATCAGCCTGCAGCCTAGTTCAGTTGGTAGCACTCTCACCTCTAGAGTCAGATAGCTGTGGGTTCAAACTCTATGTCAGGAATGCAGGCTGAATCTACTGTGTACTGTTGGGGGAGTGCTGAATTATTGGAGGTGCTATCCTTCGGTTCAGGTAGACATTACAGTATTTATATAAAAAAAAGCAGCGAGTGTCTCCTGGGCAACAGTCCTCTAGATAAATCAGTCGTTCACCTCCTGGCTTTTTGTAGGACATTGTTGCAATGAAATTGGCTTCTACATTTGCTTACAAATACACAGTCACTACATTTAACAGTTAATTATTGCATGATTATTTGAAACTTTCACTTTATAGGCTCTATATCAACTGCAAGGATTTTAATTTGTGTGAAATAAGTCAGCACTTCTACACTAAGGAAACATGGGGGAAAGTAATGATTGACAAGCATTCATGAATCCATTCAATAAAATCTGTACTTTGAAACACTTCTCAACACTACATCTTTTGTTTACTTGTAAGATGACTTTAGTTAAGGGGGAAAGCCACCAAGTGTAAAGATATTAAAAGCAGGGCGTTGTGCTTCTCTCACTGACCTGACGGTGAACGTCAGTGGGCCCAAAATCTCCAAGTGCTTCCCAAATTCCTCCATTTTCATTCTCCTCGTAGAAACGGACCTGGATATCATCTGACAAAGAGAACACACTCATCAGATTGTGGAACTCAAAGCATAAGGCAAGGCAAACTGCTTCCCAAGTACACAGCATCAAGGGGAGAAAACATTTGAATGACCAAATTATTATTATTTATTTTTATTTATTTTGAAGGGATTATTACCCTGGAAAAGCGATCGATTAATTGACTAACAAACGGGTTCCTACTTACTGCTAGGTACACAGAGGCATGCGGAGTAAGGAAACTTGCCTAAGCTTTTGCCCTGCCCGGGAATCAAACCTAGGTCCTCTTGCTTGTGAGGCGAGTGCTCTAACCACTGAGCTACAGAATTCCCCTATTAATAGATAAATAGAAGATACTACATATAGGAAGTAAATAAGAAACAATGTCAGAGGAGTGTGAAACAGCAGAAACAATGCAAACAGGACACTGCCAAATTCATGTCACTATACCGACTGGTCACCGGGGCTACCCAGAACCTAGAGCAGGGGTGGGCAAAAAACGTTCAGCGGGCCATATCCGGCTCTCCAAATGATTCTATACGGCCCTCATTGTGTCTAGCGATAGAAAAAATTACAGTTCATTCAGTCCCAGAAAGTCACACAAATTTCGCATTTGAATCTGACCGGGAACATCAGCCAATCACATTGCTTAGTTGTGCGCACACTCCCTTAAGTGTTGAGTCAGGCTGACGTCAAAAATGTACGGATCAGCAAATTTTCAAACACTCGCGGCAATACTTTTCACTGAAGGGGACGTTAATTCGAAATGAGATTATCAAAGAAGCAGAAAGTGGAGCTGAAGGCCGAATATTCAACAAAAAATGGACTTCTAAATATTTTTTTACCAGTGTGGGTGGAAAAACTGTCTGCTTAATTTGCAAAGAAAGTGTAGCAGTGCTCAAAGACTACAACTTGAATCGCTATTTTGAGAGCAAACATGCTTGCCAATATAAGAATGTTTCTGCCGAAGAAAAAAGGAGGAAAGCTGATGAGATGGTTGTTCAAATGCAAAAAAAGCAAAGCATTTTCACAAAACAATTTGTGTCCCAGGATGAGATTACAAGAGTGAGTTACGTGATTGTGCACAAAATCACCAAAAACAGCAAATCATTTTCTGAAGGAGAATTTATAAAGGAATGTATGGTTGACTCTGCCTCGATTTTATGCCCAGACAAGAAAAACCAGTTCGAGAACATTAGCATGTCAAGGCGAACTATTGTGAGATGTATTGAGGATATCTCTGAGAAGCTGTATCTGCAGTTACAAAAATAAAGTAAGGAATTTTGCATGTTTTTCACTAGCACTTGATGAGAGTTGTGATGTCAAAGACACAGCCCAGTTGATCATTTTTATTTAAGGTATCACCAAACATTTGAGCTCACAGAAGAATTGGCATCAATGCAGTCATTGAAAGATACGACAACTGGAGAAGACTTTTTGGAGGCAGTAAATAAGTGTATCTTAAAATTAGGAGTGGAAAAAATTGGTGAATGTGACCATCGATGGCAGCTCAAATCTGACAGGCAAAAATGTTGGGTTACTGAAAAGAATTCAAGATCAAGTCAAAGAAACAAATCCAGAACAGAATATTGTTTTTCTACACTGCATTATCCACCAAGAGGTCCTCTGTGAGAGTGTTCTAAAACTAAGCAATGTTGTGGACACAGTTACGAAAGTGGTTAACTACATTCGAGCAAGAGGATTAAACTACAGCAATTTGTAACTCTGCTTGAGGAATTGGAATCCGAGCACACGGATGTTCTGTATCGCACAAATGTAAAATGGCTTAGTTTTGGAAAGGTCTTGAAAAGAGTGTGGGAACTGAGAACAGAGATTGATTTATTTTTGGGCATGAAACAAAAAGATTCGGATTTCCCATATTTGAATGATGTGAATTGGCTCGCTGATTTAGCATTTGCCATGATATCATGGACCACATGAATGAACTGAATTCAAAACTGCAATGGAAGGGGGCCTTTGTGCACGATTTGTATTGCAGTGTCAAGTCATTTATGACAAAATTATTTATTTTATCGTATCAGATAGGAAACAGGCAGTTCGCCCACTTTCCAACTTTGCTGCAGATTACTGTTTGCGATCACTACTTGACTTACATAACAAATTTTCTCACCGATTCCAGGATTTCAATTTGATCGAAAATGACCTGTCTTTGATCTCTTCATCTTTCTCATTTGATGTTGATAAAGCTCCATTTGACCTCCAACTCGAGCAATGTGATCCATTGCTTGTGGAGCAATTCAAATCAGTGCCGCTTCCCAGTTTTTACACCTCTCTTAATGAATATACCTTTCCAAAAATAAAGGCTCATGCCCGGAGGATTCTTGTGCTGTTTGGATCAACATACATAGGCGAGGAGACATTTTCTGTGCTGAAATTCAATAAATTAAAACATAGATCTGTGATGACTTATGACCACCTTGCAGCAGTACTCCGCATTGCAACAACGGAGACGATGCCTGACTTCAGTTGTCTGGTTAACGCACATCAGCACTGTCATTCTTCCCATTGAGTGAGCTTCTCACATTCTCATCAAAATGTGAATAAATGAATAAATATTGAATAAATGTCTGCTCAATGAGTTGTTTCTATTCAACCTAATTTTAATGAATGTCAATTGTATAGACTTTATTTTATGCATGTACAAGTGTAAGACTTGATTTTGAGCTATTATTAAGCATTTGCATCTATATTAAGTTTGTGGCCTGCGAAGCTTACCAAAACTCGTGAAGTGGTCCGCCAGCCCAAATAATTGCCCACCTCTGACCTAGTGGCAGTGCAGAGGAGAGCAGAGAGGATGATCATCAATGTTAGAAGCATCTAGTAAAAATAATTCTTATGTTTGATATAGTATCCTTACATTTGATTTTCACGTCAGGAGGAGTCTCAAAGTTCTTCATAGAATTTACTGCAAAGTGGAATGCCTGTATTTTTGTGGGTGAACACTACAGCTTACTGGTGCACAGTAATATCCCACAAACTGCCGTGAACAATGATTAAACAAGCTAGGGCTCTTCAGTCATGAAAGAAGACATCTTAGCGGGACCTTATAATGTATATAAGACTTTAAATGGGATTGCAAAAGTAAACCCTGAACAATAATTTTAGATGCCAGAAGACGATAGCAGAAGAGACCTTAGGTTTAGAGTTACAAGGAGCAACTTAGGGACAGTCAAGAGGAAAGTTTTCTTTACCCAGAGTGTAATTAATAACTGGAACAGGTTACCAGGAAGGATGGTTGAGGCCAAGACATGGGACACAATTAAAAAAGTTTGATGCTGTGATGGTGGATGGTAAAAAGGGATGAGGTAAAATGGGCCTTCTTTATCTGGACCACACTCTGTGACCTTGTGAACTTTATAATACAGGGGAACTCTGGTATAAGACAATTGTTGGGATCCAGAAAGTTCCAACCACATTACAAACAGGACCACTAAACAGCTGCTGCTGGTCAGTGCTTCAGGGTTCATAACATCACGGGAAGGTGTGCAGGAAATCAGAGCTTATCTACCAACATAACTAGCGTGCGCAGGTCAGGTTGCTCACTGTCACAATGCACAACCGAACCAATCTATTCTTGTAAGCACAGGTTTTTCATGCTTTGGTGCGTGGTGCAACCAGAGTGGTTTTAAAGCACTACCTTTGTGGAGTCCTGTAGCTCAGTGGTTAGAGCACTCGCTTTTGCAAGCGAGAGACCCGAGTTTAATTCCAGGCAGGGCGAAACCTTGGGCAAGTTTCCTTACTCCACACAGAGCCTAATAATAATCCCTCCAAAAACAATAATAAATTGGTCATTTTCAATCTACGACTGTTTGTGGGACATTGCTGTGCGCAATTGGCTGCCGCGTTCGCCCACAAAAAGTCAATTCACTTTACAGTGTGTTCTGTGAAGCGCTTTGGGATGTCCTCCCGACGTGAAAAGCGCTATATCAAATGCAAGGATTATTATTATTATTATTATTATTGTCACAAAATGGCAGGTTGAATTCCCTACCCACATTAAAAGTGAAACAGCACTGTAATGAAGGGCAATTATAATAGTGTTCCTCTCTATTTACTGATAACATTGTGTTCACTCCACTCTGATGCCGGGAGCACAGAAACAACTGCAAAGAATAATTAACTGCCTTTCACGTCAGGATGAAATGTCCATGTTGTGCGGTGGAATGTTTGGTTATCTCAGTTTGCAACCATCCTTGTTCCCTCTCAGGTAGTTACTTAGTTAGCCTTATTAGTTCCTACAGGAATTAATCTTGTGCAGCAACAAATGCTTTCATTGATAGTCTATTCTACGTGTAAAGTTGAACGGAATTTTACCCATCCAGGTCTAAGTCAAAGTCTAATACACGTGGGTCACATCCCACTCAATTCTCTTCTTTCGATGAGAACGGGTTCAGCTCTTTCTGCCTTTCACCACAAGTCTCAGGATCATTGTTGTCGCTCTTCTCTGCTCCCTTTCAAACACTTCAATATCTTTTCAAATCGACAATCGTCACAAAACAACTATTTGGATTTCCGAAAACTGACAAAATACGAAAAAGTGTGGAGAGCAAAACATTGCAAAGGTTAATGTCTTACTTGTGTTTTTTTGTTTTTAAAAAATGGCTGACTATAGTTCATATTTAATTCTTAAATTTTTTCAAAGTTTCACCAAAAAGTCCCCATAAATATAAATACTTATTTTATTGATTCTGCTGCCCCAGTACTGCTAAGTCGGTAAACCAAGAAAAATACAAAGAGGCGGAAATTGCCACCAACAAACAAACGTGGTTCTTTAACGCAACCAAATTCCCCCAATACCGTCACCGGGGAATCCCAACCAGTTACTGTCAGCCACGTGTTTACTGCTCCTCAAAGCTTCATACTTCACTGCCATTCAGGTGTAAGATACAAGGGTGTGTTCACAGAAATCTGCCTTTTATGTGGACTGCACTTGTCAAACACATCTCAATATCTCAATTTAATTCCTCTTAATCTATATAAACCATTTTGGTGAAGGGAAAATACATAGAATCTTGAATCAAATCTTCACAAGGTCAGTTCATATGTCTTTGTGAATTGAGGCTACAGGGACAGGGATGAGAGGAGATGTCTGTGAGGAAGGAGCCAGGAGATTTGAGGATTTTGAAGGAGAGAGAGAGAGGCTTCAAATTCAACAAATTCTTTTAGGCAAATCCTTAACCATCAGTTGCAGAATGAAATTACCCAAGTAAGTGGAATCAACCTAAAATAATGTATTGTAAAAATAAATCTATCCTTTTCCTTTCCCACCAGAAATACTGCGGCATAGACTAGAAACAGTCGAGAGCCGAACATCCGTACTAACCAGCCTCACTGCAGATTCAAAACAGAATCGAATCAGGTAATTGCAACCAATACTATGTACAACATCAGCTAAAACCTCCTTCTCTCAAGAGTTACATTACCCCATAATACATCCTTTCTAACCCCACTTACACAGTGCCAGCCTCCTCTCCCCATACACCGTGCCAGCCTCCTCTCCCCACATACACAGTGTCACCCTCCTCTCTCTCTCACTTTATTAAAAGCCTGTCTCAGAAGAAACAGAAACATTCCCACCACTTATGTTTTGAATGAATATGGATGAATATCATGGTCCTGTAGCCTATTGGTTAGAGCACTCGCCTCGTAAGCAAGAGGATCCGGGTTTGATTCCCGGTCGGGCGAAACCTTAGGCAAGTTTGCTTACTCCACATGCCTCTGTTTATCTAGCAGTAAATAGGAACCTGGTTGTTAGTCAATTGGCTGATCACTTTCCAGGGGTCACCCCTTAAAAGAAATAATAATTTAGTCACTCAGTCTACAACTGTTTGTGGGTCACTGCTGTGTATGCTGCGCTTTGCCTACAAGGTATACAGTCAATCCACTTTACAGTGTATTCTATGAAGCGTTTTGAGGCGCTATATTATTATTGTTATTATATATGTGCCAAGAAAAATAAAATCACAGCAATAATAATAATTGTTAGAATTCCTGCAGACCCACATGAGGTCCACTGCAGGAGTACATCAGATCCCAGAGTGCCTATGTTTGTGTGACTTCTTATCAACAAACTGGATACCAGTATGTAAAATCCCAGTACTCCCCTGTATGGAGGAAACATACCTTTCTGGACTTTATCACAAAGTAGATAAACTTCATCTCCTCCTGTCACACAGCCTGCAGTCTTGTCCATTCTTACAATCCGTAGATTTGATGCATTTGGGGCCTCTGTAATATTTTAAAAAAATCATAGTAATTCCTTTGGGGAGGAGAAAGAAAGTTTTATAGTTCGTTATCACTTTAAAATGGCTCAAAGTGATTCACAGTAATTACTGACAAGTGTAGTGACTATTTTTATTAGATATCACAGCTGTTTTATATACAGGGTTTCTCTCACAAACAACCATGACGTGTATGACTAACTAATCTGGAGGATTAATTGGATTCACCTTGTTTTTCTCTTTTTGAATAGCATCAAGGCATCTCTAGTGCTCACTTGGAAAACAAGCAGACAGGACAACAACAACAATAATTTGCATCTATATAGTGCCCATCACTCAGGGTAGTGTCCCAGAACGCTTGTTTATATTACAGGATCTTAGTTTATATTTGTCATCCAAACAACAGCATCTCTGACAAAGCAGCACTCGCCAGCATTGTACTGGAGTTTCATTTTAGACTATCATGTCCCGATGTGGGAATTATTCCCAAACTTTGATTCAGAGGCTAGATGCTACCAACTGAGCCAAAACAACACCAGGAAGAGAACGAGTCATGGATTACTTTAACACTTGTTATGACTTCATTGCTGTTCTCATTACTTCTGAGATCGATTTTAGTCATTTTACCCACAGCTCTTCCCATTGCTGAAGGATAACACTAAGTGCCAAGGTCATGACTGTGTTACAAACAGTGAGTTAGAAAGTTAAACATGGTACCCTGGGGAAATCGTGAGCTGGAGCTGAATGAACGTCTCTTAAAAAATGGGTTCAATATCCAATCTTTATAATGTGCATTCCTTGTGTTAATGTGATGTCTGTTTTGTGACAATCAGAAGCTCTCTGATTTGTGATATTTATAAGATGATCAATTCCAAAAGGCATTGTATCTGGTTAAAGGCTGTCTTTCTATGAGTGGCTCATGGACTAGTCAAAGGCCAGCAAGCATGCTTTGCAAATGGCTGCCGAGCACATTTTAGTCAGACTGAGAGGAACAAATACTCCATGGGATGTAACCATGTCTATGGGTTGGGGCCTTTGAGAACGTAGTCTGTGAAGGGGATAAACGTGCTTTGAGGTTCTCGTATTATATCTGCACATCTTTCCCCCAGTGGATAGAGAGGAAGGGAGAAGGGACAGAATGACCGTCCCTTTGTCTTTCTCTCATATTGTACCCATGGAATAAATCAAAGTGCCACAGAACCACTTTTTGCCGCAAAGGGGTCCAATTGTAACTGAAGAGCAGCCCTGCAGCATGACAGAAACACACATTTCTCCCCTTTCACAGACCCAGGTAAAAGGTCAACAGAGGAGGCCAACTCACAGCCTGTAACATGCAAGCACTTGGTGGCAATCTCCCCCCAAAAAGACTTCTGAAATTTGCATGGAAGAGAGCACACAAGGTGAACAAGAAAGGGGCAACAGGCATAACATAACATATTGGTGTTAAAGGGTACAGGGCCACTTACTGCTGTCGTAGATCGGGTCGGATATTACAGGTTCCAATCTTCGTGTAAAACGACAACTGCTGTCTGGAAGTAGGGCTGTAAACATGAGTCGCACCACACTGAGGTCCATCTCTTTCGCCTGCTGTATGGACGCTTGGTGGATCAGTTCCCTTTCACGTTCTGCAAGTAAATGTTACACATCTGCATTACATGTACTCTACAAAACACAAGCCAGAGCGCAGGCGACGTCACAATATTTCATTGGTGACAAGGACAGGTTGGGTAAACTTTGGTTTTATTCAGCCAAGATCTGAGGTATTCAACATTTTAAAAGGAGGGAACTGCCAAGCTAGATCGGGGCAGACTCTCTCTCTGGCAGAGGGATTCAAGGCAAGCAAACAATCTTAAAATTACACTTACATCAGTTACAAATTAAATTAGTAAATAATACTGATAATTCTTAATAATGCTTATATTTGATTTCACATCGAGAGGAACGTCTAAAAGTGCTTTAAACGATTCGCTGTTACGTATAGTGACTTTGTAGGCGAACACAGCAGTGCACTGCCTCAGAAGGCTGTAGACGCAGAACTGATTTGAGCTGAACAAGTGGATAGACTATGTCTTAACACAAAGTGTTGTGAGAATGTGAGGTGCACGGGCTACAGAAAGCTATAGATCCCATTACTTGTGATGTTCAAAAAGGAAATATATCCTTGGGAAGTAAGGTTATTAAGGGATATGAAGAAGGGGAATTGGATTTAAAAGATCTGCTATGAACTAAAGAATGTCAGAACGGTATCAGTGTACTCTATTTGGAAAACCTTCTCTCTGTACATGTGAGAATAAAGGAAGAGCTATACTGAGATAGTAAAATATACAGTACTTGATAGCTTCCTCCTCTTCCCAGATTCCTCATAAATAGTTTATACACAGAACAATCAAGCATATCCTATGGACAGAATTTAACCTTTAAGGTAATGAGGTGTCTCTCACTGCATCAGCTGAACGTGATTTATTTCATTAGGTCAAAAGTTAGAGGCCCAGCAAAGCACCTATTTGTCTCACATCAGCGCCACTCATGTTATAAAAATACAATTGGTTTGATTTTCTTGATTTGTTTCTTGAATATCTGAGTATGCTTGTTTGCACCATGTAGAAGCTATTTATTAGGAACCTGGGAAAGGAGGATGCTATTTTGCACATTATTTCCTTTTCTTTTAATTTCAGTATTATTTACCGTATTATTTCAGTATTTTATAATTTCAGTATTATTTTTCAGTATTGTTTACTGGTTTGATTTGTAACTGATGAAGGTGTAATATGTTGTATTCCCCTTCCTGAGTATAGGGCGAGGTTTGTGACAATCAAGACCAATAGTTTGCCAGGGTCAATTTACACTTCTGATACTTAGCGAACTCTATTTGAAAAACCTTCTCTCTGTACATGTGAGAATAAAGGAAGAGATATACTGAGATAATAAAATATACAGTCATCTGTGTGCCACTTTCTGTAGATCGAGAAACAGGAAACCACCTGTTCATGATTGCCACAAACTGGCTGTGATACAAGCACGTGAGACCCAGGTGACAGTGCTCTTAAAGGAACAGTGTCTCTAACAATATCCCACATAGAACTTCCTTACCTTTCCGATCTAATACTTTCAGGCCATAAATTTCACACAGGCTGGTAAGTTCCATGGGGGAAATAGTCAGCTACTAATTTTTTTCTTGACATTTAAGTTTGCGGAAAGTTCACAAGTGATCAACACAGAGATTTGGAAGAAGAAGGTCCTTTACCCCATTTGATCTCAATTATCCAGAATACCAACCTATACCATCTTCCCATCACAGCATCAAGCTGTGTTGTTTTAAATGAGTCCAGTGTCCTGGCCTCAATTTGTTCCAGTTGTTAATTATACTCTGGGTAGACATATACTTCCTGAAATCGACTTTTGGAACTTAAACCTGAATCATCTTTGGAAAATTAAATTTAATGTTAGTTTGGAACACTGTTTTGTGCAATTCTTAAAAAGGGCTTTCAATTTAAGAATTTTCCACAATCAAAATGGTTTTACAAGCTAAGATTAGTTGGAATTTCAGGCTTCTGAATTCCAGGAATCATTTTGGCTGCTTCTCTCTAAATATTCTAGATTTCATAAGAATCACAAAATTTTCTTATAGTTTGATTAATCATCATACTGTATTTTATGTAATAATCCTTGGATTTCAAATAGCGCCTTATCACATCATTAAGACTTCTTAAAGTGCTTCACAGGATTTAGTGTAGATTCCTTTCAATAAAATCAGTTTAGTTTTTCAACTTTGTAAAAAGCAGAAAACCCTAGGCATAATGCCATCAAATTTCAAACACTTCTTTAGTAATAATGGCAAATAGGCACCCATGTCCTCCGTGAGACTATTTCTCTTTACCATCTTTATCCAAGGACAAGGAATTGGAGACCAAACAAGTGTTAACTATAAATGCTTATCATTACAAACCAACCTGTAAGTTCTCTCATACTACAAGTTTCAATGTGCCGGTGATTTATTTCAGGATGTATTACGATTCCATTATTATATCCCATAATACAAGCATGAACCATTCGTTGTTCAAGTGTGCTGGCAACATTCTTCTTAGTAACATGGAGGATCCCAAGGTTTGGAAACCTGGAAGAGAAGCATACAGTTAATAAATGAAGTGAAGGATAAAACTAAATGGTCTTAAGCCCATTTCGGCCCATTCTGGCTGAAGCACACAAATTATCATTTGACCTAATCCACTAAAGTAAGCTTCAGGGTAGATAATTCTGTATCAGGTTGCCTTGTGTAATACATGTTGTGATGTAATGTGTTTGGAGTTGAGATAACACTGCAAAACCACAGAGTGGTTCTTCTTCATCTGGGCTTTGCTGGTGATTTATAGTGTGACTTTTAAATAATAGCCAAATTTACAAAGCTGATGGAGTCTACTTTTTAATATTCAAACAATTCAGTGCACTATTTGCAAATTTCATCGAATTTCATGAATATCTAAAGCAATTTTATTTTTACGATATTCACAAAATAGCTAATTGCGATTATTGCAAGCCAGCAAAGTCCAAAAACAAGGCCAAAACGCCAAAGTGAAATCAGCAGCTTTTATGCCATTAATGAATATAAATAAGAGAATAACCCACTTAAATCAACCACTATCCTACATTTCAGTCAAATAATTCAGTCATCCTTTTTTCAGTCAAATATTTCTTAGCTTGTTTCCACTTATCGGTGGTGGGGTGGACCAGGCAGGGGAAGTGGAGCAGTCCCCTGCCTGGCCCTGCGTTGAGCAGTCTGCCTACCGAGTGGAGGGAGTGGATAGGTTGGTAGGAGGGCACAGAGGTAGGGGGAGCAAGGCCGTTGAGGGCTTTGAAGGTGAGGGCCAGGATCTTGAACTGTATCCTCTGTGTGATGGTAACCCAGTGGAGTCGGATGAGGATGGGGGTGATAGGGTCACGAAGCCTGGTGTGGGAGAGGACACGGGCTGCAGAGTTCTGGATGATCTGCAGCCTATGGAGGGAGGAGATGGGGAGGCCGACAAGCAGGGAGTTGTCATAATCGAGCCTGGATGTGAGGGTCTCGGTGAGAGACAGTGGCGGAGCCGAGCGATATTGCGGAGGTGGGGAAAGACAGAGCGAGTCATGGTTCACCATCTAACCTGTCAGTTCCTCTCAATATTTAAATATTTCAATTAATTCTGCCATTGTCAAAAACGGGTCATTTCCAAAATAAAAAATAAAGTAATTTTTAATAAAAAAAATTGTTTTACGGCCCAATCTTATATAATATATAAAGGATCAGAAATGGGTTGGAGGGTGTGACACAAAGCGACTAGGATGAATCATAACCACTCTGTGGTTTTGCAGTGTTATCTCAACTCCAAACACATTACATCTCAACATGTTTACACAAGGCAACCTGATACAGAATTATCTACCCTGAAGTTTACTTTAGTGGATTAGGTCAGATGATATTTTGTGTGCTTCTGCTAGAATGAGCTGAAAATATTCAGAGTAACCAATTGTCAGATTTTCATTTCTCTTATGCTAGCTTGGGATAGCATTTTTTTTTCATTCATTCTTTAGGAGTAGGAGGATTTTGTTTTAACACGAGAGTTAGGATATGGAATGCCCTTCTGAGAGCAATGGCCAAGGTGGGATCCATATTACCTTAGTTCTGATTTGAAGGCTATGCCCTCTTGTACAGCTGTGTCTCAATTGCGCATAGCAATGTCCAGTGTGGGACACTGATGTGTGCAATTGGCTGCTGCGTTTCACTCACAAAACAGTCAATTCACTTTACTGTATATTCTGTGAAGTGCTTTGAGATGTCTCAAAGACGTGATAAGGTGCAATATCAAATGCAAGGATTATTATTGTTATTTTGTTAGCTTTCAAGTGGGAACTGGATAGATATCTGTAAGGGAGTAATTTGTAGAGGCATTAGGAAATGGTGGGTAAATAGGACTGAGGTGATTTCTCTTTCAGAGTCAGCACAGACACAGTCTTTTTGTCTTTTTCTCTGCTCTAAATTTCTATGGTTCTTCTATTGGAGACGATGCACACTGCATTTTATCTGTGGGTGTTTTTCCCCATCAGTTCAGGGCCTGTATTTAGTGTTACATTATTAAGTTTATTCAAGCGGTGAAATTATGAATGACTAAACTTGTAAGGTTCAATAGTAAAAGCAGTAGGTATGGTTTACAATTCTGTGGTGCACTGTTTTGTGTTAATGTTAATGAATGATTTTGTCATCTATTTATTGGCATAAAAAGCTCTAGTGGCCTAAAATTTATTACACACATAACATCAAAACACATTGTTTTAAATTAAGATCATGCAGTCTTTATTTGGAAGCTAGTTTTAAGGCTGATTGAAGAATTATCCAAAATTCTATGTTGTCTTAAAATTTTACACTGACATTTCCATGAGGAAATCTGAGTCTCAAGTTACTTCCTAGCAGCCAGTCGCAAAGAAAATCCTCCAAGAGGCTCCTGACTTCCTCCAGCCCCCAAATTCACAAAATATTAACATGACGGCAGTCGGTCTGATATGCAATTTCCATTGGATTTTTGGGGCACTTTATCACATTGAAATGCTTCAAGGTGCTTAACGGTAATTATACTGTTGATGTCAGGTATAGTGGCCTTTTCTTTGTAGGCAACTGCAACCACAATGTTGCACTGCAAGGTTCAACAAACAGATGATTGACTATTTAATCCAGGAATTATTGTCCAAGATACTAGAAGAAACTCCCTTCTTTTAAATAGTGTCATATACCTGAACAGCCAGGCAGGACCTTGGCTTAATGTCTCATTTGAAGGATAACACATCTGACCTGCATCTCTTCCTCAGACCATGTCAACTTAGACATGGAGCTCAAAGTCCAGATGTGAGGCTTGAACCCATAACCTTCTGACCTTGAGGCAATCATCTTGCTTAGAAGTCTGAATGCTACCATCTGAATCAAGCTGACATCTACCTTGACAACCTTACTATTGCTGAATGAGCTAAACTTTACCTGCATCTATAACGCTGTGTAGTCATTTTATTTTAAGGTCTGCGTAGAAAAGTTGAGCAGATTAGCTTTAAATTATTCATATAATATGTATAACAAAAGATGTGTTCAAAGAGATTCTATTTGTTGACACAGTAAATAAAATGATTTCAGTGAGTTAACAGTGCAAAGCAAATTACAATCCATTACATTTACACCTGCAGTTCACAGAGAAAACAATCTTGAAATTTGCTGACAGTGCATCTTACATTGAGAGGATGTTCTTATCTGATTAGTTAGAAAAACACGAGGGAGGGGGGGAACAACTTAACTTACACTGAAGTCATTTCCTTCGGTCCCAATTGGACTAGACATATTCCTTTTTCGCATTGTTTTCCGACTAGACTGTGAGCGTGAAGATGTACGGCAGTTTTGCCACACGTCACCAACTGAACAACAATTTTCGCATTTCCAACGTAGTTACATATCTAAAATGAATCAGAGAGAGAGAAAGGTATTGTAGCATAGGGAAGGCACAGTAAATATGTGGGGGAAAACCAGGATACTTTGGCCTCTCATTAACCACATTTCATACACCAGGAAGTAACCATCATGTTTAACTGTACAACACTACAGCTTGTGGAATTAATGCATTGTTAGCCTATAAATTGTATCTCAGTAACATTTTCACCCACAAAATATATTCACTACACTATACAGTATATTCTGTCAAGCGCGTTGAGACATCTTGACGATGCGATAAGGCGCTTTATCAAACGCAAGGATTATTATTATTACAACAACAACAACAACAAGATTCCATCTATAGAGCGCCTTTCACGTCGGGAGGACGTCCCAAGGCGCTTAGTCCACAAAGTAAAAATATCTTTATTTATTTTGATTATAATATCTATCAGTGGATTATAGCTAATCTCTATTTGTATAGTGTCAATGCTGGAACTGTGAGAAGAATCACCCCACCCACACTTTACTGTTTACTGGCAACTCATTGCCGGAAAAATGTAAATACATATTGAGTTCCAAGCAGGGAGCTACAAAATTAAATTAGTTCCATCATAAACTACTAAAATAGAGTATAACACCGTATAACAATGGGTAATAATGTTGCTTCATTTGAAGCAATGTTAACTAACCAAACAGGACACAAAGTCCAGGATTCAGTAAGATATATTTACATCTGCTTGGCTGCAAAATACAGCTTCCTCCCTCCCATTGCCGTTCCCATTGGACAGGAAGGGACCGATTAGCCGGAGCTCAGAGGTGACTGATAGCCTGGAGTTGCTTGTGAATGTTTGGGCTCCTGCCAATCACAAGCAGGTCAGCTGTCAATCAATCACAATTTGACTCCTCCCATTCCCTCCCTTGTTTTCCCCGCTCCTCCGCCCCCCCACTCCCTGATCGACAACACAACTCCAGCAACTTGTAAATGACAACCAGCATGGCATTTTGCCCGGATTGACCAGATTTTTGTCCGAATCAACCATCGTATTTAAAACAGGTAAGAATACAAATGAATTGGGGCTGGGAGTTTTGTTCGATTTACCAATTTCCGATTTATGGAGTCCTGTAGCTCAGTGGTTAGAGCACTCGCCTTGCAAGCGAGACGCCTGGGTTCAATTCCAGGCAGGGCGAAACCTTGGGCAAGTTTCCTTATTCCACATGCCTAATAATAATCCCTCCAAAACCAAAAACAATAATAAATTGGTCATTTTCAATCCAGGACTGTTTGTGGGATGCTGCTGTGCACAATTGGCTGCTGCGTTTCGCCCACAAATATACAGTCAATTCACTTTACAGTCTATTCTGTGAAGCGCTTTGAGATGTCGAGAAGACGTGAAAAGCGCTAGATCAAATGCAAGGATTATTATTATTATTAGGTCCTGCCGATGAGCCAGGCTGGGCTGTGCAGTTATCAGCAGTGCCCTGGAATACAGCAGACCACCTGGCTCAGGAACCGGACTAGAGACCGATGGTCAGTTCAGTTTAGCTCCAAGAAGATCCAAAGATGCCAAAGATATTCACTCATTTCACTGCAGGACAAATCCTATAATGATCAGTTTACCACTGGGTGTTCTCTATTTGTCTCATAGAAATAAACAGAACCCTGTTACAACCCAATTCAGTTAAACGGTCGCTCCAGTTATTGCTGTCAATCCCGGGTCACTATGTGTTTCTAGTTTACAAGTTACAGGTATTAAAGGATGGTCACCTGTTACAACAACCGTTTGTATTCAATGTGTTTCCTTAAAACTCTTTGGGATACAAGCATAACTTGACAGAATTGAAAAGAAAACATGCAGCAGAAATGTTGTCCTTAGCCTGACTGGCCTTAAAAATGAATATGGCCTTGTAATATTCATTGATATAACTTATTAATATTAATTTGCTTTTGACTTCTCCCCTGTCCTTCTCCCCAGTGAAAGCAATTGCAAAGGTTAAATACCTCTGGTTATTTTATAATTTGCAGGAAGAATGCCTCCAGGCTTACTGTTGACATGCTTCTTCTCAGCTACAGACTAAAACCACAAGGAGATGCACTGTCGCTTTGTGAAATTGGGCTGCTAGCAAGTGGTAAGTAGCCTCAGAACTAAAGCAGTTATAATGTTCAAAAGGAAAAATATTGAAACCGACAGCACATTGTGATCAGCACATTTTACAATGAGGTTTGGTTATGGTTGTATACACAGGAATCTTTAAAGACAGAAGCACAGAAGCTAAATATGAAAGTCAAAGCAGCTTTCTTTTCAATACAGGGACATGGAGGGCGAGGAAGATTAATTTACACCAGATATCAAGGCCTGGATGAGCACAAACTTCCTTCAGCTAAATGTCAACAAGAAGGAAGGCACACTCTGTGGCTGTCATCAATGTCTTCTCTCCTGCAGCTCTGACCTCCTCAACCTCCCCAGGCAAAGATGAATGGAGCATCCAAAGTATTTCACAAGATTTGCTATAAAGTGCAGAGCCTGTGTAACTTGTGCGTAAATGTGGCTCCATTTTAGCAAAGTAATGTCCCACAAACACCGATGACCAATTTCATTTGATCACTTCCAACAGAAGGGAACCAGCCTAAACTTGTGGAATTCTCTCTTCAGGAGTTTGAAGAAGATGCACTAACTTTGTAGGATCCAATTTATCAACAGTTTATTGATTATGAGTTTAACTGCAGAAGCCATCCCAAAAGTCGGGTCACACATTTCATTTGAATCTACTTTGAACCAAGCAACATTTCAATTTTTTTTTATAAAGAAATGTACAGTATTTTCAAACACTGAGGTGTATGGATGCATCAATGCACAATAGTTATTTTAATTTATCCAAAGACTGAATTAGAATCAGATAGAGTTTTTTCTAGTGACTTGGTGGATAAAGTTACCAGCTGTGCAATGAGAACGATTATTTTTTTGTTTGGTGATATCAATTGGCTATTTTTGATGTATTAAACCAGATTTCATTGGAACCTCTTTTAGCTGCTAGTGTGTGACACATCCTTCCATTCAGGGATGTTTCATTTTCTAATGGACCGCAATGCACATCAAAAATAGCCAATTGATATCACCAAACAAAAATATAATCGTTCTCATTGCACAGCTGGTCACTAGAAAAAACTCTATCTGATGTTTAACAGAGTTGCTGTGTTAAATAGCAAGTAATTTGCTTAGGTCAGTGCTGAACGTTAGTCTGAGCTATAACGATGTTCACCATTACCCCTTTGAAAGTTTTTTTTATGGTCAGCTGGGTATCCGACATATGCGGAAAGCAATCACCTTGTTTAAGAGTATCTAAACCAACCTGAGGTTTCCATGCATCCCACCTACACATGGAAATCCTAGAGATAGATTGTTGGAATGGAATGCGCACTCTCTCCCTGGAGGGACGCACCGTTTACCTAATTCCAGAAAGTATTAGGTGCAGGTTTGCAAGAGACAAAGCTTGGGTACCCCAGAGTGTATGTGAGGGTACTGCTGAAGTGCAACCATAGTTTGCCATTGATATTGATGTCTGGTAAGCTGACCTGCTACTTATCCAGCTAAGACCACCCTATCCGTTAGTGCTTTGGCTTGCAGGATTAACAGGAGCTGAGTGGGATGATTCCCTTACCCCCAGTGACTGGCCTGCCCTTCCAAGTCCTGCCTATGATCTATGCTGGCTGTGCTGTCATCAGCAGCGCCCTGGAATACTGGCTCAGGAACCGGATTAGAGACCGTCACAAAGTGGGGGCTCGATTCCGTCATTCCGTTGCCAAACATGTCACCTTTTGAAAGTTACAATGACTTAGAGGTTTAAAACTTGTTTTTCAGTGTCTCGGTAAATATCTGGGTGAACTGGCTGGGAGGAGTTACTTTTGCCACGTTTATACTGTCACTTACAAACCACAGAACTTCCCATTTTGAAAGTTATAGCACAATAAGTTAGGGACTCTTTCAGTGGCGGATTTATATTCTTCTTGTGTACATTTCTCAAACTGGAAAATAATTTTGCACGTGTTTTGTCTCATTTTAATTTTAATCTCCCTGGCTTTTTATTTACCTTTGTGTAACAAAGAAATAGTAGGCATTATGGCCTGCTCCCAGGCTTCTGTCATCACTTCTGAGCTAGCCACTAGATGGAGCGTAAGAGTGTGGTAGCTGAGTTACACTTGGAGTTCCCCCGTTCTCTGTGGTGAGGTTGCTACCTCACTTCAGAACAAAGGTTTACAAATCAACCTGACACTGATTCTTCCCCCGCTAGTTTAACGATCATGATATTAAAGCCAAATACCATATGACAACGGGTGACAACATCACCTAGATTCGATTCACATAAACTGTGTCACTGTGACCCTAAACCGTCATCCCCTCTTTATTTATCTTTCAATCCCCCCTGAAAAACTACCTTTTCGACCACGTCTATGGTCATCAGCTCTCCCGCTTTTCCCTTGCTCAGTGTCCAACCCGCCACTCTACAGTGCTCTCAGACGTTATCCTACATGAAGGAGGCTATATAAATAGTCGTTGGCTGCTTTTTATACATTGATAATTCTTATATATTGTATATAATTAGAGGCAATGTGCTGCTTACTGTATAGAACTCTGGCCTCAGAATGGAACCTCTTTCCCTTGTTTCGATGTGTTTATACTTCATTTTCAAAAATAAACAATTGACACGGTTTAAAAAAAATACACATATCATTCAGAAAATCACCACTGATCCACGGAGTTTCACAAAATGCTTATGACACAATGGGAAGTTCCTAATTTTTAACAAGAAATTAATAGCAGCAGGACATTCCTGAGAGTAAATGTACTGCTGCTGCATTGAGTCACATGCAATCCCCCGAAGAGTAACCAGAAATAAAATGGCTAGTTCCTGCTATAGGTCTGTACTCTGCAACTTGGAAATACCGGGGATTTCCCATGTTAACAACGCCAGTTGTTAGGCTGTGTATCGCTCACTGTAAACCATTGAATAATATTTAATCATTATG